GCCGGGGCCGAGCGAGCTTCCCGAGCGCCGGAAGGCAAAGCGGAGGAATGGACGGTGGACAGCGACGGATTCCTCCTGTATCGAGGATGGATGTATGTCCCCGATAAGGAGGTGTTGCGTAGCAAAGTGCTCGCGCTATGTCACGACCAGAAGTTGGTCGGGCACTATGGTCGGGACAAGACGACGGAGATGGTTCTCCGGGAATTCTGGTGGCCTCGGCTAAGAGAGACGGTGGCCGAGTATGTGGCGACCTGCGACGTATGCCAACGGAACAGGAGACCGCGGGCAAAGCCCATGGGGGAGTTGCACCCACTACCGGTACCGGAAGGGAAATGGAAGTCGGTCACCATGGACCACATTACGGGGTTGCCCGTGTCGAAGGGGTTTGATTCGATCCTCGTAATAGTGGATCGTTTTACGAAGAGGGCGCATTTCGTGCCCTGTCGGAAGGACGACGACACGCATGTGCTGGCGTCGATATTCGTCAACGAATGGGTGCGGCTCCATGGGTACCCTAAGGATTTGTTGACCGATCGAGGGGCGTTGTTTACGTCGCGATTCTGGAGGGACGTGTGCAAGATCACCGGGATGAACCAGCGGCTGTCGACGGCGTACCACCCCGAGACTGACGGACAGACGGAGAGGACCAATTCCACGTTGGAGCAGTATCTCCGGAGCTACACGAACTTCCAGCAGGATGATTGGGCGGAGTTGATCGCTATGGCGGAATTCGCCTACAACAACGCGTGGCACTCGGCGATCAAGATGTCGCCTTTCATGGCCTCCGAAGGAGAAGATTTCAAGTTCTCCCTTCGCCAAGTCCCGGGGAGCATCGAGTCGGCAGCAGCCTTCCGGGAGCGTATGGAAGAGGTCCGCGAGCAGGTTATGAAGTCGCTAGAGCTCGCGCGGACCAATATGGCGAAGTACGCCGATCGCAAGCGACGGAATGTGCCGACGGAGGGGTACGAGGTCGGGGACCTGGTGATGTTGTCGTCTGAGCACATCACCACGGTTCGACCGAGCAGGAAGCTGGATTGGAAGACCTTCGGCCCGTTCCGAATTACGGAGAAGGTGGGAAACTCGGGCCTTGCCCGACGACTGGAGCTGCCTAGCAGTATGAGGCGCGTGCACAACGTGTTCCACGTATCGCTATTGATACCGTACAAGGCGAACACTAGGGAAAGCCGACGGGTAGACCCGCCGCCACCGCCCAAGGTAGCCGACAACGGAGAGGCTGCTTACGAGGTGGCTGAGATCCTGGATTCCCGAGTACGTAAGGGTCGAGTCGCTCGAGTCGAATACTTCGTCTCGTGGAAGGGGTACGATATGGCGCACAACGATTGGGTCGGAGCTGGAGAGTTCGACTGGGACGACGACGTCGTGATATCGTTCCATCGCCAATACCCGACGAAGCCAACCCCACGCCGGTCGGAGTACCGCAAAGGGGGTTCGGAGAGTACCGACTGACACATCCGGAGTTTGTGTCTAGACGGGGGATACTGTTAGAGATCGACGCGGTCGCGACGCGGGGCGCGCCGAGACGCGTTCCGGCGGGCCACCCCGAGGGCGGACTCCGCCGTATTTGTTGTTTACATTCGAACATTGTACTATCACTAAAGACCGGATGCTGGGCATCCGTTATTACTATATAGATGTATACTCCTACCCTCGCCTCTCTCCCGCTCACTCGTCCGGCGGACCAGCCCGGGGCAGCAGCCCGGCGGACTCGTCGCCGTAACAGTAGCTTTCCCGAATCCGCTTCATTGAACCGATCCCGGCTGGACCGAGATACGGATAAACATATGTTCTGAACTCTTCTGGATCTCGTCTTGGACTTCTCGCTCGCATAGGATTCATCGTATCAAACGACTCGGATTGAAAGAAAATACAAAACCCAAAAACAAATTATAGACGAAGCGGAACCGCTTCAATCCTTCTTGGCTCGCTTCGGCGGGCGACCATCATTCTCTTCCTCTTCCTCGTCCTCGTCCGGATCCGCTTCCTTCTGCTTCCCCTTACCCTTCGGAGTCGACTTACCCCCCGACTTCTTCGAATCCTTCGGAGTCGACACGACTCCGGTCTTCCTCTTCTTGGGCGTGGGCGCCGGCAGCGGGTTGATAACCCTCTTGAAGGCCGCGTCACCTTCCGCCGCGATCGCCTCCCGGACCTTGTCAAGGTCTTCCAAGGCCTTCGAGAGACCCTTTTTGATGCCCTCATCCTCGAGCAGGTCGGCGTAGATCTGAATACGGTCTCTGGCCGATTGCTGCCAAATTCGGTTGCGTTAAAACAGATTCGGTTCGTTGAAACAAATTCGACTCACTACCTGCGCTTCCCATCGAGCTCGAGGAAGCAGACTACTCGTCGCCGGAGGAGTAGTCGGTTGTGCTGCATTCGCAGCAGCCGCGGTGTCGGGGCTGGGGACTCGGCCGGGAGGTTCCGGAATCGGCTGTCCGGCAAGCGAACACTTGTTTCGCCGACCAGTGCACTCCGCACAACCCTTCAAGGTCCCAGACCTTTTGGAGATACATCCCCAACTCAACCCCTCGTCCCCGAGGCCCTCGCAGTCCTCGCACTTAGGGTCGTTCACGATACCCTCCTTGGCTTGGGCGCGAGCTAGGCGACGTGATTGCAACTACCGAAACGAACAAGATTTAGCCGAATCCGCTTAAACGCAAGCGAAACGAGCTTACCACCGTCCTCCTGGTCTTCACCTCGCTGGCCGTCCCAACTCGAGTCGAGAAAGGAGGCTCGCCGGGCCTCGCCTCGTGATCGATGATCTCTTGGTCGGTAGCGTTGACGATACCAGCGTGGGCTACAAAGCGGATTAGCTCGAAGCAAACGGTTTCGCTTAAACAATACGAATATTACTCACTATCCCACCACTCGGGCTCAGGCGTCGACGCCAACTCGTCTCCCTCAGTGCGGACCGTGCCGATGTTGATCACGCTCTCATCCCCAATGTCGATGATCGAGTCGGCCCCCTCGCTTTCGGCTAAAATCAAGCAAATCTGGTTCAGCGAAACGAGTTCGATCGACGGGTACCGAGTACGAACCAGCAAATTCAGGAGTCCCGAACGCTCTTTGATAGCGACTCTCGATCTGCCGTTCGTACGCTGACCCTGGAGACGCGTCGGGCGACTCACCCGGTACACCGCTGTCGCGGTAGTCCGAATCCTCATCCTCGGACGTCGCCACCTTCTTCTTCTTCTTCTTCTTCTCCGACAGGTCGTCAAAGAAGTTGGCAGGCGCTGCACCCGTTCGCTGAGTCGGCTGTACGCCCTCGAAGTCGATGGGCCGAGCTGGAACGCGATTATCCAAATTAGCTTCGTCGAACCGGATCCGGTAGAAACCAAACAGAAACGCTTACCAGGTTCCGGGCTCGACGACCGTTGGCGCACGAGAGCACCCCCCAAATCGATGTTCTCGACATCGACCCTCGCACCCGCCGATGCGGCTCCTCTCCCTCGACTCGACCTCGCGCTGTGTCGGCCATGTCGACTCCGCTGAATCGACCTCCCTCGAGGAGTCCTGGGCGGCGACACGACAGCTACAATCGAGCAAGAATAGACATAGTATCAGGTCACGAATTATCAATTCAGGATCCAAGCAGATTCGCTTTACTCACCCGCACTCGGCCCCGCAACCGGTTCCTCGTCGACCACGTCCAAAGGTTGCCCGGTCATGGCAACATCCTCGCCCGATATCGGGCGCCCAGTTGGCCTACGAGCTTCCCCGTAGAGCCCTTCCCGACGAGCCGGTTCACCACCTGCGAAGAACTCAACAAGTTCAGCGAAACGAAACCGCCTTTCGGAACCGAATCTGCTTACCTTCCAACCCCGATCGGGTCACCGACAGCCCCCTTATATTCGAGGCCAAATTCTGGTCGACCTCGTCCATGTCGTCCATATCGAGGAGTTGTTTGAAATCGAAAATTCCTCCGGAAAAGACCTGGTTGACTTCTACACACAAAGCGGAACTGGATCAGTGCACGCAAAGGAACCGAATCGACTCGAATTGCACGAACGAGAAGCTGAGTCTCCTGGATTTACGGTCGAGGCTCGAGAAGGAGTCGAGCGTTCCTCAATCTTGGGAGATACGTCAGGAGACGGCATCGTTGAGTATCTTCGAGAAAGGAAGTGCACAATTCGTTTCAATCGAAACGGATCCGGCTTATACCCCCACTCGACGCGAGTCGATGGGCCTTAGCGAAATGGAAAATTCGGTCGCCATCAAATCAAAACAAACGCGTCGTAGACAATCATCAAACAAATTGATGCGATCAATACTTGAAACACGATGGCTCGGGGCGCGCCATTCCGGAGGGGGATATACTGTTACGGGATCATCACGTGAGTCGACTACCGACACACAGGCTAGATCTACGGACATCAGCATACACCTAAGTCCGGCTCGACGAGGCGAATCCGATTCCCTCGGAGCAGATTCGGTCGTCCCTACCATTCGCCTTACCATTCACCGAAACAACAATACGTTCCCGGTACACATCACACACAGGTACAAGGACCTCGAGGTACACGACAACTCTACTCAGGACCTCGCCAACCTTACTCGACGTACCTAGGGACAAATGAGAACTCAAACTCGCCTCCTCTACCGAATCCGGTTGCTCTCGACAGGATTCGTCTGTTCGCCATCTCGTTCTTCCAGTTTCGCCATCTCTCGCCATTCTTTTCTCTTGGGTCTTTTCAGTGTTCGCCAGCCTCGTCTCCGTACTCGTCTCCGTATAAATAGCTAGAGGAACTTGACCGAATTCGATAGAGGACGCTCTGTAATAGTAATAGGTCAAGTTCCGATATCACATTCAATACACGCCTATCTGACTTGTTACAACATCTTCAAGACGTGTTGCGGAGAGGTTACAACTCAAGGACGTCGCTAAGTATCTACGCTTCATCGTTTTACCTTAGACCGAATCCGGTACCTCACACCGAGTGATCACCTTCCTTATCCATACATCTCTGGATTCGTATCCCGTACCCGAACCCGCTTCATCTAAGCGAACTTGCGACATTCTCCCGACTACCTGCGATTCACCTATAAGCACCCTACGCCTTACGACTTAGGACCTATCTCGATTAGCGACTTCCGCCGTAACAACGAGACCATCGAAGATAGGGTTCCCTTCCCACTGACCATCTGGCCTCTGTTGCCAGGTTTCTCCCTATGAAGACATACGATAGTATATCAGGTCGATGGCCACGACCGGGTGAAGATAGATGAGGTTTCACTCACGTAACAACGATTTCCGAACGTCGTTCGGAAGTGTGCTTTGAGGGCAGCCTTGATGCCATCACACGTATCTTTGCTCAGAGGCTTCGTACCATTCTTCCCTGACACTCCATGAGCGATGTAGAGTTGTACACAGGTCGCAGATCGATCGCTAAGTTCATCGAGCGCTCCGGTAAGATCCGGTTCGGATTCTGCTCGATTCGCGTTCCATTCGTCTAGCCACTCCCGACACCTCCTCATGTACCCTGCGTATGTTCGCTGGGTACGGGGGGCCCTTAGATGACCATCTATAATGGCCTGAGAGGCCTGAGCCGCCGTTGAGGGGTCTACACCCTCGTTATGTCGAATACGTCGTTGTTGGGGACCTTTACGGGCTGATTTAGCAGCCGTAATCTCCTTCCGAGTGGATGCCCTCTTGGTAGGTGCTTTAGAAGTGGTCTTGTTGGCTATATCTTGCGAATTGGGAGCTATAGGCTGGCCTTCAACCGAGTTGTCGTATCCCGAATTGCCGGCTGAAAGGTTTGCCAATTGCACTATAGAGGCAAGGTCGGCCTCGTACTCATCTTCGGGGCGGCTATTGCTAGGTCCGGCTCCAGATGAGTCGTTCCCATGACTGTACGAGTGGGAGGAGGTGTATACTGAGGTCTCTGGTGAAATATAGGAGGGTACAGGCTGGTAGTTCGGTGTGAAAGGGAGGTCCGGAGCGAGCGGAACGAAGGTGCGTGGTTGATGGTGATTTATCACCAACGGTGCGTTGTTAAAGGTCCTAGAGGTGTTCAGGGGGGTTCTACTAGTCATTGTGAAGCTGTCTGATGTGTAAAAGGTAGTATTACAGCTATCGTGTCGATATCGTACATCGATACATCGATCGACTTGTGGAGGTCGACTTCATCAACACTGCAATAATTAACAATTTCACCGTACAATTGACACGTCACTATAGTAGGACTGATAACGCGCGATTTAAGTGAATTTAAACGGGAATTCACCGAGATTTAAATTGAGTCAGGTTATGACCAGCTTGTGCCCTCAGGCAGTTGTCGCGAGCGGCGAGCGGTCGATGAGACAAGTCGACAACCGCAATGCGGTTGTGTCGCTCTGCAATGCGGTTGTCTCGCTCTGCAATGAAACCTGCAATAAACGAGCTCCCATGTGACAGAGTGGGTTATAGAGAGCAATCGAAAGGCAACGGTGCCGCACGGACGAGGGAGTTTCACCGGTCCAGCCGAAAGAATCCAACTCGTTCGAGCGAATTTCCTCCGACTGATAACACCGCCTCACGTGGTTTCAGCACATCCCAATTTCGAGAGATCTCCTTCGGCCTGACCCGTCTCCATTTTTTTTGTAGCCGGGATTTGATGGTGTCATACCACGAGGTGAGGCGGCGGCGGTGGCGGCAAATTGGTGCTTTCGTCATATCCGGGTGCAAGCTGTAGGCTGCAGGAAGCAACGTCACGCGGCCTCACGGGGAGGGAGGGGGAGGCGACGCATGCACACCGCGGAGCGCTCCACCCATGACCCGTCAAAGATGGTGGTGGAACTGCCCGAAATCCTGCTGCCTGCGACGACCTACTGCTTTCGGTAATCCAGCTCCTCCTGGCTCCTGGAGGACCTTTGCACTACTGCCATTCAAAAGGTCCCAACCCTGTTTCTACGGCTGCTCTCCTATGGGATATCGATCCACGCTAAAATAAAACTAGTCGCTAGTCGATTTCAAACACCCGGCAGGGACGACACCCTACCTCGCGCCAATCGTCTTTCAAGCTCGCAATCGCAATCGACTCAGAGCGCACACAGCAGGGAATCTGGTGCTCATCCGAACGATCCACCATTCGACACCCACGACCACGACACGATTTCACCAGTCGAGCCTCCTCACATGAACACCGGACTGGTCTGTTGTCGTTGTCGAGAACATCTGCACAGTCACGCCTAGACCCTAGACAGCCAACAGCTAGGTAGCTAGCGAGATACCACTCGCCGCTGATCTCATCGGTCCAATCCGGTACAATCAGCTTCGGTGACCTCGGACTGGTTAGCCTCGAGCTAGAGTCAACCTCGGTGAACAGCATTTCTGGTCCAGCACCAACTCCCCCTACGATCTCGTCGATTGTAGCAAAGCTTCAACGAGCGTCATCGACACCTCCGAGACGAAGAATTCGTCACGCAATCGACCTCGACCGCGATCGCCACACACAGCACGGCACAGCTGTTCACGAGATACGGAAGTTTCCACAACCACTCGGTTGATCGTGTACAGCGACACGCCAGTCGTCTTGGCCCGAATCGCAACTACATTCAGCAGTAAACATCTCTTATCCCCAAAACTTTCACGAAGATTAGGATCAACATCTCATGAGCTTCAACATGACGTCGGCAGCACTCCCCCCAATCAGCCAGGACTTTGCGAGGCCGAGCCTCTCCGATACCCGACGGCCTGCTACGAGTGCTGGGATCATTCAGCTCTCGGGTGCAGCCTTACCAGGGACCAATAGCCTCGGAGGTCAAGGTCAGCATCAAGCCCAAGGTGGCATGCACGCCGGGCAGATGCAACACAACGCCTTCAACGCGTTGAACGCTCCGGCGATGATGAGCATGAGGATAGGCGGGTCGGCAAAGGGGATGAACTCGGCGAGCATGTCTCTCGAAGCGGCGAGACGGTCTAGCTTGGGATTGTCTGCGATCGATGAGAACGCCCCGACCGGGTTGAATAACGAGCAGAAGGCTCCGATGACGACCCAAGGCTCGGGATTCCGCATACCCACAGGTGGTGGTGGGGGTCCGCCAGGGAGTGCAGGCGGGATGGGTCCTCCAGGGAGTGCGGGTGGCATGAGCAGTCATAGCAACATGCTTCGAAGAGAGAGTGATGCCAACTATGCGGGCGTGTTTGCGCATACCGTCGAGGATGCCAACATCTCACCCGAGAACGGCAGGAGAGATTCGATTGCTTTCAACAACCCGTTTTCTAACTCGGTCCTCGACCCAGCACTCATCTCTGGCGGTTCGCATAGCCGGCCTGGATCGCAACAGCAGCAAGGAGTCAGGTTTCAATCACCCGCTGACCCATCACAGAATCACATGGATTACTACTCTCCGGCAAACGCCTGGCGGCGTGCTTCGGAGCCTCACTTCAAGCACGCTCAAAACGGTTATGGCAGCCTTCCCAACTCTTCCGCTCTATACCCTGGCTCGAGCATGAACGGTCACCCATCCAATGCCAACAACGGTCTTTCCATGCGAGACCTGCAGATAGCCACGTCGCAAGGTCGCACGGATGATGTGCCCGCGACCGCACCCGTTTGGGGTAGTATGCAGCAGCCATCTCCAACATCTGCAACCTCGTTCGCTTCGGCTCCTGACCCTCGTTCGGCGTATGGTGGGTACAACGGATACCCGCCCGCTGCTCACATGCAACAGTGGCAGTACGGCTCGCTAGGAGGAAACGGTCAGACCCAGCCGACACAGCATCAACAACAACAACAGCTTCAGCAGGCACAAGCGGCACAGCGACGACGATCGACACAGGGAGCGACGACGGGGTATTACAGCACTTCGAGCCACAACGCAAACGAGGTATCGAGGAGACCTTCGGTCGTCGAAGGGCTGCAGCAGGGATACGGCCATGAGGCACGACACTCGATGGGCGTGCCGCCTAGCGGTCAATGGGCTGGTTTCCCCGTCGATTACCGATTCGGAGATGTCCCGCCTCAGCACCGCTCGAGCGGCTCGGGTGCCTCGTCGCAGATGGCGAACGGAGGGATCCAGACGGGTCATATCCCCGCTGGGTTCACGATCGGATCTTACCCTGACTCCAGCTTTCAACCTTATGACGATGGTCGGAACAATTCCTACTCGACGGCATCTACGCAGTCTCGACAGAGTTTCGCGAGATTGTCAGACAGCCACATCAGCGATCCTCTTCGACGGAACAGTACGGCCAGTTCGGTAGACGCCCCATATTCTCAGGACGGGTCTCAAGATCCAGCCAGCGGGCCGTCGGTGAAGAAACGACCGAGGCGGCGATTCGACCAGATCGAGCGGCTCTACTTGTGTGGGTATGATGGATGCGACAAGTCGTACGGGACGTTGAACCACCTGAATGCGCACGTGAGCATGCAGAAGCACGGGCAGAAGAGGAAGCCGGAAGGTAGGTCCGCGTGTGCACCTGACATATCTGGCGTTTGCATGCGAATTACTAACCTGGTCACCTACAGAATTCAAGGATATCAGAAGGGAATGGAGGAAGAGGAAGAAGGAGGACGCTCGTCTGGCAGCGGAGCAAGCTATGAGAACCGGAGTGATGGATCCGGCCGCTGCGGAAGCGATGGCCTGGGAGGCCGAGGGCAAGTGGTTGGCCCATTGATGGAAGGAGACCTTTCAAACAAAATCCTTTCTGTTCTGATCGCCGCCGAGGCCTCGACGTAATCATCCAATACGGATATGACTCGAGTCCGCGAGAATCTAGTGTACAAAGCAAACCTTCGAATTCTTCTCTGTCTCACTTGTTGTCCCTTGTCATTGCCATTGCGAATCTAAGCATGTTCATACCTCGCCTTGGTCGGATCGATAGTACCGATTACATCAACGTGGAAGCAGCTTTGATTGAGTTTTTCAAATAGGTTAGCGCTTACAAATTCGATGCTATACATGCTGAATGATTCTCTTTTGACAGCTTTTGACCTCATTCAACAATAGTGGTGTAGTGGTAACATTAGCCGTTGCCATCGGCTAGCACTCGGTTCGATTCCGGGCTATTGTATATATTTTTGCTTTTTCAGAGGTTGCCTTTTTGCGTTTCGCCGGAACGAGCCGTATCATCGCCTCCACTTTCGCCCCGAACCACCTTTGGCTAGCATGGCTAGCGGCTCCACCGCCCTGTGTTCCATCACGACGCATATCTGCCTCATCAGCCATATAGCCATCCACCCCCCTTTCACGAATCGTGCAACAAAGCATCTGCTTTTCAACCTACCGCCCTCCAATCAGCTCGCTGGTCGAAGCTCTCTTCTCATCATTGCTAATCATACCCTGCACGCTTCGGGTCGAGCTTATTTCAAGAGTGAGCGGCGCTATTCGCAAACGATTACAGCCGGCCTGTTTTCTTTTTGGACGAGCGGGCACAGCATCGTTATCAGATATTGCTTGCACATCCCGACAGTCTAAAGACCTGAGAACCGATCGCTTCTCTCGATCTCTGGCGAGGATCTTCTGAGCACTAATCATCACCTAAACTCCAGGCGGATCCGATTTCGTGAAGAAGAACCTGCGATCAACATCGGCGCAATATGAATTCGGTCGTGCAGTCAATCACCAGCGCCTTTGAGAACATACGGTCGCCCTTGCTTGGGGGAACGCCTCGACTAGGTTCAGGTGGGCGTTCCAAGCATCAGGGCGTGGAACAGTACGACGAAGATGGTGCCGTATTCGACGATATGGAGAGTTTGATGAAAGCGAAGGAAGGGGTCGAGGGTGATGATGAGGGGTTGGTAATCAAGGCGGGCAAGCGAGTGCGAAGGGTGGAATTGCGGATCGGAGGCATGACCGTCAGTATATCTCCCTTCTGGCCGCACATGAAGGACATCTCTTATCATCCACATTCTGAATTCGCAGTGCGGAGCATGTGTCGCTTCTATCGAATCCATGCTCAAGGCTCAGCCGGGGATCGTCTCGGTCCAGGTCGCTCTACTCGCTGAGCGGGGAGTGGTCGAATACGATGACGAGTTCGTTGCGGAAGATGGCACCCGATGGGACTCTGCTCGGGTCGCGGAAGAAATCGAGGACTGTGGGTTCGATGCCGAAGTTGTCGAGAGGGGTCAAAGTCAGACTGTGGAACTCAGGGTTTATGGGTGAGTCATGTCGCGTAGGAGGGCCCCCAATACCTTGTCTAATCGTCGCTTCCCTTAGTCTCGCAAATGAGGGTCAGGCTACCTCGATCTCTGAATTCATCTCAACCCTCGCAGGCATAGAGAGCGTTACTTTCCTCTACCCATTCGAATACATCTCGCTGGTACACTCGCCCACCCTTATTACTCTGCGACTGATCGTCGACTCGCTTGCGAAAAGCTACCCCAACTTGACGGTCCTGCCATCGAACTCTTCGACGGACGACGCTCAGCTCGCCTCGTTGCAAAAGCTACACGAGATTGCCGTCTGGCGTAGGTCATTCTGGTTGAGCGGACTCTTTGCGGTGCCAGTCTTCATCGTCAGCATGATGGCCATGTGGCTTCCGCATTGGCTGATGGGATGGACCATGTCAAAGTTGTGCAGAGGGATCTACCTCGGCGACGTTGTAGCCCTGCTGTTGACACTGCCTGTGCAGTTTGGATTAGCCCGCCGATTCTACCGCAACGCCTGGAAGAGCGTCAAGCACGGCGCGGCGACCATGGATGTCCTGGTCGTCATGGGGACGTCGTCTGCATTTGCTTATTCAATCTTTGCCATGCTGGCAGCAATGTTCAACTCGGACGAATCCTACCGGCCGCAAGTCTTTTTCGACACTTGCACTATGCTTGTCTTTTTCGTATCTCTCGGAAGGTACATCGAAAACATGGCCAAGGGCAAGACTTCAGTCGCTCTCACCGATCTGATGTCCTTGACGCCATCCTCGGCGACCATCTTCATCGAACCTGCCAGCGGACACGCTGGAGAGACAGGCGGAGAGACGAGGAAGATCCCGACCGAGTTGCTTCAAGTTGGCGATGTCGTCTTACTCGTTCCCGGAGAGAAGATTCCGGCCGATGGTGAGGTCGTGTCCGGGTCGTCCTCGGTCGATGAAAGCATGGTTACTGGCGAGGCCATCCCCATTCTGAAGCATATCGGGTCCAATGTCATTGGAGGGACCGTCAATGGTTTGGGCACGATCAACGTTGAAGTCACTCGCGCTGGACGAGACACCGCGCTCGCCCAGATTGTCAAGTTGGTCGAAGAGGCTCAAACCAGCAAAGCGCCTATTCAAGAGTTCGCAGACCGGGTCGCGGGAATCTTTGTACCTGTTGTCATGACGTTGTCGCTCCTGACTTTTATCATCTGGATGATCGTTTCACATCGGTCGAACGCATCGACTCTACCCGACATCTTCACTACTCCAGGCGCTACGAAGCTCTCGGTCTGTCTCAAGCTTTGTATCTCCGTCATCGTGGTCGCTTGCCCGTGTGCTCTCGGCTTGAGCACGCCCACGGCCATCATGGTCGGAACCGGCGTAGGAGCCAGGAACGGTATCTTGATCAAGGGAGGCAAGGCACTCGAAGCCTGCAAGGATGTCAGAAGAGTCGTTCTGGACAAGACCGGTACCGTCACGGAGGGACGTATGAAGGTTGTGTCAGTCAACTGGCTGCCTTCCAACAAACTTACGGTCGGAGCTCGGCCGCCTACGACCAATTTAGGTGATGACCACATGGACACAGCAGCTACCCTGAGCCACACCACTGCGGACTCTCATACCCAGCGTTACGTAGTACTCTCCCTGCTCGCTCTCGCCGAAGCCCGTTCGGAACACCCCCTCGCTCTGGCGATTGCCATGTACGGGCGGGACATGCTACTCGAAGCTGGTCTATCCGCTCCCGATGGCGAGGTGGTCGATTTCGTTAGCGGGACCGGTCAAGGCCTCGAAGCCGTTATCCGGCTCGCCAACGGAAGAGGCGAAGCGAGAATCCGGATCGGCAAGAAGAGCTTTGTTGCTGGAAAGGATGGCATGGACGATGCCGAAAAGGGTGAAGCGAATGGATTCCCTCAACAACTGGAAACATTTGAAAAACAGCAAATGGGCCGAGCGAGGACGGTTGTGTTTGTGTCCCTTTTACCAGTTGATCTGGCGGGACAAGACCGCTCGACCGCTGCTGTGCCGATCATGGCGATCTCCTTGACCGACTCGCCCAAGCCTTCTTCGATTACCGCCATTCGTTCGCTGAAAGAAATGGGAATCAAGGTTACGATGCTTACTGGAGACGCCAGAGAGACTGCGCTCGCTATGGCTCGTGAAGTCGGTCTGAACGAGAACGAGGTATATGCGGGTGTTAGTCCCAAGGGCAAGGCCAAGATCATTACCGATCTCATGGAGCGGGACAACGGAGGCGTCGCTATGGTCGGGGACGGTATCAACGATTCACCAGCTCTTGTCGCGGCCTCGCTTGGGATCGCCCTTTCGACCGGTACTTCGGTCGCCATTGAAGCGGCCGACATTGTACTGATGCGATCAGACCTCCTGGACGTCGTCGCCGCGCTGGACCTCGGACGCACGATCTTTAAAAAGATCAAAATGAACCTGCTCTGGGCCTGCTGCTATAACTTGTTGATGATCCCGCTGGCTATGGGCGTCTTTCTGCCATGGGGATGGCACTTGCACCCGATGATGGCCGCCTTTGCCATGGCATTCTCGAGCGTCTCCGTCGTTGGATCTTCCCTGATGCTGAGGGTGAGTGCTTCAAGCGGACTCATCATTGCATCGTGTGCTTCACAAGCTGACGATATCTCAACTCTGTGATCCAGTGGTGGCGACGTCCGGCAGGTTCCGTTTTGCCTGGCCAGACGGTCGAGGCTGGAGGTATCGTACTCGGCTTGCACGAACTGGCCGACGACACGCGAGACTTTTTCGCCAACGCTGCCAGGACTCTGGTAGACAACAGAGGTCCTGGTCGGCTCAACCGGCTTCTTCGACGCAAGAACAGCCGCACTCCGACGGAGAACTATGAGGTCCTGGCGATCTCGTCGTCGGACGATTTGAGGACGGAAAGAATGGCCTGATAGGATTGAATAACCCCGTTTGCGATAGCCTGAGGTAGACCTTCCAAGTGGAGGATGCTCGTTTTGTTTGTACAATTACACGAATCTTAATGCGTTACGACGATGATGATATACCATTTCCCAACTACTGAAGCCTGCTTAGCTCGATGCTCCTAGTAGTTCCCCGCTCTTCGGTCCTCCCGCCTCTGGCTGAGCTGTAGACGAACGAAGAGGATTCGTATGAGCTCGATCCAAAATCCACCACTACGGCTTTCGCGGAATGTGCATACCCATTTCCCCTTGCAGTCCCGATAGGCCTGGAAGAATGTCAAGCACTATCGACGAGGAGGATATCGATGTCAGGTTCGAGAGGCTCTACGGCCGTATGAACAAAAGCCTACCTCGTCCCTGTTGTAGTTCGCCTTGTCCATACAATCCTGAGACGCCTTGGCTGCGGCTTGACAAGGATCCGTCATCTTTGAAGCCCCTCGGTTCTAAGACAAGAATGCCTAAGCGGTCAACAGTGTTCACGAACGAGCTGGTTGACGGTACTAATCACCTTGAGGACCTTTTTGTAATCTGCCGGTTGAGCGAGATCTTTAGAAAGTACCGGCTTCTCCTCTTCGGGCAATGGTTTGGTCGAAGGCGGTACACGGGTGGCCATCACAGTAAGGGGTTGAAGATGATGGCGATGGGCTATGATTTATCCTCGAGCTATTGTTGTCCCTGGTTTGAAAGGTAGACAAGCTAGTAGCGAGTAACTCGAGTAGAAGTGGCGATCGTGCATGCGAATGTAGATGTCTCGTGCATGGACTCTAGCAATCGGTAGCTGACGGAAGCAAATTAAAGGTCCGGGGGGGGGCATGCAATGCAATGCAAGCAAGCATCATCATCCCCGTTTGATTGCTCATAAACCCCCTTCCACCCCCCCCACCTCTTCTCCTCGATCATGATCTCTTCAGCTCCTATCCACCTTGCGCTGTTATATCTTATAGGACTCACAGATATCAGCTGCTATAGTCCAGCTGAGTACAAGTATATTCGCAACACCTGGTGTAAACCGGCATGGTCAACATGAGCTCGCCAACGGACAAGTAAGTCTCGGATCTGCCCGGCAGAACCCGTCCAACCCTTACTCAGCTGTTTCCCCTGCGTACGACAGCTGGGACACCCTGGAAAATGTCTTTTACAGGAAAGAAGAAGTGTATTCTATGGCTTGGGATGTCGCCGACCTCTCGGACTATCACGTAGCTGCAGCACGTTATGGAGGACCCATTGGTGAGTAATGAGTAGTGTTCGCGCAACTTGGGAGATGTACTTATCGAGGACCTTGCTAGCCTTGATACGTGATGAGAACAAGATCGTTCTCGCAGGAAGACATACATCAGGAAAGCCCAAGATCAACGTCTTTACCGCAGCGGGGTACCCCATAGTTACCTTGACGGTGAGACTAGGCAGCAGCGGTTAAATATCCTCCTAGATACTGATATCGCGGGCCTTTCCAGTGGGATTTGCCGACACCTGTGTTTCTCGACTGGACACCACAAGAGAGCCTGGTTGTCCTTGCAGAAAGTGGAGTTTACCGGATCTATGATCTCGCAGGAGATTACAAGCAATACTCCTTAGGCAGCGATGTGGACAGTCTGGGTGTAGTCAGTGCCCAGATCCACGACGGAGGATTCGTAGCGCTCCTCGGGGATCTCAACTTTGTACAAGTGAAAGGCTGGGAAGGTGGACGGCCGACATCATTAGCAAGCCCCAGTGAGTGTTGTCTTCATAGCTAGATCACACACCAGGCATTCGCTAACGGAATGACCGCTACGGCAGGCTTGCAGGAAGCTCCTCGGTCATGGCTGTTGATCCCGCCAGAACAGGCTATGTCAGGACACGTCGAAGTCTTGGTTTCTGTTCGAGATACCGTCTTGTCCATAGACGAGCTTGATAGCGTTGATCAGGTGGGAGGAGTTGCTCATTTCATAGCTGCCGATGTCGATGCTGATTACTGTACACTGTGGGCTGATACAGCACCTGGCAAGAGGTCCATTCACCTCGTTCCGGATGTCCCCCAACGGAAAGTTCCTGGCCTTCATCACCGCGAGCCTATCGCTCTGGGTCGTCTCATCGGACTTTAGTCGAAATCTCTCGGATGTCGATATTAGCACATTAGAGGGCAATCACGACGCGAGCTCACCTGATGATATACAATGGTGTGGGGACCACGCGGTGGTACTGAGTTGGCGGGACGGGAGGGTCGTCGTTGTAGGGCCGGGTGGGGATGGGCTTAGGTGAGCGGAGATGCATGCGGGAGCCGTCTCACAGTCATCTGCTGATTATCTGTCCACGTCACAGCTACGCGTATACGCCTGGATCAGTCCTCATAGGAGAGATCGATGGTTTGCGTATAGTCAGCGCTTCATCATCGGACTTTGTGCAAAAAGTGCCAGGCGAGTCGGTCACCACTGCTTTCCTCTGCGTTCGGTCGAGATACTCACGCAAATGCAGTTAATACCACCAGGCCCGACATTATCGGTATTCCAACCAGGTTCCAGCAGCCCTGCTGCTATTCTCTACGATGCTATGGAACAATTCGACCGGAAATCGCCAAAGGCAGATGAAGCGGTCCGGAGCATCAAGACGGATCTCGCCGATGCGGTCGATACGTGCGTAGAAGCTGCTGGACTCGAAACGGATGCGGTCTGGCAGAAGAAGCTGCTCAAGGTATGGGAGAAGAAGTCAAGATCCATCCTGGATCATGGCAAGCTAATGCTGACTCTAAATCTCCGATCTTGATGACCAGACTGCGACTTTCGGTCGTGCGTTTCTGGATTTGTACAACCCGACAGATCTAGTAAACATGGGCCAGGCATTACGAGTGCTGAATGCTGTTCGTTTCCATGAGGTCGGGATCCCCCTGACTTATCGGCAGTGAGCATATATCGAACTACAACGAAAAGAGCATAAGACTGATCTCGTCGGTCTTCAGATATATGGCGGCCCCAGCAGAACGCTTGATATCGCGATTGACTGCGCGCAACATGCACCTATTGGCCTTGCGGATATCCTCCTTCCTTCAAATCAGATCGGACCCAGTCTTGAAGCACTGGGCTTGCGCAAAGATAGCATCTGCGCAATCTGTAGGTGGCGACAGCACCGCGAGTCAGGATGACGATCTCAGGCGGATCATTGTGAAGAAGTTCGAGAAGGAAGGTATGGCGGTAAGCTATGCCGATATTGCCAAACGTGCTTGGCAGGTCGGACGGACTCGGCTAGCTACCAAGGTATGTGTTCTGCGACTGTTCTCTGACTCGCTACGCTTACGATCTATTGTCAGCTTCTGGAGCATGAGCGACAGGCTGCCGAACAGGTACCCCTTCTTCTGGCCATGAAGGAAGACCGTTTGGCCCTCACAAAGGCGGTGAAATCAAGCGACCCCGATCTGGTATTCCACGTTCTTCTCAACCTGCGCGGCCGTCATACTCCAGGAGATTTCTTCTCGCTGGTCGATGATGGTACCCCGCAACTCGCACCAGCTGTTCGCCTGCTTCAGGTCTACGCCAAAGAGAACGATCGAGATCTGCTTCGTGATTTATACTATCAAGACGACCGTCGCCTCGATAGCGCACTGCTGGAGCTGGAAGAAGGCTGGGCAAAGGAGGTCAGTTCTGATCAACCAGTCGTGCTGCTGCACTGGACGGAATACTGACGTTGCACGTGATCACCAGGACGTTAATGAGAGGCTGGTCAACCTGAATGCGGCCGTCAAATACCTCAGTGAGGACAAGTCACGCTCACTTGAGGCCAAAGTAAGCCATGCCAATTACATAGCGTTTCGTGGCAGACTTGACCTAAGCGCCGTCCTGTCCTAGCTCTCCGACGAAGCACAACGACTATTAACGCAGCAACAGACGATGGAGAGGGACCTGGAAAATCGATACAAACTGATAGGATTGAGCTTGAATGACACGATGTCCGAACTGCTGCGGATAGGACTTGGCAAAAGAGCCGAGAAGGTGCGAAGTGATTGGAAGGTCTCCGATAAACGGTGAGAGAATATGACAACGACTGCTCTTCCCCCTTTGCTAGTGCTCATCCTCGTTGGCTGCTCTAGATGGTGGTGGATCAAGCTGAAAGCTCTGGTGGAATTGAAAGATTGGGAGGGGTTGGACGCCTTCGCCAAGAGCAAGAAGAGTCCGATAGGATATGAGCCATTCGTCGTGAGTATGAAGTTTCAGCTGATTGGGGGAACGCTATCTGATCGAGCTCCACTTGTAGGTTCAACTGCTCGAAAAAGGAGAGCTCACAAGAGCTGCGAACTTCGTCGCACGGTGCGATGTGAAGCGGCGCGTTGACCTATATTTACAGTGCGATGACTGGGGACGAGCAGCAAACGAGGTGCGCTTCTTGCCGCGAGGAGAATTTACGCCAGAAAGCTGATCTCATCTGTTCGCTCATGTAGTGCAAGGAACGGGGTGATAGGGGCAGACTGGAGGAACTCAAACGGACTGCGCCGAATGGGTTAGCACAACGCGAGGTAGAAGAGGTATTACGTAGAACGAATAAGTAATAGACGATCGACGTGTATAGCCCGTCTTCGCACGAGCTTAACTTTCGAGGACACAGCATGTCATATTTTACATGCCTTCTCATCGAGTATTCCTTTACCCCGGACTTTCCACTTTTCACATCCTCGGAGAACGGTATCCAATGAGACGACAATCTCCAGGCCATGCCATTTTCCCAGCCCTTTCCGTGCTGATGTCGATAGATCGGACGCACCGTAAGCCTCGGCCGGTCGATTCGAAGCCAACATCCCAAGACTCTCCAGAACGAAGACGACATCGTCTTGTCGAACGTGAGCCAACTTTGACAACTGCTTCAGCGTGACTGTCTGGGTGACAGGGGTAGAGCCTTGCTCCAGTAGCAATGTGGGAGGTGCAAAGTCTGTTGTCCACAGGTAGATGCATCAGCTTGGATAGCCGGACAGAGATTCAAAGCCTTTCACTCACCTGTATAGCTCAAGAACCCCCCGGACGCCAGTTTACGTTTCAAAACCTCGTTTGCTGTACGAGCCCAATCCTGTAGCTCCGGTCGGTGTGCTGTCTCGACGCCATCCAGAACGATTACCAGTAGACTTCTGAGCACGTTCTTGATCCAGAAAGACTCGTAGCCGATAGCTCCGAGTTCCGAGAGTGGCCTCTCGGGAGTTCCGGGCGAGTCGGCATGCCGTGTCAAATGATAGCCTGAAGTGATGATCGTCAGTCCAACATTAGCTGCGCGATCGGACTCGCGATGACTTACTGAACTCCATCAACATCTTGCCGTACCCTCGACCCTGGTACTGGGGAAAGGCAACGATGCAGGCCAGATTGAAATCTTCAGAAGAGACAATTTCCTGTGTCGAGACACACAAGATCAATATGAGCGAGCAACAGCACAAAATCGGTATGCTTGCTCACCTTCGAGAAGAATCCGATAGCGTGTTCTCGTTTGTACATGTTCTCCGTCAAGACGTAGAAGAGAAAGTTGTCGACCTAGCAAGCAACCGGTCTCGACCTCAATTCCGATATATGTCGTGATACGGCGACTCTTACTCGACTTACATCGAAAAAGATCGTCTGATCGGAGTACGCCGAATCATCAGCGTCGTCTCGTCCACATTGGACCTCTTCATACTCACTTTATGGTCGATGAATAGCTTGCCGAACAAGCTAAGATTCTGACAATATAGCTGCAAGCGCGACACTCACGTCCGATCAACCTCACAACACCACTCGCTTTTGCGATGACGCAGATAGTACTGACCTTTTGAGAATTGCCTTCCACCTCCCAAATACTGTAGCTGCCCTTCTCGTAAACCTTCTTCCCAGGCGGATGATCGACCTTGCATGTACTCTGAGAACGTCAAGCATACAGCAAGCAGCCGATCAGCGAGTATTACAATCAGGGAAGAATCAATAGAGGGACGGCGAGAGCGAGAAAGGACCCAACGCACTGTATGATTCGTATACCCTGCCAGCGTGCGCAGATACTTGAAGCAGCCATCGCATACCCACAACATCTTGTCCTTGACCTTCTCCCCTACTCCTCCTTTGCTGTTCGTCGCCGGCTCGGCGTCCAGCGACAGGGTCTCCCCAGCCGGTGGAGATTTGGCGGTGATCGACAAGAGATCCCTGGTCGTTCGCGATGAAGTAGTCTCGGGATTTGAGGGGACGAATCGTCCACGGGCTCCTCGAACCGTGTGATGAGCCTTCTCCTCCTGAACCAAGGTGCTGGCCGGTGTAGTTGCCGTTGTCAGCTCAGAGAAGGGTATATTCGGTGCGCGTGGAAGTGTTGTGATGAGGGGTTTCGATATCCCAGAGGATGAGGGTTGCGGAGGAAGGGTCGGAGTGCCTCTCCGAGCGGGAGGAAGCGCTTGAGAGGTTGAAGAAGAAGGTATAGGAGGTCTCTCGTCGATCAAAGGGTATGGGGAGTAGAACCTATCGTGAGTTAGATACTACTTCAGCCGTTCTTATCATGCAAGCTGCAATTACAGTAGAAGGCTACTCACCAAGTATCGAGCACCCATCCCCCGAACCTGACCGACCCAAAGTTTCTCGGCTTGCTCGGCGGATCATCGTCGTCGTCTCGGTCCGCATAGAGGTCCCGATCCCGGTCTCGCCTACTTCGATTCTCGTAATGAACCTCCGACGAAAGTGAAGCCACTTCCTTGTTCTCCCGTGATCGCTTCAAGGATGCTGATGGACCTCCGTCTATGGCCTATACAGCCAGGCGGAGAAAACGCGATTCTTTCAGCGCGGGGATGATGTCCCGAGTTCAGCCGTCAGACTCACGTTGCTCACATCTGCCCTGTGTCTTTTACGAGGAGTTTCCGTGGTCATAGCTGAGCTATGAACTTTAGTATTACCAGTTGTAGTGAACAAGCACGTCGACTCGACGAAGCCACAAGACCTTCCCCATCATCGACCTGCTCGGATCGGGCGTTTGCTGCTGCTCCTCTCTGTTTACGATGTGGGATGCGAGAGGTGCACGTCGTCGAATCTGACGTGAAGGAACTCAAGAAGGGCAACAAGAACACCCAGACGGCCGTGGACAGTTTCGTCAAGTTCTCCCAGATAAGTAGTTGCAAGGGCGTTGAGAGGAACGCCAAGAAAGACCTCAAGTATGTCGAGAGAAACTTGAAGAACGACATCAAGCGTTTCGACAGGGATATCAAGAAGAACATCAACCGTGTCGAGACCAATTGCAACGATGACGTCACTCACGACAACCTCAAGGTCACTGTTCGAGCATTTGGGCAGGCCCATTCAACAGATCAGATAGAAGAGAAAGACTGACAATGATGAAAGCGAGGGGAACAAGAGGAGGACGATCAAGGAGGGAGACAGAATACACCCAAGTCAACACCAAGAAGCAAGATGTGTCCACCATCGTCGGGTTGGTCAGGTTGGAAGCGGGTCTGGGATCAGACACCTGGGAGTTGGCGGTCAGGTTGGGGGCGGATTTGGGATCGGTCAAGTTGGAAGTGGTGGTCAGGTAGCGAGCGGATCCGGGATCAGTCAGGATGAGAGCCGAACTGGAACCGGACAGCTCGGGGTCGGCGTTCGAGTTGGAAACGGATCTAGGGTCAATCTGGTCAGGGTCGACAGTGAAGTTGGAAGACGCGTCGACAAGGACAGGTGGGAGACCGTTATCGATATCGACAAGATTAGAAGGGACACCCAAGGCAAAATCGGAGGCCAAGAGAAGAAGGTTCAAGCGGTGGCGAAGGAGGCCAAAGCCAGCAAGGTTACGGCAGGCCAGGCGAAGAAGGAGGCCAAGGAGGCTTTGAAGCAAGCCGGCGAGGCGAAGAAGGAGTCCAAGAAAGCCTTGAAGCAAGCTGGCGAGGCGAAGAAGGAGTCCAAGGTAGCCTTGGACAATGCGAAGAAGGAGTCCAAGGAAGCCTTGAAGCAAGCTGGCGAGGCGAAGAAGGAGTCCAAGGTAGCCTTGAACGATACCAGATGGATGGCCCAGTTTCTCAAGGGTGCTGCTTCCACCATCGTTGAGAGTTGTGGGGGTAGCATCGACTGGGACCGTGCTGGACACCTGGGAGTCGGCGGTCAGGTAGCGAGCGGATCCGGGATTGGTCAGGTTGGGAGCCGAATTGGAACCGGACAGCTCGGGGTCGGCGGTCGAGCCGGAAGCGGATCTAGGGTCAATCTGGTCAGGGTCGACGGTGAAGTCGGAACCCGATCTGGGATCGCTGGGATCGATCTGTTCAGGGTCAACGGCGAGGTCGAGGCCGCCGCCGGAAGGCCTGAGACGGTCCAGTGAGTGACGATGCTCTCTACTAGAGGGGTCATGCGCTGAATATCCCTATCCTTAGATCAATCGGGACCGACGCTGGAAAGAGCAAGGCCAATCACGACGGCGAAGGGCGAAGGACATCAAGAAGACCATAGACGACTCCGGCAACAACGAGAAGGGTCTCAGAAAGAGGGAAGCAATCGCCAAAGAAGGGAAGCGGATGTCCAACAAGGCAACCAAGATGGTGCAACAGACAAAGAGTCAGGTGATGAAGACTGCTAGAAACCTTGGAGGATATGAGGGCTTGATCAATCACTCTCAATGGGCAAGTCTACACAATTGGTGACCGGCAAGGGAAGTGGTGTCGCGCAACTGTCGGGATCGGCTCGAAACCTCAAACGATGGGTATTTGAACACCTGTGATAATGCTTTCAATTGCTGGTTACTGATATATGCATCGGAAGTCTGTATGATTCTATTCTATGGATCTAAATGATACGCCTAAGATGATCGATACATTCTGGACCGCAGCTTCCGCTACACCTTCTGCAATGAATCAGCAATCGTTTCGGGGTGGAGAGCGGTCAGTTCTCGGAGTCGCTCGTAATTGGAGCATCGGGTGTCGATCTAACCAGGCCAGGCACATCACCGATAATGCCTTGAGCCCAGGCGTCGATTCGTTTCTCCCGTCGAAAGGGAATCACGTGTTCCCTCTGGAACTCGTCATAAAATAGGCAGGCCTCCTTGTTCGCATCGGACATGTTGCCCAGACTCTTCCATTTCGCACGGTATTGAGCCTCGTCATCGCTCTCGTCAAGGTAGTCGTCGTCACTGAGGTAATCGTTACCGGCGGTTCCGCCGTTGGCCCCCTGATCTGCGGTTCCGCCATTGGCCTCCTGATCTCGGCCGCGCGAAGATCCGCCGGTTTCTGGCTCAGGAGCTTCGTGTATGGTTGGTGATATGTTGACGCCATTTGTAAGAGGGGAAGATGAGCGCGGCAGATTCCCCCAGATTTCCGTGATTTCGACGAACTTCGCGCCGCTAAGAACGGGACGTAAGGTCATGGTGAATCTGTTTCGTCCTGCTTGCTGATCTGCGACCATGCTCCGAGTTTGTTCATCCAGATGCTTCAAGATGCTATAAAGATTACGGCGTGCCAGCTCCCGCTGCGAAGGCACGGGGTGCTGCACGTCCCATTCTTCGCCGCCGACGCTCTCGGTGAATTCTTGCAAGATGCGTCCTAACGGCAACGAATTGCCGTGGTCCCAGCCTCGTACTGGTACCACCATATATAGGCGTCTTTCCTCTGTGTCCCACCGGAGAAATCGGTACTCCGTTCCAGCGACTACCAAGCCCATGGCACAGCCGTCCATTAGAAGGGCTTTGGCGGTGTAGACCACGATTTGCGCCATAGCCTGGATATTCGACGTAGCAGCAGTCGTCGGATGGGTGCTGAGAGGTTCGTTCTAACTGCGAAAGACTCACTGTATTCCAATTCATCCTGGGCTTGCTCTTGATGATCATGCAGATTCTGTCCATCAAGAAGCCGGAACGGTTCCTAGCAATATAGGAGAGTACCCAATCCGGCTTATTGTGGTTGACCGGGATGAGAGCTGCTTAGACGGAACACATGAGTATTAGGCTACGCGACGCGTTCCTGTCGAAAAATCTACCTGAAGTTTTCACGGCTCCGCCGCATGTCAAGCTGTCGATGCTATCACCATATACAAATGGTGTATATTTCTTCCGTTCTTCAAGATCAATCGAGGTCACAAAATGCAAAACCCCGACGGTAAACCAGTTGAATAGAATGCTCCAAAAGAATCTTGTACTGGTTTCGGACCCAGGATTGGGAACCAGAACGGGGAACCATTCGAGGAATGCTGCCTCAGTTCCCATGGAATGACCCCTCATTGGATAGTCAACATCGAGAGATATATGCTCTGAAACAAGCGAGAAAGGCGCGATCAGCAGAGCAGCTCGCGGGGGGCTGCCTGTCCCTAACTAAGTGAGACTTGCCATTGTCGAGAGGCGCATCATCGGGGTCCGACATCGATTGTGGTAAAGATTGTACTTGAGCTGGTTGCTGCATATATCTGTCCAACGTAGGTCAAATAATAAAAGTCGACATACAGACTTCAGGGAGAATGTGTGACCAGGCGAACAACTATGACAGGTAACGCGGAGATGCGGGCCCGACTCACGATTCTGGCGTTGTCGATGTCGTGATCGACGCCGACGGGGATCGGAATCCTTGCTGATGACGTTCGTTTGGAGCGAGCTTGTGCATCCAAGGGGTAGCTATCAATCCCATTGCTCCAATACCGTTCATGAGGAGCTCGCCATCGCGGTCACTTACGGATGGAGAAGAAATCGAGGCGTTCGAGATTACGGATCGCTGTCGAGCTCGATAGGTGTGGCGTAGGCTAGGTTCCAAGGCCGGTGTCGGTTTGACCGCGACAACGGCTTTGTTTGTGGTTGATTGAGTTGGGTTCAGGTAACTAGGGGTAGAAGAGGAGGAAGCAATAGAAGCGATTGCTTTGGCACGGGGAGGGCTGCGTCGAGGTTGCGGGACCGTGTTCGAGACAGGCTGCTTGAGACCCTGGTCGGAAGCCATCTTTGGTAAAGTATTCAGGGTCAAAGCGTCAGCAAGGAGGGCCCAGACAGAGATGGATGAGTATGCCTTTTGTTTTGGAACAATCGCCTTGTTAACAGGGATCTTATCTTCGACCTGCACGGTGTTGAAAGGATTCAACCCCAGCCGCCGGGATTGAAGCGTCGGCCTCGTACGTATGAGAGTGCCTCGTGTTTGGGCGATTTATGGTATCCGAGTGAGTTTTATGAGTGGGAGAAGACTTCCCTTTTCCAGCTTTTCAGGACTAGTACTGTACGAGTTGGGGGTGATCAGAAGAGGTAGGTACAGGAGAGAGCTGGTTTGGCTTTCGGCGCTGACCGGCAAGTCGCGCGCCTGTCATACTAGTACCACTACTCGCTACTCGTACATCATAAGATTCATATATCATACAGATCGAAGATCTCAAGATCTAGATGGCACATCTATCGGTTTTGACGTATATCCACTCGGTCCGCTTGCTATGCCTTCTGCTCTGCGCGGCTCTGCAACGCCCTTTCACGCATCTTTTGTCCCATCGCATCGGCTTCTCGGCTATAAGGCGATTTGAGCCTGATGGTGCGACCGAATTTGAAGAAGATGAATGGCATAGGCGCACAAGCCAGAGCCAAAAAGGCGACTAGCGTGCCCGCCCAGTTGACCCCTGGAAGAGAAGATCGATGATCATCAATCGACAAAGCGACCGCGTATCTCAGGGTGGTCTCGTTCTTACCCAGGTTCGCATACATGTTCGTAACGAACAGAGGAAATACCGTCCCGAACAAAGATCGGATGATTGAATTCGCTGCCAAAACCGAGGCCGCATACAGCAGGTAGGAATCGACCAAGTAGTTCTAGTGACGTGGTATCAAATCAATTGGATGCAGACACAGGTCGCAGTTGATGGGTACTCACGAGAATGGGCAAGAAGACCATGACCATGCCTGCGATTAGGTCAGACATGTCAGAACTCGTCACAAGCGAGTAGACCGTTTTACGCACCCATCCCGAACGGCGCCGAGCATATGATCGGTGCGATCCAGTGAATAGACTTTGGTGAGGCAGTCCATGCGAATGAGAACAGCCCCTGCGGTCGCTCAAATCGGGAGAAGTCAGTCTTTGTTGACATTACCTATTCAGAATCGACTAGTCTCACAATGCTATTATGTGTAAACCAAAGTCAGCGTCTGCAACCTGACATCGCCCCGTTTTCCGACGTGACTCACGGCAACAGCAATCCCCCGATGAGCGCAGGCACTAGACGCTGCTCTGGCGGTAACCACCCTTCGGCATCGTTCCTCCTGCTGTACCTCGGATTCTCGATGAAGATTGTCCATACCAGAGCGAGGAAGAAACCAACAAGGATCCCGAGAAACGAGAGGCCACCAATGCCAGGAGACCACCCCCTTTCTTGTTGGAAAACGATTGGGAAAGCACCGAAGAGCATCTACGACGGGAAACGATACGGTCGAGCGGGTCAGGTGATGATGATGAACATTCTGCCCGAATCCACTTACGTAGAGGGTTCCGTAAACGATGGCAAGACTGACGGCGCCAAGCTTGTCAGCGCAAGTCCAGCCGAAGACATGTACCGCCTCGGACTTACTAGAGCGAAAGCAAAAAGACGATAGGCTCCCGAAACAACAGGACCCAGGGTTTCGACAACGCGTTCTTGAACAACTGCTTCGGTTCCACCTTCTTAGGAGCGCCCTTGTAACGGTAGACATTCCCGGTCACCTTGCTAAGTAGGGCAGCCCGCCGATTGAGCAGCAAGGGTGCGTACGTCTCGGGAGTGATGAAGAAACCGACGACGGTGAGACAGCCGCTGAACATAGCGATTAAAGCGGCAACCCATCTCCAACCTCCCGTCTCGCCGAGGAAGCCTCCGATCTTGATGTACCAGATCACAAGACGGGTTAGCCGAAGTCCCGAAAGATAGCTTCGCGCTTGATCCACTCACGATAGGGCCGACACCAGGTCTGTCACGGCAAGACGACTCTAAATCAGTGAGGGATAGCCTCAAATGACATGTCGATTTTACATACCCAAGAAAGGGAGCCGACGCAAAGACAGCCATTCCAAGGCCACGTTGCGATGCATTGAACATATCTGCCACGGTCCCTCTACATAAGACCAATCAGCAACACAGCGGTCTCGGATGTCAATCGGACTTGAGCGACCCACCCCGCATTCGTAAGAGGAGAGCTTCCCGCAGTACCACAGAAGAATCTGAGGATGATGAGCGTCCAAATGTTTTGCGATGCGATGACTCCCCCATTGAAGATGGTAAACAGGATGTAGGTGAAGATGAACTGTGCCGATCACGAAAGACGTCGGTTCATCAGCACGGGCGCAGGTCGACTAGCGCGCGCTGCAGATGGGACGTACCAGGTTACGGCGGCCGTAAAGCTCGCTGCAAGGAGCCCACATCAAAGGTCCTTTGAGCGAGGAGGAGCCGAGACGATAGCGATGTGAGAAGGACTATCTCGTAGGCCTTTGACTTGTGCTCATGTGCTGCAGACTCACCCACAACGAAACCCAGAACGAAGCCCGAAGTCACCATGGTGTAAGCTTGCGTCTTGTATCCAGGGCTGTGTGAAGATCGAACCGAAGATTGTAGTATTGGACGGACGATCAGTAAACGAGATCGGTTGATGAGAGGTTCAAAGCTGAGACTTGCAAACTCTCCCGAATCGAGATCGTAGCGGCGGATCTACCCAAACGATCACTTGTCAGTGGGAAAATCGAGAAAGGAAGCGCTCCATCCGGACTTACAGTGTGCTGCTAGCCATGGACACGGCTAGAGTCGCAATCGCCGCCGTCAAGGTGATCACCCATCTGTTGTCGAACAGAAAATGCATCAACTCCCGGCCCCATGGCAGACCTTTGACCCTGTCGTCCTCGAACGAACTTGTAAGGGGTAGCCCATGTCATTGGATTCTCCGCATCGTCATTAAGCCAATCTATCAAATACGGATCGGCTTCCGTGCCCTGACCCGGGTATTCTTGCGATGCGATCCTGCTGAATGGGGTTATGTTTACTTTCCGTCTCCAAGGTCGAACCTTGAGGGTGTGATCTTGACCACCGTCAACGGCCATGTCTGAAGGCCTCTTTTCCGGAGGAGGTGTGGTTGAAGTTTCCGAGCTCATGTCGAACCAGAGACGAATCGTTGAACGCTGCTTTGTGAAGCATGATGGCGGTCATGTGGCCACTACTACTGTTATTGAGATCCCCATTGATTCTATATATATTTCCCCTCCCTTCTCCTCATAAAATCTAGATCACGACCGATCAAGGGGGGCAGGAGCAGGAGAGCCCAAGTCGGCCTGTCCGGCAGCCTAAATGGCGCGGCCAAGCGATTAGGCCGCCGATCTCAGCATATTTAGGCTGCCGGTACTCTCCAAGTCTGCGACATGCCCCAAACAACAACGGACACTTGCCGTGACAGTGAGAAGCGATTAATAACCTCGTCGGCCGACAAGGTAGAGAGATATGGTGTCGGTTGATGCAAGGTAGAGAGAGGCAGATATCTATGTTCTGGGATTACAATATTAGACGCGGAGAGTACGGAACCGGGACCCCATGAAGAACAACAGAGAGGACTATATTACACCATGCAACTCTAACTCGGTCCATAACCTGCAACGGATCCCCAGCTACAAATCTCATACCCTACAGATCGCTAATCATACCCCAACAGTTTGGCCAATCTCGATCCGGCCCTATCGAATCCTTCGCCCTCTTCCAGCATTAAATAGCTCATCACCTTGTAAGCGACGACGACAAAGACCAACAGCCCGAGCTTGATCATCCGTTCGGTATTCGCCGGCAGGTAAGGGTTCTCGGCCGGGTTGATCTTGTTCCTGTTCAAGGACGACGAGGTGGAGGGTTTCTCGCTCTTGCTCTTCTCTTCGACAGCGACGCTAGCGGCAGGCTCGTTGGCACCGGGGACGTGACGCCGTTGTTGCAACGTGCCCATCGTCGATGATCCAGCGGACCCAGCGGGAGTCGTCGAAGGCGAGGGAGGTTGAAGCAGGCTAAAGATCCGGGTAGATAGGCGGAACGACGTGATGGCCTCTTGTACGAGCTCGGCTATAGTGCGCAGAATATGAATCTCGATCAGCTTCGATAACATAAACGCAGCAATGCCCATTCCAATCGCAACCAAACAGGCGGGGCGGACTCACCTTTCAACGCCTCATCATCCCCGACGTTCATATCCATGCAGTCTCTGAACCAATTCTTGATCCCCTCGACCTTCTTCTTCCTCTCATACAACGTATCCCCACCCTCCCCTTCCTTGCCTCCCTGTTTATACACGCTCACACCCCGCCCGTTCCCTTCCTCGTCGAGGTCAAACTCGTAAAATGCCGTGCCGCCCGGAGGAGGCGGCAGAGAGTAGACACGTCGGATCTTGGCGGCGACGAGTTGCCCTCCAGAGAGATCTCCTAGGTAACGGACGTAGGCGTGTGCGAGCAGCCGACCTGGATGCGGTGAGGCCGAGGTGGACGTCAGGTGGTCCGTAAACGCTTGGAGATCCGAGGGAGGAGAGGTGATGATATCCCTGACCAAATCAGGGGTGGGAAAGGGGATCGAGTCGAGTTGTCTTTCAGAGGAAGGAGCCGGGATGTTGAGGTAGTCGAGGTAATAGATGATATCCTCGGCCAGACCGTCCGAACGACGGAGCATCCGACCTTTTCCCTTTTCGTCGCTCCATAGCGCGTACAACGCATCGACCGATCCGTCCGTCGAACTCGAAGTCGAGCCCCGAGCGACCACCTCGTCCAGCTTGTCCTCCAAGACCCGGTAGACGACCCAGAGAAAGACCAAGTACCTCACGTATTCGCTCAACTCCAACGTCCCCGTCGCCAGAGCGATCGCTCCGGGAGAATGTTCCGCGTCGGCATGTGCGATCTTGGTTCCCGATTTCAAGAGGGTCGAAAGGGGTAGCGAGAGGTCCAAGGAGGAAAGGTCGGCCTGGGGTGCGGTGATGATCGGTGTAGAAGACTGGGCGACAGGGGTAGGGGCGTGCATCTCGACCATCTCCGGGGGTAGGACGATGGAGGGGGTGGTCATCCCGGACGCGGGACCAGTGGAGGATGCGTTGCGGTAGAAGGCCGGTTTCTATCGATGTGACGGAAAAGGGAACCAAGTCAGTTTATCGGGTTGTTCCGAGAGGCGAAAGCTGGGGATATTGTGTCCGGGTCGTGCTTACACTGGAAGCCATGGCGGATTTATCTCCTATGTGATGAATGTACTATGTATGCAGTTGGTTCACAAAAAGTCGACAAGAGTCTTTGGAAAGATATGTTTCGACGCGGTCAAGGTATATACGACGATAAACCTTAGATGGGTTGTTGACCCGAAGGTCGATTGCGTGCTTCCTCTCGTTGCTCGTTGTCTGATAACAAGTGTGAGCCTTGGCAACCCACGCGCACAGGCGGACATCAGATGTAACTATTCAATGTCCGCTTACCCCCTTACGTCACGTCACTCCCTGGCAGCGTCGATCGCCCGAAATCTCGACTCGGGGTTGGGTTGACTCGAGAGAGAGAGAGCAAAAGTCAGGGAGAGAAAGTTTAAAAGAGAGATAGAGATACCTCGATCATCTTCGCATCTCAACCTCTCTTCCATACAGACATACGCCTCGCAACCATGTCCACCTTCGGTCACCTCTACCGTGTTCACACCTATGGCGAATCCCACTGCCGATCGGTCGGTGCCATCATCGACGGCGTGCCTCCCGTGAGCTCTCATTTGATCGCAAGCAGATTTCTTGCAAAAAGCTAACTTTAACGAATCTCTATCATGTTTCGATGATCTCAGGGCCTCCGCTTGACCAACGAGGACATTCAGACTCAGTTGTCGAGAAGACGACCTGGACAGAGCGATTTGACCACTGCTGTGAGTTCCATACGTTTATAACGAATTTACTCGCCTCCTAGCCCGCAAGCTAATGCCTTTCGTACGTGCTCACATCCTCAGCGAAACGAGTATGACACGGTCGAGATTCAATCCGGAACCGAGCACGGAGTCACTCTCGGAACACCCATCGGTCTCCGGGTCATGAACAAGGATCAACGTCCTCACGACTATGCCGAGACCGACCTCTACCCCCGCCCTTCTCACGCCGACTACACCTACCTCGCCAAGTACGGCGTCAAGGCTTCTTCCGGCGGTGGAAGGTCTTCGGCGAGGGAGACGATCGGACGGGTCGCCGCCGGTGCGATCGCCGAAAAGTACTTGAAGGAAGCCTACGGTGTCGAGATCGTCGCTTTTGTCACGAGCGTGGGCAAGGTCAAGATCCCCTTTGTCGAAGCGGACGAAGAGGAAGGTCCCCTCGGCAAGGAATACGTCGAGCTAATCAACAAGGTTACTCGGGCCGACGTCGACGCTCAGCTCTCAAGGTGTCCTCACGTGGAGACGAGCGAGCGTATGGAGGAAGCCATCCGAAAGGCCAAGTCTCAAGACGATTCTCTCGGAGGTACCATCACCTGCGTGATCCGTCGCGTGCCACACGGGCTGGGCGAACCTTGTTTCGACAAGCTTGAGGCTTCCCTCGCCCACGCCATGCTCTCCATCCCCTCGACGAAAGGGTTCGAGATCGGTAGTGGATTCAGGGGGACCGAGGTACCGGGAAGCAAGCACAACGACATGTTCATTGAGCGTGAGGATGGGACTTTGGGAACGGCGACCAACTGGAGCGGTGGGATTCAGGGTGGAATCACCAATGGCGAGGACGTCTACTTCAGGTGAGCCAGGCCGTCGTCGTCGTCGTCAGTGTCGTCACCAATTTGTGCTAGCGACTGACGCATCGTGCATTTCAACCACGACTCGTCCTTGTAGGATCGGGTTCAAGCCCCCCGCGACGATCGCACAGGAGCAGAGCACCGTCAAGTACGACGGGTCCGAGGGAGTCCTCGCCGCCAAGGGTCGTCATGATCCTTGCGTCTTGCCCCGTGCCGTACCTATCGTAGAGACCATGGCCGCTATCGTCCTCATGGAGTGAGTCCCCCCTCTTTACTCCTCCTCGAGGCACACGTCCTTCGAACTCGAAGCCCAATCACTGACGCATGCTCGGTCGCTCCTTCCTCGCTCGCAGTGCCGTCCTCGCTCAGAACGCCAGGACCGCGGCTGCCGCCCTCTTGCCTCCTCTCACCCACTTGCCGCCGACTATGGTCATTCCGGGTAAAAAGACGGTCCAGGCCATCGAACGTGGCGAGAAGGTCGGGCTCATCGGGGAAGATGGCGAGGCGCCCGTTCTAAAGGGACAAGAGGCCGAAAAGGCCGTCGTCGGGAACAACAAGTCTGGGGACGAGTAGCGAGGGGCGAGCGAGCATGCAGGACGGTCCGAAGCTTGTAGTCCCTTCAGGATATCATCGTAGCACCTTGATATGATATAGATTTCATACCTGCTTCTTCCCTGTTGTCGAATACGCGAGAGGTGTACGATCGATCAGTCTGGCGAATGATGGGTTTGAAGCCGACTGTAACATAGTCATAGATAAACTCGACACACGACATTCGACAAGCGCTCGAGAGAACTTTGCCAGAGAGCCGGTAATCGTGGTCGATCGACTGGTTGGAGTCTGGATCGCTTTGCAACACAGGTTCGGTATTATCGAAATGTTGATACAAGGTGATCGGGCTAATATAGTTCGTACAAGATAGAACGAAATCCGCTCAACCCCTGACCCTTCCCCTTCCGTCGAACATCCTTCCCGTACCCCTCTTGACCGGACGATCTTTTCGACCTTCCTCGTCTTGCTCTCCGTTGTGGTTGTATCCGAAGCACGAGATAGGGAGAGGGGACCGGAACAAGAAACGAGAAGAGAAGGAAGAAAGAAACTATTGATAATTACCGTATCGGTGACCAGAATCAGCCTCGTAGTCCTCCTGTCCTCTTGGATCCCTCCTATCCTCTTGTACCTCCGCTGCGTTGACTATAGCAGAAAAAGGATGGTCAACCTACAACCAACTAACCGAGAAGGGAACTCGCCCTTGACGTCTTCATGTCCTTCTTCGTTCCATGTCCTCTTCCTCCGTGTCCTCTTCCTCCATGTCCTCTTCCTCCATGTCCTCTTCCTCCATGTCCTCTTCCTCCGTGTCCTCTTCCTCCGTGTCCTCCTCTTCTTGGCTTGTCTCGATCTATAGCGGCAGAGAAGAGGTACTCAGCCCACAACTGACCGACCGAACGGGACTCGCCTCGAAGATCTTCGTGTCATCTTGAACTCCTCCTCTCCGTGCCCTCCTCTTATCCTCCTCTCTGATCCTCCGCTAATCCATCCTCCTCTTCGCCTCGCATCGTTCCTCCCATATCCCTATCTTCCCGCCCGAGTCCCCTTCGTATTTCCCCCGAGTCCTCCTTGATGCGCATCGATCTCTAAATATGGATGGTAAACTATCTCGTCCGAGGGCGTGCTGGGGTCCCGCTAAGGTGACGGGGGTACTGAGAACCCCGAGAGGTGTGCCGAAGGTGGTGCTAAGTCGAATCCGAGTGCTATATCGAGGCCGAGTACTATCTCAAATCCAGGTCGAGCTAGCTAGACTGAATCGAGCAGACGACGTGACAGTAGCGAGCCAGTCAGTCACCCACATGATACGATTGGGGGATGGACGGACCGGATGTTCACTCACAAACAAAAAGAAGAAAGATGCGATGGCGACGTGAGCGTTCAACGAGGTTAGCGGTACTGACGAATAACGTAGGCGAATCCTGAAAGCGAGGTGAATGAACGGAGCGTCAGTAACCAAAGATTGGCTGTGCGGACACCGAGAACACGACCGGAAGCCAAAGGAGAAGAGACGAGAGCAGATTGCAAGAGAAACAAGAACGAGGAAGAACCCGATGGCTATGTTGTTTGCGATGACGGTGGTCTATGTGATGTCGAGTCTCGAGTGAGAAGGATGCGAGGATGCTCGATGAGAAGAAGAAGAAGAGGAGTAGAGGGGCAAGAGAGATGGCGGTGGGGTGGAGCGGTTTATATAGGAATCTGCATGGCGAGTGGCGAGAGGTCCGAGGAGAGAGAACGAGGAGGGAGAAGGAGAACTGGGCCAGCCCGGATCACGGGACCAAGAGATGGCCGCCCCCGCTTCCATTTGGTCGCCCGCCAAGCGCGATCCACCGCTCTCTATCCCCGATAAATGCTGGTGTCCAGCTCTTGCATACCTGTCTATAGGAAAAAGGCATGCAAGACCACACCCTTGGATCGCTTCTCACATCAAACCAAGTGAAACCGGATCTTTCAAGCTGATGGGAACTGATTTACATGGTAGACGAGCTGTGAGAACATTCTTTTTCGCTTGCATAGACTCATTGTACATAACAAGAGGCCACTAGACATGCTAGACACCGGCTCCTTGACAGTTTTCCGCCCTCACAATCACTGGCAGAGACGTTTCGAGTACCATTCGAACCTCAGGCTGTCCGCTGTCTGCATGTTCGAGGTCTGACGCGCACTGAACGCTATCCGGGAACGTCGAAACGTTCAGGGGATCAGGGCGACGCTTCAACCTTTCCGACCGGCCGAGTCTGCATTCGAAGCCATCCGCGGATCGTGTTTCCATCGCTGGAATTCGGGCAGTTCCATGGTCGAGCCATTCCGTAAACTTCCGTTCTCAACCCCGCCATGAGATTTTGATCGCTTAGAGCGAGGTGAAACGTGAATTGATCGCGCTTAGAACAAATTACGTAACCGCGGCAGGCGCGAAAGGGAGGGGAAATCGAGAACAAAAGAGAGATACTGATCGCTTCCGAAGACAACAAATTATTGATCAAAGAAGATGCCGGATATTCCCTCCGGTATATCGGTATAGAGACTCGCTACGACACGTGATACGGCTAACTCATTTCCGACTCGCATTTCCCTTACGTTTGACAACAACTTAAAACCCGTCTCTCAATACCCGCATCATCCCGATGCTGAGAGCGATGAGCGTGAGTTGTAATGTCGAGATGTCGAGGTTGGAGTAGTATTGCGCCGTTGGTCTAGTCTTCGAGGATCTCCCCATCCTCGAGAAGCTCCCCCTCCTCGAGATCCGCCCTTTTCCTCCTCTTGTCCGTATTCTTGTTCCTGCGATGAGGCCAGCGTGGTGTGGGATGTGAGTTACGAGGAACACGAATTAAGTATGGGAGCTGGGACTTCATGTTGACTCACTGGTTCGGATCGACTCCTTCACCCTGACCAGTACTGTTGGACCTGTTGTTGAGACGGCCACCGCTCCCACTGCCCGAAGACCTGGGTGGCGTGTCAGCAGAATGCCTCTAAGTAGAGTACTAGACTCACTGGATGGCGTTGTTCCCTCCGGCAACATGGAAAAGACGAGAAGCCAAGCGAGCTGTAGCATGTGTGTTGATATGTTAGGAACTTAAAAGAGCGCATCTGCCGGTGGATGATGTGGATGAACATACCAGCAGACGCCATCTGTTCCTGAAGATACTCTGCGACAGCCTTTCCCTGGCTCCTCTGTTCCTCTTGTAGTCGCTTGCGAACAATTTCCTCGACGATTTCCTCGATTTTCGCAGTAGGGATCGTGTTGTCGGCAGTAGGGATCGTGTTGGCGGAAGTCGTCTTGCCAGAAGTCGTCTTGTCAGAAGTCATCTTGTCGGACAAGTATTTCAAGTCGTCACGCATATTGTCGACCAACTCAGGGAGATATTGGAGATCCTGAACTTCGTGTTCAAGATCCTGCACTCGGTGCTTGACTAGTTGGACCGTGCGGTGCAGGTGAATCTCGTACCAGTGGGGCTGCATGTCGATTGAAAGAGTTGGTATGTGATTGTCAAGAGAGTGTAGGTGTCTAATGTCGAGTCCCCGGTTTACAGGTGTTGTATTTCCGAAGAAGCAGCGGTATCTTTTAGCGAATAGGTCGTCGATAGGATCGGTCTAATCAGTCTGGATCGAAGCAGGCAGTGAGTGCGAGCGGAATGTAAACAAAAAATAAACGTGTTACGTGTTGCGAGCTTCCCCGCTGGGTGCGCAAACAGATACCGCCAGGAAATATTCGAGTACTGCTGGATATCAAGTCGACCACTGCCTTAACACTTGCATCAATACTAAATCACAAGGTGATCCTTTGAATACAGTTGATATCACAAGGTGGTCCTTCAAGATTGAAAGTGGAACGTGCAAGTATACATGTTGTGATATGCCAATGTCATATCCGTGTCGAGCCGGATGTTGAGGAGAGAAAAGGAAACGTATGATCAAGGCAGCCTGCCTCTTACTTTACGAATTCTAGAGTGTCTCCTGTACGAAGGACGAACCGAATCGGCAGCTAGGCTCAAGGCTTAACAACGAGCCGGTCTTTAAGAACGACGTAACTGGCGGGGCGCCATCGACATCCGATTTCATCACACAAGGTTAGGGTTAATCCTAAATGCTAGACATAGCCTCGTTCCTCGCAAGAAACGTTCATGTCAAGCTACAGCGTGATGTCACCTATAATATGCTTCATATATAATCGTACACTGCGCCGAGATCGATCGTAGGTGAAAGGTCGAGGACGCTCAATACCTTGGTTTCGAGCGAAGCCTTTATTAATTCCGGTCCTGCGTTCACGCACGATTGGCCTCCCGCACCAGATAGTCTGGCAATGTCTAACGCATGCTAGACATGCCACTGAATCTCCTCATCGACTTGATTGATTGATCGATCGGCTAGTCCTGATCGATTCGGCGACTCGATCGCTAAGTTCCGTAAGGCTCTTGGTTGTCGAAGTAATTCATTGATAGAAATGAAGACCATTCATTGAGACTAGTGTGGGCAAGCCAGTCAGTCCCGATCCGTCAGACTAAGACACCAGTACTGACTCGAATCCACTCGGGGCTGCGTTCCAGAACTGATGCAAGGGCTCGAACGATTGGCCAAACTGCTCCACTGGAAATCCCGTCTGAAAGGTCGCAAAGTTCATCTCTGGCGGACTTTCGTGAGTGGGGACGCTTGCTGAGGCTCCGTTCAGACGGATGGAGGAGGCCTCGTATGCTCCAGAGCTTGCTTCAATGCCTGTACGGTTTCGACTTCCCGATGATTGACCTTGTTTCACGGGCCAGCTTGGTTGAGAGATCGTGAAAAGATCCAGCAGTATATCCCTATTAGGCTTAGGTCAGCAGGACGCTCTGTCCAACCATTATTGCGATACGCACTTGATACGGGCGCCTCGTCTAAACGGTATTGTGCAAGAGGTCAGAATCCCAGACAAGACCGATCACGCGGACATGCTCACCCGAGACTGATCTCATCCAGAGCTTGAAGACAAGTCTGAATGTCGCTTTGTGCCGTAATTTGAGCTTGTTCAGGAGCATCGCTGGGGCTGGCAGGGCTGGCGTAAAAGAAGAATAGTCTCATGATAGCACTTGCAAAAATCGGCATCGCTAGAGCGTGATGGAGAGCATGTCGATTGGCGAGGGTGCGAGCTATACGACAGGAAGTTCGGGCGGCTTCATCACAGATCCTTGCCGACTCGATCCCTTGTGGGTCAGGTTGCCGCAAATCGATAGGCAACAACGGGCGGTGAAGGAACACCTAGCATACGGAATCAGGATATAAGCCGGTGCCGCCTGAAACGATCAATGTAGTCTCCACTTACCTGAAACTGAGAGGCAATGCCTTCGAGAACTCCGCTCTGTATCAGAAAGCCAATATCAGAGTGCTTCCCCGACCATCTTAGGTGTTGAGGGAGATCATGATTCCGCCAGGACTGCAGAGCGAGATCAAAAGTCCGAGCAGCGGAAGAGCTGTGGCCAACCCGTTCGTTCCCGCTATTCGGGTTGCAGCGCTTATGAGCGAAAGAACAGTCGCTATCAGTCAAAAGCCGGGACGCGTTGCGTGACCGCAACATACCCCACTATCAATGGCGATCATAGCATGCTTCTGTACTTTGAGAAGGTTCAAAAAGAACGCCAACTTGCTGGGCTTGTCGCTTGGTTGCTGGAAGTCAGTGGCGATATTCCCGGTATCCCAAAACTCGTCGTCAATGTCCGATGGCAGGTTGAACTTTCCATCATCGAGTCTGGATTACCGGTATAGGCAATGGCAAGTTGTGATCAGCTGTGAACAGCTCGGTGCGATACGCCTGTACATACGCTTCTAAAGGAATCGCCATCGGTCGGCCCATGACCTGAGAACAGCTTCGATCGAAGTACACCAAGCACCAGAGTGCCCGCTTGTATAGCTCGAGCAGAGTCCTATCGTTGAAACGCTCTAATCCAGCCGTTACATGCAGACCGATATCCTATAGCATCAAGTCAGCGTCTATCGGAGAGCAGCTTCAGAGTCTGGATCATGCAACTCACGATGCAACTTCGAATTCCAGCGCCTGCGTAGAGCCACGCCTCGCTGTAATTTTTCCGCTGCACAAGGAACGCTGTCAAAAGCTACCACCGAGTTGTTATTAGAGGTGCTTTGGAACGCGGCGCTGCCTAAACGCCGCTTCGTGTGGGGCCCGTACTCACAGCATCGGCTTGAAGTTGCTCTAGAGTAACGGGATTCGTCCCGGTAGTTGATGTAGATATGACGGAATGTATATATTTCCATCCTGAAGAATGCCGAATGGACACCTGCGAATCTGCAGGAGTCTGTCGAGGCCAGTACACCTCCGGGTCATCTACTCGAGATGCACCCAGGGCAAACACTGCGAGGCATACTCGAGCGAAGCCGCGATCATGACGCCACCGCAGCGCCCAGTAGTCTCTTTTGAATAGTATTCGATTCAGAATGGGGACTATTGAGTGAAGCCAGCACATAGACGTAACACCGTATTAGTCATTCCCTTGAGGCGCGTTCCGTCTGGACGTGAACCTACCTGTAAGGTTCTCAAAATCGAAGTAAGCTTTGATGAGTTGTTCTGCCAGATCCTCGTGAGGCCAAATGGCGTAATCGATGGGGCTTGTCTGCGGGTCCGCGAGCGTTTCTTTCTCCCACTGCGCCGTATAGGTCGGCGGCTGGAATTTTCCTAGTCCAGTGGGCGGGAGTTCTTGCAAGGCGGTCGCTTTCTGTTGTTGCATCCAGTGGAGCATGTCAACCCCGCCTACAGGACTTGGTGTAAGCGATGTTTGTGCGGTACAGTCAATATCACCTACTGCTTCGGCCGAAGTAGCGTGATGCCATCGGTTCATTTCGACCGATCGAGTTTCTTGCAGGATCTGTTGGCAGTCTGCCAAGGTCCTTCGTATCGTATTCGGTTCTGTAATCCCCTGTATTCCCTGTATATCCTGTATTTCCTGTCTGATATTGCTCCTTGGGCTGATACGAAGTGCCATCATCTCGGCTAGATTCCTGCTTGGGTTTCCGGGTCCGCTTGAGAGGCGGTACTCGTTGAATGTTCAAATCTTTGAGCTGCTGATTGAACCAAACCTGATCGAAGTCATCACGGTTCAAGCGAGGGCCCGTCAACCTGAAAAGTTGATCTTCGGTGTGGTTCTGCATCGACGATCACATGGTCAGCCAGTGGCGCAGACGAGGACGATGACCCTTCCTGTGCCCACGTACCTCTCGAAAGGCAGCTTCGAGTCGATTGACCTGGAATTCCAAAGCGTCGATATAGCTGTTTGGAGGATAGGATCAGAGAACTTCTGGCGTTTCCTCGATCGAACGTTACCGAGACTGACCCGGCTGGTGGACCTCTTCGTTCAGAGGCTTGGATATAGGTACACTGTACGCCGTGAGCCCGGCAATTGGAGCAGGAATCGTTTTCCGAAAACAGACTTCCATCGCACCGAGCCTGTAACCATTGCAAGAAGCATCAGATCCAGTAAGTGATCTGCAAAATGGGTATCGAAGAGACTTGCTCGCTTCTCTGAACGTGGTCCGGGTTCAGTAATTGGTAAGTGTCTGGCAACTGCCTATGTGTATATCGCGATTACTAGACTAGCTCACTTCGACAATGGTCACAAGCCCGCTAACGGCCCACCGAAGATCCAATACGATATGCAGATTAGACGGACTGTCTTCTCTGAATGGTGTCAAGCCAAAGCGTACCTCTCGTTTTCGCTTCTTAGCCAGGTTTGTGTGACTTGGAGACGAGATTGCCTCGTTCGAGCTTCCGGGATAGCTCATCGTATGAATGCTTCTTGCGACAGAGGGTGGTAGCTTGAATCTCTAGGTTTTTTGATCTATCGTATGAGCTATGGGTGATTGTAAGCTGTATAAGCTGTGAGCTTGGCATGAAAAGCTATATCTAGCTATCTAGAGAGTGCACAAGGAGTGATCAGTTGCTCGCGTCACTTTCCCGACCGACCGGCGGCCGGAACACAACCGGATGCTTTCGTGAGCGTCGGACGCATAGATGCCCGTTTCGTCTGAGGAAACACCCGTCGCTTCCCTCGCTTTCTCCCGGCCTCTAATCTGACGTCTCCTCTCCCTCCTGAGTCAGTCCACATCCTTGTCAACCCGTCTGGTGAAGTGGTTGATTGCGCAATAGATGCCGTCAACATCTTGCTTCTTGGTGTTGACTTGGGTGTATGTTGTCCCCCTCCTCTATTCTCCTTCTCTTGTTCCCCTCGCCTTCATTGTTGCCATTCTTCCTCTTCTGCCTGATCTGTTGAACAGGCCGCCCAAATGCTCGAACAGTGACTCTGAGGTCATCGGGGGTGATGTCCTTCTTGCAATTGCTCTTGACACTGTCGATGTTCTTCCTGGTATCCTTGTCGACACGCTTGAGGTTGTTCTTCAATTGCCTCTCGACATGCTGGAGGTTGTTCTTGGCATTCCTCTCGATGCCCTTGCAATTACTTACCTGGGAGAACTTGACGAAACTGTCGACGGCTGTCTGGGTGTTCTTGTTGCCCTTCTTGAGCTCCTTCACGTCAGATTCGACATCCTCTAGGTCTTCCTTCATGATCTCGATCTCCTCCTTCACGTAGGCGACATCCTTCTTCACATCGTCTGATTTCTTCCCAGGTCCTTCCTGAGGCTCTCGTCGACCTTCCTGAGGCTCTCGTCAACCTTCCTGAGGTTGTCTTCGAGATGGTAGGTCCAATTTGTGAGATGACTCAGATCCCCGTACACGCCTCTGATGTCCCTTCTCAGCTCCCTGAGGTCGTCGACAATCTTCTGGGTACTCTGAGAGCCTTCTTTGAGCTCCATGACATCCTCTTTGATGCCCTTCAGATTATCAGCTCATTGCATGCGGCAAGAGAACGCTCAGCGCACAAAGTCAGGAATGATAAATAAGCCTGACATGACTTTCGGAAGTGCGAGTACAGACATGGTGTGCAATGCTACATTCGTGATAGGATCTTTTCGTTCGATGCAGGGTGTAAGGGGTGTCGTTGAATTGTAGGGAGAATTCGTCTGCGCTCGAGCTGTCGAACGTTACGGCGGCGCTGATGGTCATGTTGGCTTCCTAGCAGGTATCCTGAAGCGCGACAAGACCGATCAGCATCGATTCGCGATCCTACACGCCGCATAGATGAGACTCACAATCAGTCGGTTCTTTGGGAATGGCATGCCTCCGCTGGCTTGCTCCCACGTTGACTGGAAACCGCAGTACGTTAGCCCCATTCCGTTAATATGCCAATGCATCTGATTCCTTACGATATTTGGATTGTTATATGCTGCGCACATCCGATTGGACGACGGAGCGTGATGATATTAGCAAAAGTCCCGATAGTGCAGCGAGCAGAAGAGGGACGGGGCGTGACTGACCTTCTATATATCGCTCGATATACGCAGCTGTCGGGTAGTCTGGGGGGTCGCATCCGATATTTAGTTTCGACGGATCCTCTGTGACATCGAATGAGGGTATGGTATATGCTTTAGTTAGATCTCGTCATGTCGTTGTAGCGGGTCCGCGCGGAATACTTACGGTACACTCGCACGTAATCGATCAGCATGCTATAGTCCGATTAGTGATTCATCAGCCTGGGAACTCATCCTATCGGAAGGCTTTCAATACGGACGTCGTTGGCCAGAGCGATTCCAAGCCCTCGTAATCGATGGCACCGAAATTAGGCGAGATACCTGAGGAGGGGGAAACGGCATCAGTTCGATTGCGAGTAGCGTCGTGTGAACACAACTCACCCAAGTTTATGATGAGATACATGGGCTCGACCGGTATCTGGCGGTAGCCGATCTCGGCGGCCGCATTCGGACCGAGGGCTATGATCTCCAAGAGATCAGACGAAAGTCTTTCGGTGCGACGTGCATATCGCTCACCTCCCGTCCTAATCGTCCATGACTTTGCGCCATCGTTGACCCAGGTAATATATCCATCGCTGTGAAAGAATCGTTATGATGAGCAGGATGCTCCCCGAACACTTTCTGGACTTGACTAACTCTCCGGTCGCATATTCGAAACCATAGACAGACATGCAACCAGTGTTACCGGTACTGGAAAAATTCCCGATTAGCTAGATGTATCGTCAAGAGACAACGCCTGGACTCACTAGCAATTCTGATCGGTGATCGCGTAGGCTGAAGTCGCTTGCTGATAGTGCCCTCCTTGATAACTGTTCAGATGCACGACTTCGTCGTCGTAGATCTCATAAGTGGCCGACGTGTTGATCCACTCATAATAAGGATTGAACGGAGCCCATTGTGCGGATTGAGAAACCTGATAGCGATGAAAGGACGGCTATTAGCGAGAGAAGGGCTAGGCCAATCGATTGAGGAAGAAATGACTTGCATGTCCCTCTCGCGTCCATTGATCGACCTGTCATTCGAGAAGAAGAGAAGATGCATGGGTGAATGGCCTGATCATGGGTCACAGGTTTCCAGTCCCATCCTCACCTGCGCTTCGATCATGTCGATCTCCGGAGCAGACCTGCCAACAAATCCTCCAGTCGTGCTGTTTCGTGGACCGGGATGCGTCTCATCGTCGGGACATGTACAGGCAGACAGCCGCTGTCCAGGCAAGTAGGAGAGTGTATAGTTGTACGCCTCTTCACCAGAGGTGAAAGCAATTTCGGGCAGACCTGCGATATTGGACATGTGCGCTCAGTCACCACGACGCTAGGTTTTCTTGCCGGGTCCCAACCATGCTCACCATCTTTACTCTGGTTCTTAAGGGTCCCGACGTCGCACTCGTTGTAGCTATATGGCCACATGCCGTCAAGAGTTCCACCGTATCCAGCCCTTCCCACTGTGAACAAGTTCATGATTCCCGATCAGATTCCCCGCTCGCTTGACCCGAAGAAATAAGGGTTTCTACTCACGATTCCCAAGGGTCCACACTGCCGGCCACAACCCATAAACGCTCGACGTCCCGGGCAGACTGAGGCTGGCCTCAAAGTAACCTCCAGTATAACAAAACTTGTTCCACGTAGTCATCAGTCCTCCCGAATAATTCAGATTGTGATTCGGGATCTTGTCGAGCGTGATCTTCAAGTGTCCATTCTCGGTCGTGATCATCCGAGGATCGTACCACTCGAGGTTGTTTGTCGACCAATAATGCTGATCCCCGGCTTCCCAAAAGGGGTCGTCTCCGGGCCAGAAGGTCCGCCCTTCCTCGTTGAACTCGTCCGAAAAGACCAGGTCCCACTCTTCGCCCGTTTCCAGACTGACGTGTTTGAGAGCGGATTCGGGGGTGAACCGATCGATGAGGGAGAAATGACCCGGGATCGTGGGTACCTGCCCCGTTCCATTGATCCCGCCTGTATTGTACCCTCCCACGGGTCCCGCGTTCCCCTTGCTCCGATCGACCTGACTCTTGACGATCGGCCATATTGCAAACAAGGCCGTCAGCCCCAAGATCAGGAGAAAGACGCATCCAAGGTTCGAGATGGATCTCAGGCTCAGCATGTCACGGATGGTCCGTTTCGCCCCCGGCTTGTACCGCGTATAATCGGACCGTGCGGGTTCGTGGAAATCGTCGTCCGGTTCAGGACCCAGTTGATCCCATACTGCAGGGTCCAGTGGCAAGGAGTATCTACCCCCGAGACCTTCGAGACCTCGTGCGTTGATTTCTCTTCCCATGGTCAACCTGGCGTCCAGCGTCCCTAGGGAGATCGAACTCCCGGTCGCTCCCGATTCGTACTCGTCGACCCCGAGGAACCTGGTCTTGCCCTTTCTGTCGCCCCTCTGTCCATTCTTGCTCATGCCCCAAGCGTCCCCGCCGAAGGGAGCGTTCGCATAATACCTCTCTACCAGACTGTGTTCTTCCGACACTACGCTCGAGGGTCTGCTCGGTCCAGCTTCGGGATCGCTCCCGATCACGAACGCCGGCTCGAGCGGGGGTCCTGCTCCAGGCGGCAAGAGGTGCGCCGTCGACGTGTCCGGTCCGGCCGTATATGTCGACCGATACGTCGGCGCGAGAGAGGTAGTGGACGACTGACGTGAATCATCGAACGAGAGGTCTTCAGGACCTGTCCCGTAGATCTTGTTCAGGTCCCTTGCTGCCTTGCGTGGACTCGGTTCGTGAGGGTAAGAGACGGGTGGATAGGATACGGGAGGTCCGGCGTTCGGACTGGGTTTGTTGGATGCATTTCCGTTCTTGAGCGGGTAACCCCTAGAATCAAAGCCGGTCTCACGATTTGAAGCCCCGGTAGGTTCAACCGTCGATGTCTGTCGACCGGATAGTCTCGACGGGTACGTCTCCCTGACCGTCTCCATCCTCCCATCCCGACCGACTTTCCGCTTGCCCGTCCCCCCATCATCGTCACCACCACCACCATCTCCCTTATGCTCGTATCCAGGAGGAGTCGGGACTATCGAACCAGTCGGCGGGGTATTTGGCGAGGGTGACAACCTCGATCGCAAGTTGGACAAGGTGTTGACGATCGGAGAAGCGGCGGTAGAGAATCCCCTGGATGGGGTTTGGAGCGGATGAAAGTTGGGCGATCCCGTTGAAGGATGATCGACGTGGTCATTATTGTTGTTTCCGATTCGACTGGCTGTATTGGCAGCGGTGCTCGTGGTACGATCGACCTCGGGTTCGAGAGGGCGAGGGGTCGGGTTCGGTCGTCGGGTCGAGGTCAGGTCCCTGGTAGGCATGGCGAAAGTCGGTAACGGAACGAGACCTGCTCCTGCGTCTTCCGTGGGATGTGTTCAGACGCTAGAATCTGGAGCGATGTCGTCAAGTCATACAAGTCATGTCGAGCTGGTGCTAGGCATGCTAGGACGGATAGGTAGATGTGGGCGTGTGCTGTGTATGTTTTGGCTCTCTCGAACAACATTTCTCACAAATCTTGGCATGCCCATCGTCCTTCTTGGTGGGAATTGGGTGGTTGCGCGCTAAAATCCAAAGATCCCATCGATCAAGACAGGGACAGGCAGAGGCGAGCAAGTTTGCAGCCGAGGTGACACATGACGCGTGATGCCGGCATTTTCTTCTTTCCAGAGGGTCATCCATCACAAGACGCTCAGTGATTAGCGATCAGCGATATCAGCATTCATCTTGTGTTATGAGGTAGCAGTGTATTTTTTGACCTTTGGCTACGGGACGTCGCAATTGATAACTGGCGATACTGGCCGACTGTTTCGCTTCCTCGGGGGATCGACCAGCTCGGGACGGTCCGACGCGAGCGATCGCGTGGCCGATCTCTGCCGAAGACTTATCCGCGTTTCATAGTGAGACAAAAGCCCCGGGGCTGATGCAAATTCCAGGCTATGCGAGAGCGACGGGTATGATAAGGAGAGGGGGAGAGAGAAATGATCGAGTTTCATGATGATCAATGACGCCCCCTATCGATAGAAGACAAGACGCCTTCTTCTCTTTGTCGTCACGTCGTCATGAAAGGATCCCTTTGGATCTCTTTTTCCCCCTTCTTCGACGCGTAGAAAGACGATCAACCGACGACAGACGACAATCAATCCAAAGGCACGTCATCGGACATTGAAGGGAAAAGTGGGGGACGCCTCTCTTTCCCTTTCATCCTCTTTTAGGGTCGAGTCTCTCCTTCTTCTCCTTTTCCTCCCTTTCGCCTTCTCACCAATCGTCCTCGCGATTCGCCTTTTTGTCGACCTCAGACTCGCCATTCAACAGGATCTGCACACAAACAACAGAATCGCTTTAATCGACAAACCTCTCCTCGAATTCAGATGAACACCTTTTCCAACCACTACCGGTCAGAACCAGACCTCTATCAAGTACCCCACTTTCCGACTCCCCCTCAACCACGTCCGGCTGTCATAGACTGGCCACCCCCTTCACTGGAGAAACCCACCTCGAGATTACAACGCATGATGGCACCGACGAGGTTGCTGAAAAAGACGACCAAGGAGACGAAGGAGTTTGTCGGGGTCACGCCTTCGGGAAGAGGAGTCAAGGTGACCGCAGGCAGGGTGGACGAGATCTTTGGGAGTAAAGGTGAAGGTGAGTCGTGGGCAGTCTAGTCGATAAAGCAGTGTCGATCGAGGTCCTTTGGGATCAGTCTGATGAACCCAATCTTGCGAAACTACCGGTCCACGATCACTGGCTGACATTCAATCCGCCTCTCTATCTCTTGCAGTACCCCAACCGACCCTGACCTCACAGCTATTCCCACACCCGGACCAGAAACCTCTGCCGCAAGAACCCATAGAAGAGTCCCAAGGAGGATACCAACCTCGCGGTCCTGTGGAGAACGACATGGAAGGAGATCAAGCTGGAGATGGGAATCCAGAATACACACCCAGCGCCCGCGCCAAAGTCCTCCCCTGGGTCACCGAGATGCAACAAACTCCCCCTCAAACGACTTATCAAACTCCTCACGACTCTTCCACCCAGTATCAAACCGCCGCTTCACACCACGATCCCCTTTCTGCAGCCGAGTACGCTCGGGCGGACGGGACAGGCCAGATTGAAGGACCCGGGTTCGTGCGGCCTCCTCCGGGGTTGAAGAAGCGGGACACGTGGATCGAAGAACAGAGCCTGGAGAGGGAACGGTTGGCCCGCGAGTATGAGGGAGAGAATTCGTTCGAGAGGGACCAAGACGAGAATGATGACGATGAAGATGGGCGAACGAAAGGAAACCACGACGACGGCGGGTCGGACGGAGAGGGGGACTCGACGTCACAGCAAGGGAGCGGGAAGGAAGGTGCCAAAGAGGCAGGGAAAAGGGAGAAGAGGAAACACAGGCATCATCATCATAAACACGGGAGACGACATCACCATCGACACGGACACGGAGGTGATAAAACCAAATCAAAGTCCAAGTCGCGGACCACGAAGCAGTCCAAAGGGGCAGACGAGGTGGAAGAGAAGGAGCAAGGGGATCGGTCCCATCAGGAGGACACATCTGCGACTCGAACCCCTACTCAGACGGGACGAAGCGCGGGATTGGCTTCGGATGTCATGTCCAGGGGCGCTACGAAACCTGGACAAACGCACCATTTGCCTTCGGGAGAGGGACTAGGCATGTCCGGTTTCATCCCGGGTGCCCAAGGTCTTTCGCAAGAGCAAGGTCAAGGTCAGCCAGAAATCGGTCGAGGTCAACCGGGGTTCGGGCAGTCCCAGGGTCCGACGGGACAACCGGGTACATTCTACCAAGGTGCTCCGGCAGGAGCGGGACTCGGTATGAGCGGTATGCCATGGGGTCAAGCTGGCCAGCCACGTCCGATGGAACATAATCTGGGTCAGCCTTATGGTCCGGTTCCTCCTCCCAGTCAAGGTCCAGGCGGACTCAATCAAGGCCAAGGCTTGTCGGACCCGTATCATCAAGGTAATTTCCATCCGAATTACAATATGGCTGGGCAAGACGGACAGGGGGGTTTCCAGTACGGGGCGCCGTTTCAGGGGATGAGCCAACCGGTGGTCTACCCGGTCAACTTGCCCATGCCCGGCACAGCCTTTCCTGGCGATAACCCCGCAACTTCCAATAACACCCCACCCGTTCCAGATTCAAGGTCGGCAACCGATCCCGAGACGGTCCAGAGGGAACAAGACCAGGCCATCGAAGCTCACCTGGCCGATCTGCAACAACGGATGTTGCGATCCGCTGAAGAGAGCCGACAAGCCCTGGCACGAGAAAAAGAGGAGAGGGACAGGGAAGCGGCGAGAAGACACGCGCTGGATGCTCTGGGAGGTGCTAGAAGCGGCAAGGATAGCAGGAGCCCCGCCAGCGTAAAGAGCGGGAAAAGCAGGAGAGGAGACCAGCAGGCGAATTATCCTCCCGAGGCCAAGTACGTCCACACTAACGCAGGCAATATCAAGACTTATGAAGAGGTCAGGAAGATGTCTTCCCGAAACTCTACCACCGACCAGAGCGAGACGACCGGCGGAAAAAGCGAGCGGGAACCGAAGAGAAAGACCAAGGAGACATTCGTGACCGATACGACTGGACCTTCCTTTGGTCATTTTGGAAGACCGTTCTCCCATGAAATTCTTGGAGGCGGTGTGCTCGGTCATCAAGACATCCTGGAAGAAGAGGAGATCTTCTCACCTCTCGGGGGCGGCGCGCCTATCATCGTCATGCGCCGAGTGGCGCACGAAGAGGGACCTCCATTCGGATCAGGCTTGGATGCCTTGCTTGGTCACTCTGCGGGGCCCAAGGACCATCGTTCAGCCTATGTAGAGACGGTCGAAGACGAAGAAGTGAGTCTTAAACAGAAGTGCTTCCTCATGAACAAACAGGCTAAACCATTTTGCGGTCGTGTCCAGCATTTGCTGTCGCCTCGCACTCGTGGGAACGTGACAAGCAGAGATTCCAGCCGTTCGCATACGCCTTTGGCCTCACGCCAAGCGGGTCGGACATCCAATACAAGCTCGAACAGGGAACCCACTAGAACGGGCGGTTCTAGACGTACGAACAAGGGCTCCGACGAATCAAACCAGGGTTCCGCCGTGGCCAACGACAAGCCGGTTCCTCCATTACCTATGAGCTATGCTTCAGTGCCTCAGCCTCGTCCACACTTGCGTCCTCCGTTGTCGAGTAACCCGGCCAACCGGATGTCGACGGCAACCACCACTATGTCTTTGGTCAACCAGATCGTGACAGACTCTCGGTTCCATGACGATGCTCTGTGTGATCTCCTGCGCGCGGCTCGCGACGATAGTCTCGGGGATGCAGCAAAGAAGGCTGTGAGGCGCGCCGCCCGAGAACGAGTGATGGACCTGACAGGAATGAGGCAGAAGTACTCGGTAATTATGTTTGAAATAGTCCTCGCGATGGGCACGATCTGACATCGCTTGATCAACAGGGAAGAGCCGACTCTGAGAAGACGGTCACTCCGGCACCGAGAGATCGTAGTGCAAGGTCTTCGAGCGATCTTGTAAGTGGTCGACATCGATCGTCCCTCAGCCTGAATCGACTTTGACTCCTAATGATTTTTCGTATAGGATGATGAGGAGCCGCCAGCCTGGTCCAGAGCAGTAGGTTCACGCTGGCGCGCAATGCGAAACTAAAGCTCGCGCCGCTGATGCATTGCCTTGTTTTCCAGTTGTTTGACATGCTGGAGCATACGAATGCCCGGCTAGACGCACTGGATCAGCGCATGTCCAGCGGTACTCAAACGGGCGTCTCGGACTCCCTCCCACCTGAAGATGACGAGGAAGAGAGGGCCGCACGAGCAGCACTTCACAACTTGCTGTTTCCCGATCTCCCGATGGACATCCCTTTGTTTGGCAGCGGACCGTACGCGACGCCGCCTCGAAGCCAATTCCGCACCAGCCAGAATCCAGCTCACATCAGCGATCTAAGGACCGAAGAGAGAACAATCGGACAATTGCCCGACTGGGGCTCGTCAGTCGATATACCAGGCGGTTCCTCTGTACCTACAGCCCCGCCAGTGCGAACCGCGCCAATTGCTCCGTTGGGCCCTCCGATCGCGCCGCTGGGCGCACCAATCGCCCCGACCATTCACGTCCAGCCTCCAACCGCTCAAGCAAGCACTGCAGGAGGAGCGAGGTCTCATGTTACCCGCGCCAGCCCTAGGTCTACTCCTCAAAAAATTGTAGACGATGCTCAATCGGTGGGCGGTATGAGTCGCCGGACTGCGCAATCAAAAGCTCGGGACCAGCAATCGCCCGCTTCGATCAAGTCGCAGCATAGGACCGCTCTAGCCATGTCGGAGAAGAGCGTACGTGCTGAGACGGAAAACGCATATGAAGACCCCCTCCTGCCTCCCTTGCCTTCCCCTCGTCCTTGGGATGTCGTCACGCAGAGGCTCTTTTCGTGGGCAATGGTCTGGCCACCTGAGGACTTTGTCCGGAGCCTGGAAACGACAGCCCTCGGACAGCAAGTGGACGAATTTGCCTTGACTATCTACATGATGACGATTTTCAAGAGGTGAGCTGACGTATCGCGGTGCTCTCGTCGTAGCGAATATTGGGCCAAGCTGACCGGGAAATCACTGGTGAACAGGAACCTGAGGCACCGCATGTGTTCAGTTCCGCCTTTGCCTTGTGACAAGCTAGTAAGTCGGCTAGTCCGGCCCACAGCCAGGACTATACAGCTGACGTTGATTCCCGATCAGTTTGTCCCTCCAAACCTCGCTGATAGCGTCAACCGTGCCGTGCATTCCGTAAGCGCCTTTTTGGATGTCGTCATAAGCGATCCGATTCGCTAAACATGGCAAAATCCAAACGATACAGAAACGATTCGCCGACGCCAGGCAGATCCTCGAAGAACTGTGGTATCGTAAGGGCCCTCTCATTCCTTCAAAGTCGATACTATACCTACTAGAATCCACTAACCGCGCTTCACTCACCTATTCTAGCCTTCGGTTTCAAAGAACCTCCGAGGGTGATCGTGGCGCTTGCAAAGCACAGAAACGACGCTAATCACTGGAGCGCGCATCGGTGAGCGAAATTTCTTTTCCCAGTCCGCTTTGATACGAATAACTGAAAAAGCGATCGGATTTAGGTTCGACTTGACTTCGGGAAAGCTGGTCACATTCTCCTACTCGACCGAGGAGAAGAGCCTCGTTGACGGTCGTAAGTATTAGCAAGCGCTTTTTGAATATAGCAAAAGTCCGCCAGTAGCTAACATCGATTCATTCATCGGCCGACTAGGTCCGTTCATGTGTAAGTCTGAGAAGTTCTTCTATAGCACATCTTCATCAGCTGATTGTGTCTCTACCTCGCCGTCAACAGGGTGGTTTGCCATTCGAGACGCGTGGCCGACCTGGAACATTCCCCATCCCGACCACCTAGCGCAAAAGACTCAGCGTGTGATCACGCCCGAATCGAGCAGGGACGACAATGCGCTCATGGCAGCCAACTGTGGCCGCAACTTGATGCTCGGTTGGAAGCCAGATCAGACGACCGATCTGAAGAAGATGAGGAACAATATCTGGAACGAGGTGAGTGGGCGCAAAGCAAACGCAATTTGATGGTTCTGACCTAAAAGCGATCTCCTAGACCAAACGGTTGTATGAAAGGAAGGCCAAGGGAAAGTTGACGGTGGATTCGAGGGATTATTAGTGCCAGTAAGCGATAGGTAGAGTGAGACGACTATAATATTATAGCAGGAAGTACTAGGTAGCAGAAGGATGTGTTAATTATTGTTGTTTGTACAAACCATTTCCACGTCATGACGCGTGATCGACCCTTTGTCTCTTGTTCGTGCGTGTGACCATGATAATAATTTGATAACGATCGATTCCCCTGGAATTTGGAGTTTCCGCCGCTTTGCACTCTCTGATCTGACGTTTCGTAAAAGGGTGTAGGAGGTCACAACTACTACTCTCGTAACCTCATCGACCGTATTGACACTACTGCCATCTAGCTAGTTCTCTCCATCTCTCTTCGCCTTCAATAAACGCCATCCGCACCAGCTCTTTACCCACAACAACGCGTGAGTACAGCTCCTTCATCTAGCCCTCGGACGACCTCGAGGTTACGTTGGAGGTGCCCTCCTTTGCGTCATCTGGGGGGCCCGAGCTTCCTTGTTACGCTTCGAGGTCATTCAACTCCGATAGATCTCGCCTCTGTCTTCTCAATTCGGCTCTCGAGCTGATCAAAACGCCTTGTCACATCGCCCTCCATCATCTACTGTAACAGATTCCATACCGGAAAAAAATGACTTCGCCTTCCTTGCAATTCGTGCCTCAATGGCTCAAAAAACCGACGACCCCAGGGTTAGAATCCCCACTGGCCAACTCTGCCTTTGCTTTCGGAAACGGCCCCGCGTCACCCCGACATCCTCTTGGCTCGAATATGGGGATCGCTCAAGCGGTCGCTCAGAGCGAAAGGGATGAATTCTCTCTTCATCTCCCTCCGAATCACCTTAGTAACGGGCAGACCAACGGGAATCAGGGGAAAGCCGGTCGTAGCAAGGGAACTCGTCCGCAACGCTACTCGAAGGAACAGATGATGTCCTTGATCGATGCGGAGAAATCCCGTCACTTGCCGAACGATTTGGTAGAGTGGACAATCGAACTCGGGATCAACGGGGCCGGAAGTGCTTTAGGCCAGCATGGAGCCAATCACGAGAACGGAGACGGTGCTGGTCAAGGAGATGACTTGGACGGGCAGATCGAGGACGATCGCAGGGTATGTCGCGGTCGAGTTGGCACATTCTACCGGCTCTACGCGTTCTGTTACCAGGCGATCCCGTACTGATTCGATTCGGCTCACCATAGTCTTATCCTCAAAAACGATACGCCGACCGTGATCGTCAAGGCCGCGGTACTGCCTCTGGTCTCAATAGCCCCGACATCTCTAGGGCGACCGGTCGAGCCCTCGGATTTGGTCGAGGGGAAGGGGGAGGTGCTTTTGGAGGCGGCGACGGTCATACCAAGGGCAGCAACCGCTTCGGCATCCTCGATGGCGATTCCACCGACTCGCCTGCCAGGGAGAGGAAGGAGAGGAATCCGTGGAGGGATGCCGAGACTGGGTTCAGGGACAGGGACAGGCAGGAGCGTTACGAAAAGGCCGAGAGGGAGAATGGCGGAATGAGTGCTGGCGGGAGATACATCCCCGTCAATTCTGCTTACGCTAGCCCGGTCATCGAAAAGGCTGGATTGGGCGAGAGGAGAGGTGTCAGGGGGGCTTTGCTCAGGAAGGATACTGCTGAAGCTGGTGAGTCGACCTTTTGCCTCGAGTTCAGTACGGGAAGTGTCTCACTTTATCACGCTTCCGCCCACGATATCCTTACAGACAAAGACGTATCCACCCCTTCCCGCAACCTCAACTCGACCTCGTCGGCTTGGCGTCCCAGCGTTCGAAACACCCCTTCCAGCGCTACTGCCGGTTTCGAAGGTGTCCTCGGTAGTTTTGGCAGCCCTGTCAGCACTCCCTCGAGGCAAAAGAGCATGGGTGAAAGCGGAATTCTCGACCAGCCGACCGGTCAGACTGCCTGGAAGGAAAGGGAACGGACGACCAGTGCGACCGATGCAGCCGCGGGTATCCTCCCCGGATCTGGAGGCGGACCTGGTTGGGGCAAGACAGGAAGGTGGCGTTCTGCCGCGCAGCAGCAGGAAGATGAGGATGCTCTGAAGGTCAGTACTGGTTTGGTGTCCCAATTCCGTGTGATTCGCGTTGACCAGCGGTCTGCGAATTTCAGCGTCCAAACATCGCTCCTCTGGCCGATAAATTGGACGACCCGAAGCCAACCGCCTCCACGGCTGTCATCCCACCGACTACTCCTGTAGCCGAGAGGGACCATCAACTCGAAGAGCCCTCGACCGCTGACGGCGAGCAGAACGTGTCGGCCATCACCGACGGCCAACAGGAAAATCAGGCTCGTCAACCAGAGTCTAGTAAAAATGAACCGGAAACCTCGACCATCGAATGGTTCTACAGGGATCCATTTGGTAACGAACAAGGTAAGCATAATGGACCCAAGACAGCCTCATTTGACCTAGATTTGAGACTGACACCACTGCAAAACAGGTCCATTCGGCGCGACCCAGATGCAGGAGTGGTTCACTGCCAACTACTTCCAGAACGATCTCCCGCTACGTCGGTCTTTCGAAACGGCGTTCCGTACCTTACAGGTTCTCAAGGAAGAAACTCAGAGCGACGCGCAGCCATTCTTGACCCGGCCCGCTCCCAAGTTGCCACCCAACCTCCCTATCCCTGCTCTGGCTTCCACTCAGCCTTCGCCGACGCCCATCAATAACAGCATTCCGAACGAGCCCACTCGACTCGCTCCGCAAAACGACACGCTTCGTCAGATGTTGGCCGAGCTTCAACAAAATCAAGGGTCCTCGGACGCTAGGACACTGCAGACACCGTTGCGCAACGGCGTTCTGGGAGCCACTTCTCCCGGCATCAGCGTCAGTCGTCCGATCGCCGAGTCCTTTGCACACAGCGCCAGCTATGCATCATCCCCGGTCTCCCAACATGCCGGTCCAATCCGATCGGTCTGGGATAGTGCTCCTTCTCCTGCTATCGGGCGACCCTCGATTCCTACCAGTCCTTTCGCTCCGGAAGTCATTGCCGGCGTCCAGCACATGGGGGGTTTCCCTCAGCCTCAATTTACGCAGCAAAGGTCGATCTTTGATGCGCAGCACGCTCAACCGCAATCGCCATATGCGCCATCCCCTTGGGGCGTTCAGATGCCTCCGCAGCAGATGCCTCTTCACATGCAGCAGCCCGCGTATCCTTCGAGTCCGTTCGGACAAATCCCACAACAGCCCTTCGGACAATTCCCCACCCAGCCCATGGCTCAGCCTTGGCAAAACGCACAATTCGCTCAACCTCAGAACATGGGTTCTCCCGCTCCCATGAGCGCTCAAGCCGTGCCACAATTTATGGCTCAGGATGCGCCGGCGGCTCCGGAGGAGCCCATCAGTTCGGTCCAGCAAACTTTCTCCCCTTCGCCCGTTCCAGCTCAACTTGGCGCCGATCTGGTCAAGTCGCCTGTCCAGCCTAACAAGACCCCTGAGCAGCCTGTTGCACCTGTCGAGGAAGCGCAGAAGCCTGCTGCATGGGCTGAGATCGCTCCTGTAGCCGCTGAACCGATCGCTCCCAAGCAGCAACCGAAGCCGGAGCAGATTCAATCGACATTGCCATCCGCAGCCCCTATCCCTTCGATTGCGCCTGCGACCAAGACCCCCGCCAGCGAGGCCAAAAAGGAAAGCAAACCAGTCGAGGCTGCCTCGGAGCCAGTTGTCCAGGTGGAATCCCGTGCATCGACTCCCCCCGTCGCTGCTCCGAGCGTGGCTCCGTGGGCTGCCGAGGACAAGGCCAAGTCTACCAAGTCAATGTCGCTCAAGGAGATTCAGGATGCTGAAGCTCGTGTCGCCGAGAAGAAGAGATTGGCTGAGGCCAAGGCCAAAGCTGCCCTTGCTGCTTCTCAACCGGTCGCGGAGAGTTCCGAGCCGCTTCAGCAGATGAGTTTCGGTCTGGCTTCCAGACCCGCTCTCAACACGGCGTCGAGTGCATCTTCCAACACATCTGTGCCTGTCTGGGGAGCCGCACCTGTCGTTGGGTCCAAGAAGCAGATGCCTAAGAGGACGTTACAGCAGATTCAAGACGAAGAGCGCGCCAAAAAGGTAAGAAAGGACAGATGTATTATACTCTTAGATATGCGGCTGACACTCGGTCCGTAGTTGGCACAGGTCAAGGCCGCTGCTGCTGCTGGATTCGCCGAGTCTGCCCAGGCCGCCTCGACCAAGCGGGGATATGCTGATCTGGCTGCTACCAGTCCTTCGCCTGCTGTGAGTGGCAGTCCATATCAACGCCGCGCTACATCATTGACCCGCTGTATTCTCTTTAGGCCGCTGGAGGCTGGGCAACTGTGGGCGCTGGCGGTAAGGCAGTTGCTCCCGCTGCTCCGGCATCGGCCCTCGCCGCTGCCAAACCCAAGCCCGTCGCAGTCGCGAGTATGGTCACTGGCGCCATTTCCAACAAGCCTAGTGTTGTCAAGCCCAAGTCCCAGACGTTGAACGAAACCAGCCCCTCGATCGAATTTGTGAGGTGGACCAAGGAGCAGCTCAAGGGTCTTACTGGTGCGAACGGTAAGTAGACGTTGTGTATCGACCTTGTGCCACCCGTCCGAGCGCTGACGTGTGTTCTCGCTTCCGCTAGTCGACGAATTCATCCAGATGCTATTGACTTTCCCCGTCGAGCCGCCTCACAAGGACGAGATGCTTGAGATCATTGCGGAATCCGTCTATGCCAACTCGTCGACTTTGGATGGTAAACGTTTCGCCAACAACTTTTACATGCGCCGCAAGGAGGACGCTATCGATCGGGTCGCGTCGAATGGGAAGTCAACGGCAGCCAAAGTGACGTCTCTGGCGGATAGTGAGTTCCCGACCTAGTGAGCAAGCATGATCAAGTTTAGCATGCTAAAGGGTCTTGCTTTCTTTCAGTCGTGAAAACTCAACCCAAGGCTCCAGGCAGCGACTTCGGATTCAAGGTGGTCAAGAAGAAGGGAAAGAAGAACTAGGCATTTATCATGCGCTCGTGATGTCATCAACGCTTGGTACAGGAGCGGGTGTCATTTGCATTAAATACAACAAGAATCGTTATGCATCTATGGTTTCGTGGTGGTGGCGGTGTCGCCTCGGGTTTCAGGGTCTACTTTGGCGTGGCTGCTCTTTGGGGTTTCGGTTTCGAGACGGCCTTGGATGACCCTCTTGCCTCCTTTAGCGATTTCTTGTGTTTGATGCTCAACAGAGATTGCCGTACTTGGTTGACTAGCTCAGGCATGGGAGCCGAGTAAACACCAGGTTCTAGCTGAGCGGAATAGTAGTGACCTGGACAAGGCGTGTAGCCAAAGGTTAGGAACTCCCTTCGTGTTCGCAGGTGTCATATCAGGAACCAAGGGCGTACCTTCTAGCAGCAAGTCCACTTCCCAAGCCTCATCGATTTGGCTCAACGGCACCGCGATCTCGCCTTCTTTGTTGTTCGCGGCTCGAGCGTCCCTTGTCAAAACCAATCGAACGGCCTCTTTGAACCTCGTCCGAACGCGGTTCCGCTGGACTGCCCGTTTCGAGACCCCCTTGATCGTGGTCAATATCGCAAAGGGAGTAAATTCCTTTGGTGGACGACGAGGTGGACCGAAAGCCGAAGCCGTAGGCATCGGCATCTCGGTGCTCGGGGTGGCCCGAAGGTGAAAGTGCGGGCTGTGGCACGAGACCCCCTTGGGATTGCTCATCATGGCTCTTCCTGCTGTGATCCACTGGACTTTGCATAGCTAGGCAGGTACGTCAAGGATTAGCTCTACGTTATGGTTTGCCTGGTGGATATACTACTCACCTTGAGGACATTTCTAGTCGGAGGTAAGCTTTTCAGGGAGAGTGTGTTCATAGGTCCAGCTATCCTCGGGTCCGTAGGTCTGGGCCGTCTTTCAACTCCAGCAGATAGCTTTGCCGACTTGGATGCCGTTGTTTTGGGTGACTTCAAGCTCTCTTGCAAGCGGCTGATCCATGTTGCACGCATGCCGAGTCCGACCGGCGCGGACGTCCACACAAAGCGTCTACTCCGACTATGTGAGCAGGAGACAGATTGTATATGTCGGTGGGTCCCTAGATGGTGATGTATTCGATAGACTTGCGACACGATATGTGAGAGGAATGAAGCTTTGACCCACGGACCCTGCCCCGAGTTGCTGCTGAGCTGCTGATCGCGTGCCGCGCTTTCGCTCAAGTCCGATGGGGAGGGGGGGACCACAAGGTGCAAGTGTGTATATAAATGCGCTGCATGGTATTTTATGGTCTCTATCTCCTCGCTCCTCGATAGATCCGTCCATTTCTCTTCTTTGGATCGACATCTGCGATATACACTTGGAGACACGGCGTCAAGATGTCTCGCCCGCAGTTCGTTCTCGAGGCCGACGACACGGAGGACCAGCGTCTAAGGAGTTCTGAGTTGCCGAGGTATTCGGAAGATAGCATCGATGAGCTAGCCCTCGATCGGTCAGTCTTTGAAAAGGATGAGAGGTTTAGAGACGAAGGCAAGATGGAGCAAGGGGAGGAAGAGGAAGACGAGTTCCTGTACGGGAAGGTGCCGGTGAGCGATACCATCAAGATCATGGTCCCACAAACAGATATCCTGATCAGCGTCCATCGCTTGGCCACACATAGTCACGAAAACAGCCCAGGAAGCCCTTTATTGCTCTGCTTCTGATCATCCTCGCTCTCGCCGCCTTGATCGGAATCTTCTCGGCGAGGTCTTTCAAAGCGCCGACATGGATCAAGAAAGGGGGCAACAAGCACATCACCATGGACCACGTTTTCAATGGGACATTTGCCATCAAGTCGAAGAGGATTGATTGGGTGAAGGAGGGTGAGAATCGACGGTCTCAGTCTTTCCTGACTTTGACCCGACTGATCTTGCTGTGACGGAAGCCACCGATGGAGTATACTCGCATAGGACGGACGAGGGCGATATCGTTCTACAAGACGCTAGCAAGCCCGACTACGAGGAGGTGCTACTCAATGCGACGGATGTCAGAGAGGTGAGATGGTGATCGTATCTCTCTCCAGTTGTCTTCATAGCTGAATATTTTGCGCATAGGCTACGGGCAATCAGCTAATGTTCCAGGACTGGAGACTCTCTGCAGACATGCGATATGTCGCCTTGAAGACCGATCATCGCAAGGTGAGTTTGGGTTGTTGCCTGGACATGTGAACCGCGACTAATGTTTCTTGCACTTGCCCCAACTGTTCAGCTTTGGAGGCATTCATCCTACGGAAATTTCGTGGGTTGCACCGTTCCTCTGATGACGGATCGTCATTGACTTTTCGGAACTATCGATCCGTCTGCAGTACATTCACCGACTGTCCGATCACAAGACCTTTTCGCTTCGATTGCCATCTCACCCAGCCGAGATCGCCTACGTCGATTGGTCGCCCACATCCCATTCGATCGCCTATGTTTACAAGAACAACCTTTACGTCGTTCCCGCGAAAGACCTCGACAAGTTAGAAACGGCGGGGCAGGTTCCAGAGGCAATTCAAGTAACCAAGGATGGCAGCGATACTATCTTCAACGGTGTTCCTGATTGGGTCTACGAGGAAGAGGTGAGTCGGCTGTTCGCCGTAGGCTTCAGCGGACTTTGATCTGATGACACCCATGTGTCCACCAGGTGTTTTCGAACAACTTCGCCTTCTGGTGGAGTCCTCAGAGCGAGATTATTGCGTACTTGCGAAGCGATGAGACGGAAGTCAAAGATTACACCCTGCAATACTATAATCCGAATGGTGCAGCTTTCGACCCGCAACCGTACCCTGAGAATTTCGTGATGAAGTTAGTAATCCTGTCAGTCCTCTTATTACCGAGCATAAGCTGATCTTATCGATCTTGATAGATACCCTAAGCCTGGCACTCCTAATCCGATCGTCACGGTCCACATGTTCTCGTTGCAAGGCCACCTTGCTAGCGCGTCCGCCAAGAACTCGACCAAACAACTGCAATGGGAAGGATCGATGCCGCTTGACAAGCGCATCATTGCTGAAGTCAGCTGGCTCGGAAGCGAGGAACTCTTGGTCAAAGAAGTCGACCGATCTGCGAAGAAGGGCAACATCGTTCTCTTCACCGGAGGTCGAGCTCAAGGCAAAGTAGTCCGCACACTAGGCAAAGAAGGCGAGGAAGGCGATGATGGCTGGATCGACCATGTGAGTTATCATCCTCTCAACAAGTATCACCAGTCATGCTAATACGCAACGTGACCTGCAATCGATAGAATCAGCAAGCGATTCCGGTCAAGGGGACCGACGGGTACCTCGACATCGTCCCAACCAAGGATGGCTACAATCACATTGCCTTCTTCCCCACTCTCGATTCGTCGGATCCGATCTTTGTAACCGAAGGGGAGTGGGAGGTTGCGGACGGTATCGCGGGCGTCGACCAGAACCGGAAATTAGTGTACGTGTAAATGGAAGCAGAAGACATTCGTGATCTGACGAGACCTTTCCTGCTTGACAGATACTTCCTCGCAGCCTCACCGACTACTGAACGACACCTGTATCAAGCGCGATTGCCGTCAACCGGTGCTCTCGACGACTTTGCTTCGAACATGACCGCGTTGACGGACACTAGCGTGCCGGGCTATCACAGCGCTAGCTTCTCGCCGCGCAGCGGCTTTTACCTGCTCAACTACCTTGGACCCGACATACCAAAGCAGACCTTAGTCACGGTGGATGAACCGGGTAAGGGTATTGACGTGTCTTCATACAAACTTGAGCTAACTCACCTCACTCTTTCCAGGACTTGATGTCGTAATTGAGGACAACGCTAAGCTCAATGCCACTTCTTCCGAGTTCTGTATGCCCATCAGGACTCATTCCGTCATCCAGAGCGATGGGGTCGGTAAGTTCAGCAATCCTTCTGCGAAGCGTCTATTCCCTGATCGATATGGTAACCATATACAGATATCAACGTCGTCGAGACTTTGCCCCCCAACTTTGAGGCCTCTGGCAGAAAGAAGTATCCCGTGCTGCTCAATCCTTATGGAGGACCGGGATCGCAATCGGTCAATCAGAAGTTTGCCCGAGACTGGTCTCATCACCTCGTATGCGAGCACAAGATCATCGTGTTGACTGTAGATGGCAGAGGAACCGGGTTCAAGGGGCGGTCTTTCCGTAACTGGGTTCGCGATGACCTCGGGCGATACGAGACTATCGACCAGATCAATGCTGCCAAAGAGTGGGCCAAGAGACGGTACATCGACAACAAGAGGATCGGTATTTGGGGTTGGGTAAGCTGGCGCAGCGGTCCTTCCTGCACGTAGGGATTCTGACAGGCACATCTTTCAGAGCTTTGGTGGATTCCTTACAAGTAAGGTTATCGAAGCAGACTCTGGAATCTTTACCTTGGGCAGTAAGTATTATCATGCAATCATTCTTATGCCTAGGAGCTGATGGATCTCGACCTGATCATTTCCTTCAGTGGCTGTCGCTCCTGGTAAGTAATTGACATTGAATCTGGCAAAACGCGACTCAACAAATCGATCGTTTTTCGCGACAGTGACGAATTGGCTGTACTACGACTCAATCTACACTGAGCGCTACATGAGCACGCCGGAAGAGAACGAGCTGGGATACGTCAACTCTGCAGTTAACAATGTCACTGCGTTTGAACACGCCGACTTCTTGCTCGCGCACGGCAGCGGAGACGACAACGTTCATTACGCCAACACAGCAAACTTGCTCGAAAAGTTCACTCAGGCTCAAGTCAGAGGTTTCCGTTTCAGGATGTTTACCGATTCGTGGGTGTTACCTACGCTTTCCGTTTCCGCCAAGGCCTACTTGCTGAATTTGCCTTGTGGCCTTTGGCACAGAGACCACTCCATGTCTGGCTTCCGAGCGTACAGAGAGGTGTACGAGTTCATGACTGCCTTCCTGGACGAAAAGTGGAGCGGCAATAGGAAGGTCCACGATTAGGCAGAATGGTGCGAGAGGCGAACCCATTTTTTACCGTTGTAGAATAGACTTGTGCCAGGTCTATTTCGATGTAATCGATCGCGCTTGAACGGTTACCGCCAGTAAACAGGTTGTTGTTAAGGCTGATCACGCCTTCGGTGGTCGTGTGGTACCTGAAGCCTGTCTTCCGGGCGTGAGAATGAAAGCGCTCGAATGGTTCGAGGATCGTATCGAGTGCAACTATATCCATGATGACTGACAATGTTTGAACACGTGGACTGTTTGACATCGCATGCATATTCGTCGCGCCGAAGAATGCAAGTGAGACCGTTTTGTCCTCACTGAGTGCCGTCAGCTAGTGAAGATGAGCCATGTGGAAGATTCTGGGGCAGGGAGTCCAGGCCATTCACGAGATCCCTTTGTAGTAATGTCATGTCTACGACTTCCTCCTGAGACCTTCTCACTCACAACTCAACACTCTTCTGAATCAACGACGTTGTCACCTCCCTGCAATGTTCGGTCATTCGCCCGGTCTTGTCTTCGTGGATTTGCGACAACTTTCGAAGTGTACATCATCGCCCGGTTCAAAGGAATGTGCGGGATCTTGTTGATGTCTAGGGCGAATGCCAACGCACGTGAGCGGAAAACGAAAACAACAAAGAACCCTTAGCTCCCCTCCAAAGGAATGAGTTTCAAATGAGTCTTTCAGCCTGGCGCAGCACAGCCCTAAAAAGGCGTCCCATTGCGTCATGTGAAACAAGACCCGGGAAAGACGCTGGCACTCGACGGTCCCTCACGTCACGCGCTTAAGTGTTTCTGTCCTAAGCCTCTTTCCCTTTGCTTATGAACGCTACTGTCGTGTCGGACTGAAGTGATGGAATGATAGCGATTGACTCGAACCCGGGGAAAGCGGAAGACTCCATGCACTGCGTACAAGGGCGACGTAAGGCTGGTGTCGGAGCATGTTGCATGGTAATTGATGCTTCGGTTGACGACGAAGCGCCTGCGAAACGCCAACCGATCAAAAAAACAAAGGGCAGCCAGGGCAAAAAGATATTTCCTACCGGGGAGTCGAACCCCGCCCTCGCGCGATCAATTCTGATGAAGAATGAGAGGCGCGCATCCTAGCCGATAGACGAGTAAGAAGCTTGATGTTTGTCTAAAGTAATTAAAAAATATATCGTTAAACCAAAGATAAAAACACTCCTCAGCTATTTCAATTTTTCCTTAAGTTCCAGGTCAATTGCGGGATGACCCCGCGACCGCTGATAGTGTTTCTATTCAGTTCTGGCCAGTAGAGCGGCCACCTCCTTCATCAGGATCGCGTTCTGCACTTGGAGGCCAAAAAACCCGCCAGATTTCCAAGTAATACTCATGCGGGTCGTCTTCCCTAGTTTATCATGCCCTGACATCGTCTTTCTAATAGATTTTTCTTCGAAATCCTTATCTCGCGCCTCACATCGTAGTTCCACATGCCACAGACGATCAGCTGGAACAGCAGTCTTCGGCTCTTTGGCTTGTATCAAATCAAGTGCTCTACGTCCGATGCTGTCGCAATCATTAATCATTTCGAGGCCCTCGAACACGATAGCCGAACACGAACACCAGAAAATGACGTCAGACTCTAGGCCCTCGGCGATGGGCGAGGCCGATCAACTTCGACCACTGCACTAACATCCTTTGGTTAAATAGCTGCAAGAACGTTATTAATCGCTAACGTTGTCCGATATCCCTGAAGCTCGACTTACTCAATCTTCTCATACGCTTCTTGCATTACCCTTAGTACTCTTTCTTTTAGCCACATACTCCTTCGACGACACAACGTATACAATATGAATTCTGGCTCGCTTTCCGTTAGTGAGTAATGCCAACAGCGGAATGGGATCAACGAGCATGGCTCAAGTCGTAGCTGCTACTGCTCCACTGTGTTACAGGCAACCCCAAGGTCCAAGAAGACGACCTTACCTATGGGGACCAGCCCACGGGTCCCGGTGAATCCGCCGAGAACCCCGGTGGTGTACGTTCTCTTGGGTCGATCCCACATAAACACCTGATCTGATCCTCAGCCTTTCTCTTGTTGTCGGTCTCCGAACCAGGTTTTTCCTCAAGTCGCCCCCGAACCCGCCGGTTCCGCCAAACAAAACCGGGTGGATCAGCCCATGACCGGTGGGGTTGCAGGAGGATCTCAAGCCGAGGCCGTCCCGCAAGCGGCAGGGGGTGTACCAGGGACGGGCGGGCCTAGTGATACGGCTACTGACCCGAGGGTGGTCTTTTCGAACGTGAGTCCTCCTGAGTTCAGTCTGACCGCAGCTCCAACCATGTCAGGTTCCATACGGACCTGCTTTACCCATGCTGACATCCCCTGGTCCTGCTCGTACTAGCCTATGATGTTCTCGGAACTCATGATCAAGATCGACCACTCGCTCACCGAGGCCATCAACGCCATCGAGGATGAGAGCGGTTCGGGCCTCTCGGATGTGGGGAGGGCTCTGCAGGAAAAGTTCAAAGGGTGGAGACAAGAGGTCGACGATGTGAGTCCTCGTCTTGGTTCGGAGCAGGTCGTATAGATGCGGGAGGCGGAGAGCGAAGCGCTGAAGCTTTTTTGGGTACAGATGCGACGGGGCAAGCCGGTGGCCTCGAAACACGGACATTCGGTTACCAAGACCGATGGCGGCGAAGGCGGTCTCTACACCGACTGAACGAGCACAGGATCATCGGAAGAATAGACATGAGACGAGCTCCACTGACGGAAATCAATACGACGAGTACTCTGTATACTTAGAGCGAATTTTGAAGCATGTAATACTTAGGATGGAGACTGTTCGACCTGAGGAACAGATGCGCCTCACAGAGGTAGCTGAACGGACATGACGACGTTCTGGCTGTCATGAGACGTGACCAGCGCAGATGACCAACTGCTCTCATCTCATCATCACCCCTACTTCGCTGTATTACCGGTCGATTCGATTCTATGTGAGGAAGGGGGACAATGAATCGAAAGGACGAGGGATCGAGTTCTAATAATTACCGAGTTGCGTTGTCGACGCTCGGGAGGGGTCCATTGGCTGGCAAAAGTAGCTCAGCGCCCCCGCGCGCGCAGCCCCATTTGGGTCATTTCGCCCCTTGACGAGCGCAGGCGGGCGAACGAACGTCCCAGAATGGTGGAGTCGAGGCAGCACCGCATGGGGCCTTAGAACTCGAGGGGGGATGTGTCTGAGTGTGAATATTGAGCTGTCATATAATCGAAACGTCCTCGTCCAAGGAGAAAGGGCAGAGCAAGTTCGAGCGAGATCAGCCATCACACTGCATACACTGAAGGAAAAAGGGAGCCCCCTGCATACGTTTTCTCGCCGCCGAGAGGAAGCGAAAAACGGGACACCGCGGATCCAGAGTGAGTGCGAGTGAGATATTCGTGGTTCTCGGGGATACCTAGGCTCCCTAGCAGCTAGCAGCCTGCCTGTCCCTCTGTCCCTCTGCCTCCGTTTCGCTCTTTGTGGCAACTTGCACCTCTTTGCGAGCGAGCGAGCGAAGCAGCTTTTGTAAGCGAAACATCCGACCCTCCCTCGCCCGTTCACATCATCATCTCGTCGTCATCCATCATTGTCAAGCAATCACAATACATCAAAGATAGATCATCTCATCTGTACCTGTGCAACCATCGCTCCCCCTCTGGGATCGTCGTCTGCTTCGTCGTCACCTGCTGACACCCATCACCCGCGCTCGACCTAGAATCACTACCAACCTTTACGGCGAGGCTCGGTCATAGCCGTACCTCGAATCAGAGAGCAGGCGAAAAATCGACGGGTCGACCTATACAACAATCTCGCAGTCAAACCCATCAACCTCGTCGTCTGATCATCAAAGCATCAACGATCTCGTCTCTCTCGATCAAGCAATCTAGAGCTAGGCGATGAGCGTTTGTTGACACGGATCGATTCGAACCTGTACACCAGCGTTTGTCATCCAAACTACAAGCAAGCCACTCGACGGGGGTCTGTTTTCTCGCACGGGAAACCCTCTCCCAGGCAGCGACCAACTCAATAATCTTCGCCACACCTCTGCCCTTTACCACATACGGCCTAGTTTTACAGGCAGCCCGTATCGTCAACACATCGTCCGTGTCCCTTCGACTCTTCAGCAGATTCGGGCGGTATAATGTCGCATTCAGGCGAACCGAGCAAGATGTCGTCGGTATTAGAGGATGTGGCAGAAGAGGCCGAACCGGACATACGCAGTGACGAGGTCAGTCTATGGCTGCCCATCCGTACGGATATCTGGTGGAAACAAAGCTGATCTTGGACCATTTCACTTTTTTCCTTGCCAACTTTCTGCTGCGCAAACCCTACCTTGACCGACAACCTTTGGCGCCCCTCTTCATCACGACCCATCTTGCGAACACAGAACGAACCCGTCAAGGTCTCTGACAATACCGCATCCGCTTACAAACCCATCACAGCTCCAGATTCGTTAGCCCAGCACCTACAACAGTCTCTCAATGTATCCACTACCGCCACCGCGGCCAGCACCGCCAATAATTCGCCACACGGCACACCCCCCTTGATCCAGCCCAAGGACTTGCGTTCGGGCGAGATCGCCCTGCCTAGAGAGACATATAGAGGCATATCCAAGGAATCCGACCTCCAGACACCGGGGATGGCGAGCACCGCGGGGACACCCGGAAGTGGAGGGTATGGAGGATTGCCCACGGGTCTCGCTACGGCAGGGGGAACGTCTGCTTTACCTACGGGGATCGCTGGTTCTGATTCGCCCAACTTGGCATTCCCGTTCCCTTCGTGTCAGTAGCGTTTTTCTTTCTTGATACCGTTCGCGGTCGAGACCGGTGGCACTAATTTGTTTGTGTTGCTCTCCTCTCGACAAAATGGCCCTCTCGCCTCTTGCTGGTCGTACCGGTCATCGCTCGACGTACCCCTTTGATAACATCTGGATAACACAGTCAAACCCATCTCATCCAATGGGTCGAGTCCAGAACCTCACGAGATGAATATCCCCCCGACACCTGGCGGCTTGTCAAGAGAGACGTCGGCCGGGGTCATCAAGCACTCTCAGCTCGCTACTTCGAGTATCAGCGCTGCCGAGCTATCCTCCCATGCGCCTACTTTCCCTCCTCAGGCCCATGTCACTAGGCGTAATACCTCGGCCGGGTCGCAGAACCACGTTCATGCGCCTCAGCCTCAGCGGACTCCGTCATCGAAACCGATCATGCTGGGACACGGGGGAGAGAAGAAATCGTTCTTGCACAAGATGCTGCATATGGGGGAAGACAAGAAAGAGCGTGCCGCGAGGGAACGTCTCGAGCATTCTGAGAGTCATCACGGGAACGGCATGAGGGTCGAGTTGCCCGACCGAAAGCCCAACGGCTTTGGGACCCCCGGTGCTCGAGATTCGCCTCCTGGCAGTCCCGGCCCTATCAGTCCCGGATACAGCGATGGCGATCACGGTTCGCAACCGGGCTCTAAACCTCCTAGCCGACATCCAAGCGTTAAGAGGCAGAACAGCTGGAAGAACCACGACGATCCTCACGCACAAGGGCCTACCGACAAGAACAGTCATTTGGCCAACGCGACGCCCTCGAGGCCTGGTTCCGAGCGCAGTCCTTCCCGTGGGCCTTCTGTTCGGGCCCCGAGCGTCAAAGAGGGCGATAACGGTGGTACCAAATTCAAATTGAGCGATCTCTTGGGATCGGGACCGAAGCTCGCTAGGAAAGCCTCGGCTGCCGGTTCTGCCAAGGGGAGCGAAAAGGGTAGTACCAAGGGAAGCGAGAAGGGTGACAATGTCAGCACCGCCAGCTTGTTCAAGAAATACGGAGTTTGTGAAAAGGCCGCTATCGGTCGAGGTGCGACTGCCGTCGTCAAGCTCGCTCACAAGTGGGATCGATCGGAAGAGAAACTCTATGCCGTCAAGGTAGGTCATTTCGTTGATCGGACGCGATCACAATCTAGTGTGCGTGGCGTCGAAGCTGAATTCTCTCTTCCGTTCGTGTTATTATAGGAATTCCGTAAACGACGCAAGAACGAATCCGAGAAGGAATACGTCAAGAAGCTTACTTCAGAGTTTTGCATCTCTTCGACCTTGCACCATACCAACGTCGTCGAGACTGTCGATCTCGTTCAAGACGAGCAACATCATTGGTGTGAAGTCATGGAGTACTGCCCCGGTGGAGACTTGTACGCCGCCATCAAGAAGGGCAACATGAGCGTCGGCGAGGTCGAGTGCTGTTTCAAGCAGATTCTCAAGGGAGTCGAGTATCTTCACTCTATGGGTGTCGCTCATCGGGATATCAAGCCCGAGAACCTGTTGCTTGACGGCCGAGGTCACATCAAGGTGAGTTGCGAGGGCATTGGACGAGGGTTTTGGTCAAGAGAGGTTGACGAATGGCCTCCTTCGCCCAGATCACCGACTTTGGTGTCTCCGACGTCTTCAGGATGTGTTGGGAAAAGAAGACCCACTTGAGTAAAGGGCTGTGTGGGAGTGAACCTTATATCGCGCCCGAACAATTCGAGCAGAAGGGTACGTTTGACTTGCAGGCATTCGATGCAAAGTGCTGAAGCTGATCATCAAACTGATTCCCTCGCAGAATACGACGCCCGTGCGGTCGATATTTGGGCCTGTGCCATCGTCTTTTACTGCATGCAGTTCCAAGAGATCCCCTGGAGGATCGCCAAGAACCCTTCCGATTCTTCTTACGCTCAATACGTCAATCAATACGCTCAATCCTCGGCTCCTCAACCTTTGCACAACCTGATGCCCAAGGAGTGTCACTCGATCTTGAAAAAGATGCTGAACCCGGATCCCAAGATGAGGCCTTCGGTAGAGGACGTCTTGAAGGATGAATGGGTCGTACAGATCGAGCAATGCAAGGACGGAAAGTCGAAGAACGGGCACACGCACGAGGGCGCGCCGTACGTCCTCTCGTAGGGAGGATGCGAGGGCGTAGTGAGATGCGTAAGAGGGTGAAGGGCGCGGAAATGGCTGAACTGCCAAGAAGCAGGGAAGGAGGATGATACGACTATTTTCTACTTCTCAGGATCAAGATTACGAGGTTTCCATAGATCCCCAATCAGATTACAAGAGGGGAGGGAGGGAGGCGGGCACGATACTGCTTTCCTTTGGAATCCTCGCGCCGCTACTGACGAAACGCAGAGGGGAGATCAGGCTCCGAACGAGCTAGAGGCAAAGATGGCAGGATAAGGACGACCCGACGGTGTCGATCCGGCCTGCTTCGACGGGACGCTCTAGCAAGTTCTCGACCTGGTCTCTTTCCCTTAGCGAACCCACGAACGACTGGATCTATAGCTGTGTTTTACTGTTTGACTCGCGGATCCATCTATCTATATACATGTGCATAATCAGGAGATTGCGTGAGCGAGGTTCCTGTCAGCCTGAAAAGCCGGGCCTTATTGCTATGTTCGCCATTTCCCAAAACTCTTCAACGTGTCTATTCCCGAGCGATTCATCATTCAAGCCGTCAGTCGTTGATTCTTCCAGGAGGCAAGCATTTGATACCATATGATAGAACTGGCGAATGGCGAGAATCGTAAAGTTGCCTCTTTGAGACGCCAAGACCTGGAACGCGGTGGACTGACAAGGAACCGAACGGCCCGATGACCGGGTGTCTCATCTCCCGCACTTAGGGAAATAAGGCAATTTAGACGCGCGTAGATTGGGGGTATTTGTACTATTTGCCCCACGTTTGCCCTCAATTTACCCGTCAATCTATCCGAGATCAGATTGTGGGCAATGTTACAATTTCCGCTACGTCTACCCCCGAGCAAATAGCACGTCTGTTTACTCGAGAGCAAACAGCGATCAGATTGCGGAAAAATTGTGCACAGATGGCGGGTAGATTCCGCTCAGACACTAGGCAGATGGAGGGTAGATTTTGTGATTACATAATCGTTTCGTTACGTAATACAAATGTTCGCGTACCTCCGACCGTCTCGTCCGGACTCATCAAAAACAAAACACAAGTCGTAACTTGCAATCCTACTAGACTTACGATCTCACTTCTTCTGCTACCGGTAGCTATGATACACCTCCCTTCGACTTGCTGAGGTTGGCGAACCGTGAGTAATATGTGTGGCAGGCTGAATTTCCGTGTCATCCGGAGAACTGAGTATATGATATGGTCATGCGAAGGGAACGGTCGAGTTAGCGAGGCCCCTCCTTTAGTAGTAGTCGAGGACGTACCGACATCCTTTCGACGGGTTCGACACCACCACCCGTCTCTATCTCGTTCCCGACATTCAAGGCATCATGACCCAACCGATCAAGCCGATCCGGATTGCGCTGAGGACCTGTGGGGACGCGGTCGCCCCTGTAGTCATCAGGCAGGACATTCCGCTCGGCAGCGAACTCAATGATCAAGAGGAAGATGATCAGAACGAGACCGGTCGAGCTACAGGCGAACAAACGGAGACTCACTGTGAGAATCAACTGCGAATGTCGACTAGTGCACAGACGATTCAGTATCCTGGTCGCACTGGTCAAACAATCAGCACCGGCGCCCTCGGACTAGCTTCACCTTCCCACAACGCACCGGAGAGACATCCTTTCCAATCTACGCCCTACACCCACCCTGCCACGGTCAATCCCCAGCATCTACATCATCACTCGCAATCGGCTTACCTCCCTGCGGAAGTCCGTATGCCTCCTGCCCAACCCATTCAACCTGCTAGCGTCACGCCAAGTAATCCTTCCCGCCCGCCGACTCAAAACCAAGCACAGACCCAAGGCCAAAGTCAACGGCAATCGTATCAACATATTCAGCGTCTGGATGCGACCGCTAGCCAACATGAAACAGAGCTTACCAGGATACGAAATACTCTCGCCGATGTGGTCGCCGATGTCGGCGTGCTGACCGGTCATTTGGAAAAGCAGGCGGAGCAGCTGGAGGAAGCGCGAAGGGAGAAGGAGGCATTGGTTGCCCAGATGCAGGAGATGGATAATGAGCAGACTGCGCGGATTGCCGATCTGGAGGAGATGGTAGCGGATCTGGAAGACGAGGTATACGGTGAAGGTGACGGAGGCAGCGGAGGCGGGAACAGAGGAACGGCGACCTCGCAAGAGAAGAGAGCATTAGCTGTATACTTGAAGCGTGTGCTCGAACAGCTCCACGGCGAACGACCTCCATTGGCTTACCCGGATAAAGATGAAAGCTGGCCGCAATTGACAACCGCTGATGGCGCTCCCGCCGGTCCTGCTATGCGATGGGACTATAGCAAGGCATTCCGAGAAGAGCCAAACATCAGTCAGACTCGTCTCTTGCTGAAATTCGTCAAGGAGAAGCCCGACGCCGTCGATATGCCGAATGATACGCCGATGTCGATGGTCCTCCCGTACTCGACCCATGTCAATGTCTACAGCAAGGCGCTTTCCGATATCTTCAAGCAGTATCGCGCAGCAACCAAGACGCAAGCGTTGAAAAAGTGGAAGGATAGGAAACCGGAAGTGTTGCGGGAGATCGAGAGTCTCCTTGCTGAAGACCAAGGGGACGAGCCGCTACCGTTGGAGCAGCGTCGGGCTCAAGCGGCGGAGTTGCAGAAGATGGTGGACAAGATGGATGGTCAGGCTGCTGCCGTTGACGGGGATAAGAAGGGCAATGTCAGGTCGAAATGCCAGAGCGTAAGCCATTGTTACAAGGGTACTGCAAGACAGCTACTTACCTTGCACTTGCTCCACAGATGGTCCAGCGGGTGAAGAAGATCAGACCTACGTCTCCATATTCTGCCGTGAAGTTCGAGTTCCTGGAAGATGTCTATTGTATGCCACCTCCGACCCTGGTCAAGCAGCCGAACGGGCAGTTCAAGGCATATGCGACGGATATGTCAGCGGTGTACTCGGATCAGGTATGCCAAGTGGTGGTTTGATGTACGCGTCGTTGAGGTGACTGACGTAGGCCATGTCCCTTCGTAGTTTATCGAGATGTTCCAGCTCATTTGGGAGTCTGAGGACCCCACCGGCACGTCCTCGCACTCACCGATCATCAACGACCCCCCAATCGGATATGAACCGCAGCCCCCCTCGCCGTACTGGGCAACCCAATTCGGCCAACTCCATCTCAATCCTCAGCGCTGGATGTTCAACGATACGTTTCTCGCATCTCATGCCCCGACATCCCCCATCTGGAATCGCATCGTCGACGTCAATGAACCTACTTCGCCAGAGGACGTCAAGCTTACGCAATGGTACTTGATGCATCCACAAACGCTTGGTCGCACTCCCAAAGGCGCGGCGAAGTCCAAGACCAGCGTTCCTAAGGACACGACGAAGTCCAGGAACAGCAAGAAGCGTGTTCGATCGGTTTCGATTGCTGCCTCCGAGATGGGACCTACCAGCACACCGTCGCCCGGTTCGTATGGCAACCTGCCTCCCAGCAGTGACGGGTCCCAGCCGATGTACAAGCGCATCAAATCCGCAATGAAGCCGAAGGGTCGTCCGGCCATCCTGGATGAAGGCGACGAGAACGATGAAAGCGCAATTGACATCGACCCGGATTTGGATGATCCTGCGCCACTCACTCCGGTTGGCAGACCGTTGCCTCTTCCCCCCATGCGAGCCAACTCGCGAGATATGCTGAGATTGAGCGGACCAGCCAGCTCGAAGACAACGCCTCGTACTCCGGTCCGACCTTCCCCTCGCCAACATCAAGCCGCCAATACCATGACCAATATTTTCCCCAGCCATCACTCTACCCAACAACAGATCGCCGGTCCAAGCAAACAAAGATTCAATCAGCCCGCGACCGAAACGAGGACTCACATGCTGTCAGGGCATGATAGCTATCACAATTCTTCCGATTACGATATCGAGACCGATCCTCAATCCGAAGGATACGCCAGGTCCGGTTCCCGCACAGGATATCTCTACACCACGGGTCGAAGTTGAGACATGTTCATACCATCACTTTTCGGATTACATCGAGGCGCTGCGCCAGAGAAGGGAGGATCAGCCCGCAGGTCAACGCCATAGACAGGTGTTATAGCGGTCACGTGACGCGTCGGACGCGCCGTACGCGACTCCCGTACGCGACTCCCGTACGCGACTCCCGTCGGGGGTACTTTTCGGTATTGTTATGTTGATGTAGAACTAGTACCCTTGTAATAGCTCTACATCCGTTATTACATTCTAGATGTCTACCCATACCTTGCCTCATTCCTGCGTCCCGTCAGCCTGTCCAGGGGGAACCCCGCCGGGGGTCGCTCCCGGGCCTTACAGAATAACGGATCATCAAAGGACCCCGAATGGGGGAGCACAGGGAGGTAGCCGGATCCCCTTGCAGTTGGGTGCAAGCGGAGTACCCAACGGTCCAGATAGCCATCTGACGTTGGTAGGAGTGTTCTACCCGGGGGGAGTGCCGGTCCAAGCACTCATGTTGTTGGATTCGGGAGCGACCGGGATGTTCATGGATCGGACATTCGCGTCGCTACATGGATTCGACGTAACGGACCTCGAGACGCCGCGGGTAGTAACGGTGATCGATGGTCGGGAGATTCAGGGAGGAAGGATCACCCAGAAGGCTCGTACGCTGGTACGTACGGGAGTGCACCTGGAACTGACCGAGTTCCACCTCACCGATTTGAGTGGGTACCCGGTGGTACTAGGTATCCCTTGGCTGCGGAGACACAACCCGCATATCCAATGGGACTCCAACGCGGTGACGTTCGGGGATGTCTGCATCAGCACGGGATGCCTCAAGAGGCCCGAGACGGTGTATGCTCCGGATGAAGTAGAGGTGGAGACACGAGGGATCGACCCGTTCAAGAAGATGAAGGGGTCGATCACGGAGGATTTGGTCGTCGCACAAATGCAGATGACCCGGGAGGACGATGAGCGGGCGAGGCGCCCGGACCTGTGGGATTGGGACGTCAAACCTACAGACTCGTTCCAGGATGACCTGGACCCTCCCGAGTATATGGAGAAGCTGAGGGACATGGTACCGGAGAAGTATCATGAACATCTTGGAGCGTTCTCCAAGACGAAGGCAGATACACTGCCCCCGAAGCGATCGATCGACCATGCGATCGAACTCAAACCCGGTACGTCGCCGACGTATCAGAAACTCTACAACCACTCCCAGCGGGAAAGCGAGGAGCTAAAGAAGTGGTTGAAAGAGAATTTGGAGAAGGGGTTCATCAGGCCGTCGAAGTCGCCCTGCTCGAGCCCGGTACTGTTTGTACCGAAGAAAGGCGGCGAGATGCGTATGTGCATCGACTACCGTCGCCTTAACGACATTACGGTGAAGGATAGGACGCCCCTACCCCTCATCTCGGAGACGCTAGACAGGTTGAAGGGCGCGAAGGTCTACACGAAGATGGACCTCCGAGGCGCGTACAACCTGCTACGCGTAAAAGAAGAAGACATTTGGAAGACCGCGTTTACTACACGCTTCGGTCTGTTCGAATGTTTGGTCATGCCGTTCGGCCTGACCAACGCCCCCGCTACCTTTCAGCGGTGGATGAATGAGGTCTTCCAGGACCTTTTGGATGTGTGCGTCGTCGTTTACCTCGACGACATACTTATTTACTCCTCCGACCAGGAGACCCACGATGGTCAGGTCAAGGAGGGTATGAAGAGGCTGCAGGCAAATGGCCTGTATGCGAAAGCGGAGAAGTGTGAGTTCGATACGGTGGCTACCGAATTCTTGGGGTACGATATTGCCCCGACGGGGGTTAGTATGAACCCCTCTAAGGTCAAGTCCGTTTTGGACTGGGCCCCCCCGAAGAACATTCGGGGACTGCAGTCCTTCTTAGGATTTGCAAACTATTACCGGAGGTTCATTCAGAACTACTCCAAGAAGATTCAGGGAATGACGGCCCTGACGAAGAAAGGGGTGAAGTACTCCTGGACAGCAGCCGCTGACGCTGCGTTCCGGGAATTGAAGGAGTCCTTCACCCAGGCGCCTATATTGGCGCACTACAACGAGGAGCGCCAAGTGGTGCTTGAGACCGACGCTTCCTCTGGAGCGATCGGCGTAGTGATGTCCCAGGTAGGGGACGATGGGAAGCTCCACCCGGTAGCGTTCATGTCGAAGAGTCTGACGCCCGCCGAGAGGAACTACGATGTGCACGACAGGGAACTGTTGGCCATCGTTTATTGCAGTCGGATATGGCGACATTATCTCGACAACAAGTACCCCGTTCGGATCCTCACGGATCACAAGAACTTGGAGTACTTCAAGAGAGACAAGGTATTGTCTCAACGGCAGGCGCGATGGTCGCAGCTGTTGAACCAGATCTCCTACACCCTGGAGTACAAACCGGGAACGGAGAACGGGAAGGCCGACGCGTTGAGTCGGCGGGAAGAGTTGATGGAGGAGACAGAACCGAAGCGAGCAGAGACTCTGCTCCGGCCTGTCGAAGACGCACCCCCTGAAGGGTGTAGTCCGGTTGAGCGACCGCCTTTGCGGTTGAATGGCACCATCCCCGCACTGGGCGATTGGATGGTAAAAGCGTTGATACCGGCGGCGCAGGACGACCCGGTGGCAAAAGAGCTCGTAGCGCAGCTCAAGGCGGGAACCTTGGCGAACGAGCGATACAGCTTGAGCCCCACTGGGGTTCTCCTGTACAACGGGTTGGTGTATGTCCCCAACGCAGGGAACATCAAGGTAGAGCTGATGAAGCGTCTACATGACGGGAAGGCCGCCGGCCATTGGGGGCGGGACAAGACCGTGGAGCTGACCAGTAGGGACTTCTACTGGCCTGGGATGGCGAAGTGGATCGGGGAGTACGTCGCTAGCTGCAGCATATGCCAGCGCAATCGGCGGCCCCGGATGAAGCCTGTCGGCGAATTAGCGCCGCTACCGATACCGGCAGGACCATACGAATCGATCACTTGGGATCACATCACGGATCTGCCCGAGTCCATGGGGTCTAACTCGATCCTGGTGATCGTCGATCGATTCAGCAAGCGGGCGCACTTCGTCGCCTGTCGGAAGGACAACGACGCCTCGTTCTTGGCGCGGTTGTTCCTCGACCGGTGGGTGTGTCTGCATGGGTTCCCGAAGCAGATCATTTCGGATCGAGGTACGTTGTTCACCTCGCGCTTCTGGAAAGATCTGTGCCGCATGGCGAACGTGGAGAATAGTTATTCCACGGCGTTCCACCCGGAGACGGACGGTCAGACCGAGCGAAGTAACTCCACCTTGGAGCAATACCTGCGGTCGTACGTCAACTTTCTCCAAGACGACTGGGCGGAGTTACTCTCCATGGCAGAGTTCGCTTACAACAACGCGAAACACTCTGCCATCGGGATGTCGCCATTCATGGCGTCCGAGGGAAGGGAACACAGCTTCTCCCTACCGGTGCCCGGCACTAGGGAGGAGGCGGTCGAGTCGGCGGGGGAGTACCGAGACCGACTCGATGGGATCTACAAGTCGGTGAAGGAGGCGCTGGAGCAAGCGCGACGAGACATGGCGAAGTACGCGAATCGGAAGCGTACCGCCGTCCCTGACGAGGGTTACAACGTAGGGGACTTGGTAATGTTATCTACCAAGAACTTGACATCGGTGCGCCCCAGCCAGAAGCTCTCGATGAAGACGCTGGGGCCCTTCCGAATCACGGAGGTCATCGGCCAGAGCAAGATGGCGAGGAGGCTGGAACTCCCCGCGCAATTACGCCGGGTACATCCCGTTTTCCACGTGTCATTGCTTATCCCCTATCGGGCCAACGAGCTGGAAGGAAGAGAGGTGGTTGAGCCACCTACCCCCGAAGTCCTCGACAACGGCGACTTGGGGTATGTTGTGTCCGAGATCGTACACTCGAAGGCGTTGCGATCCGGGAGGTCCGGGAAGAAGACCCAGTACTTAGTACGATTCGAAGGGTACGGGGACGAGTCGAACGAGTGGGTCAGCCCCGCCGAGTTCGATCACGACGACAAGGTCGTCACGGCGTTCCACAAGCGCTACCCCCATCTACCGCAGCCCGGTCGACAGGAGTACGCCGACGCTTGATGCGTTCGGAGTCCGCATCTAGGAGGGGGATCCTGTTATAGCGGTCACGTGACGCGTCGGACGCGCCGTACGCGACTCCCGTACGCGACTCCCGTCGGGGGTACTTTTCGGTATTGTTATGTTGATGTAGAACTAGTACCCTTGTAATAGCTCTACATCCGTTATTACATTCTAGATGTCTACCCATACCTTGCCTCATTCCTGCGTCCCGTCAGCCTGTCCAGGGGGAACCCCGCCGGGGGTCGCTCCCGGGCCTTACAACAGGATTCACACAGTCAACTTACCGCATCACATTAAGCGCTCCACTTCACATGTCAGAATCAGTTAGCCCAAATGTCATCGTCTAATATCATCACATGCCATGTCGCTTCTAGATTCCTTGCGAACCGATGTCATCTGCCGGTACCCGACTTGTTGTGCTAAGCCTCGCATCACGGTGCAAGGTCAGGTTGTGTCGCGTCTTCATCCTCGTCGTTCCAAAACTCGGGTTCGGCTCCCTCCTAGATACGGGGGTTGTGAGAATACGGGGTTAGTGCGGTTCTCTGTCTGCAGATTCTCCTGACACACCTTATCACAAGCCACCGAGATGAGCACCTCGAGAGGATCCGATTCGTCTTCTGGCTCTGCGAGCTCGAAGGCACGCATCGCTGTTACCATTGTCGCAGCTTGTAGGTTCTCTAGCGGAATGAATTGTCGTTCAGTCACGGTGTTATGGTACGCCCGGTATCCTAGATCGATTTTCCTATGGGATAGCAAGGTGAATTAATACTTGATAATACGGTAGACCTGACGGCTTGACAGGCTGTGATTCACCTGTCTTCAAACGGCAGGGTCCATTCTGGCCACGGTTGAAAGAATTCGACCAGCGCGAGTGTGAGATCGAGGTCGTGGTAACCAGGCACGGGTAGCCGGAGACCAAGGATGAGGATGACCTTGCAGAGATGCCTCTGCCCGCCAGCCAACCCTCGGGCCGCCAGGGCATACTGGTTTCGCCTTGATCTCTCGTAGAGCGAGGTACAGAACCTGGAAGAGAGGGGCATGTGAGCGACGCAGCTTTAGACCGTTTGTTCCGGGCTACTGACTTGAAACCAGAGTAAAGGGCGTGGGTGTATATTCGGTAAGACTGGTGCGTCTTAGGGAGAGTTGGGCGTTCATCGAAGATGTAAGCGGCGTCCACAAAATTGAGATGCGAGTAATGTTGCTCCATGTAGCGGAGTAGAGGCAAGTAGGCGTTGTACTTGCCGAGATGGACGCGAATCTTCGGTTTGTACGGCCGGGGTAGTCTTATGGTACGGTTCGCAGCGTTGCCCCTTGCCTCGTCGAGCATCAATGTTCCACGTATGACGGCTCTGTTGGCTACCATAGAACGCAAAGCCTCCTTCTCCTCCGCTGTGGCGTTAGGTGCGGGGTTATTGACGACTGCGCAGAAGCTCGATTCTCTGTGCCATGCGCGATGTAGTATTGCCGCCAAGTCGGACCCGGTTTTACCGTTGTGATTGACGCGACTGAGCGTTCCGTTGTTTCGTTCGAAGGCGAAGCATGTGAAACCCGACAGAGGCCCGTACAGGCGGACGAAATCGGCGTAGTGCATCGCGATGTGCCAATTTATCGTAAGATGGGCACCTGCGGCCAACATGCCTCTAGCGGCATTGGCCATATCCTGGATTGCCGCGGTCTGTTAAGCTCCCGGTTTCGCATGGCAACAAACTGCCAGGACTTACTTCGACAGCGCCTTCGGCATCCGCAATAGATATACTATGAGCGTGTAGGATCCGTAGCCCAGCACACAGGGATACGGCTATCCGGTACCAAACGGCCCTGTTTCTCCGAAAGGGTCGAGGCTCCTCCTCTGTCGTATCGATGCTGCCCAAGCGTGACCGACCGGGGGTCCTGGAGCGAGATCGTGACCGGCTCCGGGACCTCGTTCGACTGGAACGACTGCTGTGCGACCTGAGAGAGGCGGATCTACCACGACGCGGAGAAGGTGTTCTGGCTGTGGATCTCATTGACGCGTCGGAGTCTGCGGCATCTTCGTCGTCGAGGGACGGCATATCCTCGTCAGGTATGATGTTGCTGCCCTCCGATCGCCAGGCGGCGAAAAGGGCTCCCGGCAGTAACTGCGAAATCCTTTTCCACTGATCGGCAGTCAACGCCGAGCCGACCTGGACTTGCGTGTTCTTCCTCCTTCGACCGACAAGCTGTCTTGCGATTCTGTTCGGGATTCGCCCGAGGTGACCAGGGTAATCCGTGTTCTCAAAATAGCTGGCGAAAATGTCGATACGCTCTGTACCCTCGATGTCTCCCTCGAACATTTGATTGTCCATCAGGATCGTTACGAAACTGCGGACCTGGCCCAGAAAGGAATTATGGAGGGGGTCAGGGGCACAGCTTTTGGCATGCTCGAAGCCGATGAGCCGTGCTATACTCGAGTAGCGGACGCCATAAGTCTCTTCTATTGCGAGTCGCTCATCCGGTGTTCCCACTTCGTGTTGAAAGGCCGCCTGTAGCTTCGTAGCCGCGCTGGCATGCTTGGGTAAGTGTCGCCAGTCATACCCGCTTGGGAGGTCGATATCAGCCTTTGTGATATCACAATACTGGCAGGGGTGTTCTTTGTGGCTGAGTCCCATAGCACCGCTCAGCTTGCGTGTGGCTGGTAAATCGCTGACCGTCAACAACAATCGAGCTGAGACACTGATCTTCGGGACCGGATCGTATGGTATTGTCACATCGAATCCACGTTCGCAGAGCTGGAAGTCGTCGATGATGGGCTCGAGGATCTGCGAGTTAGGTGTATTTTTGTCAGAGTTCTGACTGCCTGTCTGACGCCAGCTCACGGATTTACCTTATTGAGGCAGAGGCCCGGCGGTTCTTGTGGGCCAGGTATGACGCAAAGAAGTGCGGTGTAGCGCTTTTGAAACATGAGGTGGCGCGGGAGATTCGCCACACACGCATACACCGCCCCGACGGATGAATTGATGACTCCTTTCACTCGGAACCTAGTACAACCGACCGATCAGCTCATCAATCAGAGACCGTGTGGGGATGAGACAAGATCAGACATACCAATCGATGTTGAGGATGATGTTGAGTCCAAAGAGCTGTCCAACATGCCGCTGACTGTACGGGGTTACCGGTACATCGGCGACTGAGTTATCGGGTCGGATGACGCGGCGGACGTTCATACGTTGTGATCGCCATGCGCTACCATCCGAAAGACCGTCCAGAAGCTCGTCCTTCGACCAGTATGGTTGACTGGGATCGAGTGGTTGAACCTCTGTCTGATTCTCGGTATCGTCTGGATTGTCTTGTCTCCATTCTTGTAGATTGTTACGGAACTGTCGATCTTGAAGGAGTGTTGCGAGTGCGAGCGAGAGAGGGGTATAGGGTATGATCTTGGTAGGCGTTCTTGTCCTTCCTATCTGATCATAGAGAACCCCCTCCTCGCACTCTGGACACGTCGGCGTTTGCAGTTTATAGAGATTGATGTATGGTTCGAGGTGCCAGCATTGGTTGTTGGGGCAGGTGAGATAGCGGGTGAGGTAATCATCGGGCAATACTCCGAGCCTCGACAGCGCCGTGCGCACGTTGTAAGTCTTGTCTTCGATGACGGTATCACTTGCGAGTTCTATGCTTGTAGTCATTTGCTCGAGCATCATATTTGCCGCTATGTTCGAGATGCCCGTTGTAGCTTTGGCGAAGGCCATGGCGGTGTACATGTGTCGTATCGGTACAGGAAGGTCGTGATGTTTCGTGAGGTGGTTGAGAGTAATCGTAACGGTCGGAAAAGGGTTGTGTGGTGGTCTCGGACCGATCTCGTAGTGCTTGGAGATAGCTTCTCCTTCGGTAAAGATGTGGCTACGGCTGAGCTCTTCTTCTTCCATCTCAAGCATGAATCGAGGTGTCTCAGATCGGTCATGCCGTACGTCATTTGGCACCGGGGCGGTGCTGTCGTTATCGTCAAAGGGGGCGTCATAATGGTGTGGGTCTTCGTCATTACTGTCATAATCGCTGTCAATGTTATCCTCATCTTCGTCGAGTTGTAGGTCCTGGAAGAGACCAGACGGGGAGTGTGTGCCGATCAGGGAAGGCAGGGCCAGACTACCGAGCCCAGGAATTCCGCCCGCAGGACCTGCCAACGGCAAAGGGGGTGTAGGTGAGGGCGGTGTGGATGGGAGACTGCTGTGGTCCTGGCCCCATGGACTCCCGCTTCCAAAACCGAAATCGTCCGGTTCCGGGCTCCCGTCAGCAGGACTGGTATTGGCTGGCGACGTTGCGGGTGGAGCTGACGCTGCCACTGGCAGAGCATTGTTGGCTTGAGCGGCAGAGGCTTCCTGATGTCTCCGGTAAGTCTGATAGGTGACCGATTTGAAACCCGCAGGGTTCTCCGACCGGCATAGGGGACATCGGCAGATACGCTACGGGGATTGAAGGTGGTCCTCAGAAAGTATAATAGCGTTGCGAGCTCCATAAGGACTCACCTCCGGTCGTTTATAAGTCATACTACCCGGGCGAAGTCAGTCACAGATCACTGATCACAGAATCAGTGGCGGGTAGGTCGATCGGAAAACTGTCTTGATACGGGCGTCGAGCAGGGTCGTTCAGGCAGAGAGGGTATGATGTATCGATCCCATAGGAGTTGATGAATATACAGCTGTTGAATTGGCAACCGATACTAAGAGTGACATCGAAAGCATGGATACGAGGGGTATGAGGTCGAAGGGATGACCTATGTCATCACCACGTCGCCACCAAGTCGATTGATCAGGTCGTCTAGCAGCTAGCAGATAGAGTCAAATTGAAGGTCGGATCGTATATTGTAGATCAGATAGGGGTGAGATGACGAATGGCACGGAGATACAGAACTGATGAATGTCCGCTGTCACATCTAACCCGCATCTACCCCCAGTCTCGACCCCTCCCGTTTTTTAGGTAGTAGATTGGGGGTAAACGCCGTGTTTGCCCCTAATCTACTACTACTCAGATTTCCCTGCGTCCCACAGTGTCTCCCGGCCTCTCCCCAGTGCGCCAGTGCTTCTGGCGCCTCGGGTTGAATTCGCATCCGAAACACCATAATTACGAGAGAGAGTCGGTCATCTCCTCCTTGACCCGCTGGTGGTTCGGGGACAAGAAACAAGGTTTCGACCCTCTCGTCTCCCCTTCTTCGATATGCGCGTCGGGAACAAAACAACAAACAGTGGGAGAGCGAGGGCGAGAGGGAGGAGGGAGGGAGAAGGGATATTCGATGATCCCCCGATCTCTTGATCAGTTCATCTCCGTGATCCATCCCTTTTCCCTGTCGCTCGCTGCCATCTTCCTCTGTCTTTTCTTTTGCTGTGCAAATCTCTCCCAGACATCCTTTCGATCCACCTCGGACCCCCTTTCGTTTTTATCCCTTCCATCAATCAAATCTCATCAAACCCTCCCTTTTCGCGTCGTCGTTGGTCTTATCGGGATCTCGAAACTCGAATACCCCATCGCCTTGCACTCTCTTTCGACCACCAAGTCAAGAACAGGATCGCCTCTCGACCTAGACACTTCAGTGGTATCTCGCTGCAAGATCCGACCGCATACATCACCTTCGTTATCACTTCAGAGCTAGCCAACTGCATACACAATGAGAGGAGAATGTCAGTCTGTCCTTGGATATGGTCAGACTCGTGTGACGTCTCGGCTGATCTTGTGTGACGTGCTCGTACCCTGTCAGACTGTATCGCCGGAGCTTCCGTCTTCTCGTAGGTCACCTTTCCAGCTCAGTCCCGACGTGGACTGTAATGCTGATGGCGTAACCTCTTATCGTCATGTAGGTTCATCTCGGTCGTGTTGATGGTCTTTGCCATCATCGGACAAGTCAACCCGACTTCGGTAAGCCAGCACCCGGTCCATTCAGCCAACAAATTCAGCCCCGCTCACTTTCATAGTTCAATCATACCACAGCTCCCCAAATCCATTTACATGGTCAAGCTCGATGTCGCCGCCTACGGTGCCGGTCTGCAAAACGCCATGAAATCCGCACCTAACGGTCTCTACATGACCAACGGTTCCGCCCCCCTGGGAAAGAACACCGGTCTTCGTCAGGAATACCGATGGGGTGTCCTCAACTCGTGTGGATACGCCAAGGAGGGTGGAGTCTGTAACTCGACCAGGTTCCCCGTCGAGTTCCAGCCGTTGGAGACCATCTTGAGTGATACGCCTATGAAGTTCTTCATTCAGTAAGTCGATGTCGAGGGGGATCTGTGATCGAGGCAAGAAGACCTTTGTGCTGACATCGTCTGATGCGACTAGGACCAACGACATCATCCCCGACGAGGCCGACAAGTTCCGAAGCGAGAGCTTCAACGGCAACTTGTCCAAGGTTGGGTCCGTCCTCATGGTTGTGAGTCGCTATCCCGCATGTTGATAAAGCTGTATTCGATCCCCCAAGCTGACCGCCTTGTGTTTTCACTTGTCCAGGTCGGAGGCGCTGCCGCTCTCCTGGCGTTGATCTTTGGTGTCATCCCCAACCGGTTGACTTTTGCCGTCTCGACCGTCATGTCGATCATTGCCACTTTGACCTTGCTGATGTGAGCCGAATCGCACAAGAATCTTTGACAAATGCTAGTGTCACCAGACTGACTCCGTTCCTTCGACTTGCAGTGGAGCCGCCATTTGGACTGCTATCATCAAGCAGGACGAATTCATCAACAAGGTTCAGGTCGAGGGAAAGAAGCCTCTCGGGATCATCGTCTCGTCCGGTCCTGCCCTTTGTAAGCATCCGCCCCGTCATCTACCGCTTCCGGTATTCACACTCATGAGCTGATCGCATGTTATCACTGTTGGACAGACTTGACCTGGGTCGCCTTTGCCTTCTCCTTGCTCTCGGTCGCACCCTACCTGATCTCGTGCTGCACTTACCGAAAGTGAGCGGGCTCGGCCCGAGTCTCTCGACGACTGTAACGGCAAAATACGGAGAGTTGTGCTACCTGGTGGCGCTGGCAGCTGCCAGGTCACATTGCACTCCACCTTCCCCTAACTCCTCATACCCTTCTCCTCGTCCACCGTTCTGGTCCTATTGCTCTTCTCAGGTTGGCCGATTCTATATCTATACTTTCACTCACAAAGAACGTTCTCTCCTTTGTTCCGGCCATACGGTACCGTCTCACCCTCGTTATGTAAATCGTCTCTTCGTCTTGTCTTGTAAATATGTATACGATACTCTCATGCCGCTGCCGGCTGAAAGGAATTCCCTTAGACTGAAATCATTCGAGCGGGAAACAATGTCGGTCTGCATATCTGCGCATGAAATAAGCTGGACCAGCCAGCTATATATGCTACTACATCGACCTTGAGCCAACGACAGGAAGGGAGTGACACGCCAAACAGAGAACCGCTTAGGCCTTGCCAAGGTAGAGGTTGCCCAACGCGTTGGGAGTCCCGTCAGTCTTCATGATACCGTTGGCATTTCCCCTACAAAGGAACAGAATAGCATGAGCGACCTCTATGGAATGAAGGGAGGTACGTGTTGAAACTTACCCAGACGCCATGTTGGGAAACGCGCCGAACCAGGAATACCTCTCGACATTGTTCGCTGGATCGTCCATGTCGCTCATGACCTGCTTCATGAACGCCGTGGTTTCGGCTTCATTGCAGAAGTAGGTGGTGGCGCCGTATTCTACACAGCCAATCTGGAATGCAGAACGCTGAATGCTTTAGATGACATGTGCGGATTGACATAGCTACCGTTGCAAGCGCTTACTTCGGTCACCCAGAGCGGCTTGCCAAAGGCGGCCATCTCTTTCTGTAGGCGCGATATCGATCAGCGGATCATTCAGCTAGACAGGCTGTTGCAAATTTGGCTTACCAAGTAGGGAGCAAACGCAGAAGCGTCCTTGCCTAAATCGTGGGCAATGCAGAGTTCAGCGCGGTGTTCGTGCTATCATCGCCTCTCAAAGCCGACTAACCATAGAAGTGAATGGGGACAAAGTCGTAAGCGCATCCACCGGCGCATGCAGCCTCCCAGTCCTGTGGCGTAGGCATCAGCGGCCTGCCGCAGCTCTGCACTCGAAACAGCGATCACTCACGCTGAGCCATTGTTTGCCTCCCCGAGCTACGGCAGGGGTACCGATCTTGTACTTGCTAGCGACCTCGGCCGTGAAGACCTCTTTGTGAATCCTAGCTCCATCGGCAGCACCCAGGGCTGATCCTCCGGATGAACCACGAGGAATGTCGGGCTCGTTGAAGCTCAATATATGAGAGACACCCCATGAGTCAAAGTTGGGGAGGTCCCCGTTGAATTTGGTAACCTTGTCCGCTCCCCTGTCAGAATACGAGACGCGGTGTTAGCAGCTCGATCCCACTCCGAGGATAGAGCGCACTCACCAAAGTTGCGCAACGTATTCAATGGAAGCGGGCAAGCCGGCAGGGGGTGAACAGTCCCAGTTGGAAAGCCTTTGTGACGTTTTGACATGTCAGAGTACATATATATCAGCGATCGGTCACGGAAACTTGTCATGTGGTCAAAGTGATACCTACCAGCTAATCGCACCTCCCGTCCAGGCATTCCAAGCGCTCCCAGACGATTCGTTGACGACCAAGCCGCGCTTGCCAGAGGAAGGCGATCCGCCGGAAGGAGCCGGAACGACAGGAGCTGGTGCTACATCAGAAGTCGGAGCGGGAGCCGGGACCGATGCTTTGCTGGAGGAGGGGACCGGAACAGCCGCTGTAGGAGCAGGCGCTTGCTGGGAGGTGACAAGATCCGAGGGATCGACGATCGGTCCGCTGCCAGGGTTGTCCCAGATAGTCGAAGCGGGCTCTTGAGCCGTAGTGACCGGAGCCGGGGCGGGTTGCACAGCAGGAGCGGTTGGAGCAGGAGCAGCTCCAGACTGAGGTGCAGACTGCCAAGGTCGACTACCGCTGTGGTTACCCCGTCCACCACCAGGACGGAAAGCCATGTTGGCCGGTGCAGAGGCAGCAGCGGTCTGTGCATCGAGATTGTAAGCGCATCAGGTCAGCTCGGGACGCAATCAAGGTCGATTTCAGAGGACTAGACTTGCCTCGACAGGGAGAGACACCTCAGCACCGTCGGTGATGGGAATCAGCACAATACCAGAAGAGGACTCGCCCTGAGCTGCTTCCTGTTGCGAAATAGTAGTAGGACCGGCTTCCTGCTCCGAAGTAGTCGTAGGAGCCGCTTCTTGGGTCGAAGTCGCCGCGATAGTAGTCTCCCCAAGGTCATCGACTATACTAGAGGAAATCTCAAGAGGGGCCTCGTTTTCGCTTCCAGAAGGACCCAGAAGGCTTCCAGGTGCTTCCGAAGTGACGGACGGTGGCGATGAAGGTGCCTCGGGAGCGCCAGAAGGCATAACGGCACCGCCCGAAGCAGTAGGTCGGCCGGCCCAGGAGGCTTGTCCAGCCTGACCGTTGGCCGTCGAATCATCATCCTTTCCGCTTTCAGAACCAAAGGAACCCCACCGGTGGCGACCCCAACTTCCCTCGCGGTCAGCTGCTTCAGAGTCCTGTGCAAGTAAGGAAGAGACCAAGGTCTAAATTGACGTCTAAAATTGCTCAACATCGCTACTTACCTGACCACCGACGGCATGACGATTCATTGCGTTACGAGAACATTCGGCACGCTTCCCCTGATTTTTGACGGGTCGAGCATTGGTTGCCAATGCGGCGAGAAGACCGAACAAGGCGATCTTGCGGATGGAAGGCATTGTGTGAGAGATATACGGGTCTTGCGGACGTTAAGAAGAGGTTCAGGCTAGCTGATGTGGACTGTGTTAAGTGAAGGAGTGTATCGGAGCTGTTTGTTCGCGTCTAGCGAGTTGGAAGAGGAGGGAAATAGATGTTGTTGTTGTAAGACCCGACGGACATCGAGAAGGGTAATCTTTCATATTCTTGAATCGATCTCGCCTCTTATACCACTTTCTAGATGAGCTCCACTCAGAACTCAGGACCCCCCCTTTTGCTTTTTTCTGCCAAACCTAATCAGCCGTCGCCTTGTTGTCGATGTTGTGATGCCCAAAGCTGTTCGGGGAACGACGAAACGCGAAAAGGAGTCGCGTTTCAATCTGAACCCCTTGATCGGTATCGCCGAGCCCCGTCCGAAATCAAGTGAAACGTGATCTCGCCTCGTTGTCGCGCGCGTTTCAGCGGATCGAACGGTCTGACCCCCAATATTACAGCCTGATTTGCGTACGGACTCGGTGGCAAAAGGGTCTGTCGCTGTTTCATACGTTGTGCAATTCATCTGCACAGTCGCGCCCAAAGTTACAGACGACAAAGATTTACTCGCTATCCGTTCTATCTGGGTCGCTATCCAAGTCAATCTTTCGCGGCCTGGCACGAGTCGTGATACCGGGCGAAGTAGACCATGAGAGTCGTCTCAGTACCGGGGTCGATGACTTCCTTTGGAATCCCCTTTCTTCCGTTGTATCGGCAGCGGGCACATCCTTTGAGTGTATAGCCTCTTTTGCATTGTGCGTCTGGCTTGCCGGATCGTGTTGGAGTACAAGACCGGTAAATGATTCATCGGCGTCATTGGCACGGATGCCGGATCGATCTGAGTCGTTATTTTCGTAATTCATCAAGCTGTGATCGTCGTTATCGTGTTCTTCGTGTTCATTGTCGTCATCGTCATCATCATCGTCAGCGCCGATGCTAGCTTTACGTCGCAGTTGGGCGCGATCCGCATTTTCGTCGTCCGAAGAGGTTTCAATGACCTCGAGCGACTTGAAGGCACGCTTTTTTGCATCCTTGTCTGATCGTTTCGTGTGTCGTACGTCGCCAGCCCTGTGATCAGGTATGTTGTGCCGTCTCGCGATTCGCCACGTGCGCCGTCTTCGATCTTTCAGTAGCGCAATCCGCTCTGTCATCATTCGGAAAGAGAAGATTGCGTCAGCCTAACAACCCGAGAATAGAGCCACAAACCAAGATGTCGACCTACCCCTTTCTAGCTGAGCAATCTCGACCGCTCGGGTATGATCGAACGATTGCTCTTCCTGTAGATCTTCCTCCTGCCCTTCGAAATCCTCCCCATCTATCTCCATATCAGACTTCACATCCCTTGTACTCAAACCTTCCTCGTCGCCCTTGTCCTTGGAATCGGTTCCGCCAACCTTGCCCTTCCGCGTCTTCCCTCTCATATCTACCAGAGTCCCCTCATCTACCTTCCAGTTTCTCCTCAGCCGAGCGATATACGCCATATCCGCCTCGTAAACAGTCCAATCGAATCGTTCCCCAAAGCTGGCCACCTCGCCTGCTCCATGCGCATCGGTGTTATACCGAGCGTTGAGATGGTCCTCGTGCTCCTGATCTCTCAGGGTGTCTAGACGGTCTTGCAGGTCCTCAACCTTTTGGACCAATTCATCATCTGCCTCATCCTCATCACCAGTCTCTATTCCCAAATTATCTTCACCGTCGATCGTTCTAGACCCGTTAGGCAGGATGACTTGGCCGTACGAAGGGTCGATGATACCGCGGGCCACATTGGGAACGACATCCTCGGCCCATCTCACCTCGCCTTCCACACCATCCCGTCTAGGCAAGGTGGGCAACATGTGTCTCACAGGGAACGGTTCGAGGTGTCTAGACTTGTTCTCCTTGTCGGGGATTATGCTCCTCAGACCGATCTGTTCCATGGCGGTGTATACCACCTGGGCGTTGACGCCGAGCCGAAGATCATCGTCTATCCCTGGACGAGCAGCGGCATAGCCCTCGCCGACGTATATAACGCGCAGAAGGAGTCGTCGCAGAAACACGTCCACACGAGCGTGAAGCAGTTCAAGTAGGGGCGCAGAGACGGATTCGACCGTACTACTCTCCCGGTTCCGCACTCTCGGCAACAGACTCTTGAGGTTGAAGAGGTCAAGTTTCTTTTCCTTCACCGTCGCTGTGGCTTGTTCGAGCACTTCCAGCGATAGACTCTCAGCCCGCTTGTTCCTCTCTCCCAATCGTTTTACACCATACGCATCAATCCTCTCGGCCTGCTTACGCCTGGCGTCCCGTTGCTCGCTCGCGGTCTTCCGAATGTCCTCGTACAGCTGGGACAAGAGCGGTCGCGCCTGTTCCCGAGTGAATAGGTAGTCCCGCGGCTTGATCTTGGGTTTGCCCTCGGCTTCCGTCTCGCCTTGCGGTGTAACAGCGGGGTCAGGATTGACTAGAGACTCTTCTTGTTGCGCAGAGGGTTCATTAGCCATAGGTGGATTCGGCTTCGACTTTTTGTTTGCGGGACCTTCGCCCTCTTCCGATTTGACCTTGGCTTTGCGTTGTCGTCGTTTCCGCTTTTTCCCTTGTGACGGCGGTCCTTGCTCGACTGAGACGATCCGATCCGCCTCTTGCTCGACGCTCGATTCGCCCCCGGGTGTCAAGTTCGCAATGGTCTGACCATCCACGACACCAGCCGATTCTGTCTCCTCCACTCTTGCAGGAGCCTCCAACCCCTTGACCCATTCGTCAAACAATCTCAACTCCTTCTTTCTGGCCTGGACCTTCTTTCGCAAGCCTGAAGCCTCCGCTAACTCGTGTACGGTCCACAGTTCACGCTCCACCCGGTTCAATGAATCTAGCCGGGCTGCGTCCGCCTTCCAGACCTCTTGCAACGCGCGAAATGTCTCGATCGAGATGTTCCCTTCTAAATCGACCAGGTCAGACCTGTCCAGCTGCTCGAAGGAACCTCGCTCGTCTTGCTCGATTTGAGGGTGGAGGAGCGCACTGGATAGATGTTCCAGCCGACGACCCGTCAAAGTGTCCAGGAAACCCCTGATGTCCTCGTCCAGCTCGTGCCTCAATACCTCTTGCCCGAGCTCGAGCCTGTCCTGGTAGTCATGCTTTCGAAAGACCGTCTTCGTGAACATCGAACCCTGCCCCTTGATCTCTTTGTAAGTGGGGAGTTTCCTCAACTTGCGCGTCTGGCGATCAAACTCGGCTCGTCGTGCCTCTTCCCGACGTTCGGCAGCTCGACTGGATTCCGCCTGAATTAACCCCTTGGCGAGGTCTTCTTCCCTCTCGATCCAGCCTTCCGATACTTCCCTGACACAGGGAGCGAAGCCTTCCTTCCAGATCGAATTCTCCTCAGTGCCTCGATCGGGACGTTTGGCCCGTTCGATCTCGCTCAGCAGGCGAAGCGAGTCGATCAACCATCCGATCTCTGATTCGGATTTAGATCCTCCTAGGTCTTGGCTGATGAGGTCTGGCCGCCACCTCGATCTCCTGGCGAGACTTCCGAAGAAGGTCTGCGTCTCCTGGTCGGACCATAACACGCCTGTCGGGGGGACGTGAGGGGAGTCCGGTCGCAAGTGATGAAGGGTCCCGAACGGATGGGCGGTGGAGAATGCGCCCTCGGTCGTGGCTCCAGAGCGATATTGAGCGAGGTAGTCGACGTGCAGCGAGTAATCTCGAGAGTATCGTTCGAGTTGCAAGCCGGTGGGTACCAGGCTGGCCTCAGATCGGAAAGGTTGGAACGGTCGTCGTGGTGTATGGTCATGATCGTCGTGAGGAGAAATTTCGTTTAGTTCAGAGATAGCCGGGCTTTGACTCGGCGATCGTCGCCGCTGTGCATCTCGGACGGAGACCACATTCGGTCTAGATGGTTCGTCCGAGTCCGACTCGGACTGCATGGCTATTCGCTGAGACGGGATTGAGGTGGGGCGAATCGAGGGGAGGTGGATAATGCTTCAACACACCCTCGACAACTTTGAGCTAGGTGATTGACTGATGCGCTTCTATTTGGCGCACGCGCGCTACGAGAGTTGACGATGACGCGAGCAAACGCTTGTCAATCGATTCAGAGCAGCAGTCGATATTGATGTGTCGGGTTGATGTGCGTGTGTCCGGGTCATACCCCCTTTCAACCATCACATATACCACACCTAGCAGTTAGACAGCGCAAACATGGCTTCTAGATCATCTTACGATCGGTACGCCGTTGCCCGGAAAGCTATCGCTCTTGCCCGTCACGCCGGAGTTGACCCATACCGCTTCTTACAGTTACTTGACCGTCTTCTCGCCAGAAGGAAGGGTGAGCTCCCTTTTCCACCGCCTCGACCTAATACACACAACGGACGCTAATCATACGGCTGCCTGGCTTAATCTTGTATTTCTTCCACTTTCGCAGCTATATCAAGTAGAATATGCCTTCAAGGCCATCTCCGGTTCTGGGATCACGGCCATCGCCGTCAGGGGTAAAGACACGTCGGTCATCATCACCCAACGCAAAGTTCCCGTAAGTTGTCGAGCACCGATGATCACGTCGATGAAGGAGTGGTGGACTGACCAGTGTCTTACTCCGGTATGGTTCGACTTGACAGGACAAGCTGCTCGATCCGGAGACTGTCACCCACTTGTTCCAGATCACTCCGTCTATCGGATGTGTGATGACCGGAATGATCGGTACGTACAGCACGTCTCGCTGCGTCCTTTAATACAATCACACTGAATGAATGGCTGACCCGGTCAATGAAACCTTGTTGAACATGATAGCGGACGCCAGGGCGCAGGTACAGAGGACGAGGGCCGAGGCAGCTGAGTTTAGGTACAAGTTTGGGTACGAGATTACCCCGGACGGACGTGAGTCGCTTTGCTTTATATTAGTCATCTATAATACATTTACATGGAGAGCTGATCGTGGCGATGTTGCTGGGGCATCATGGATCAGTCGCCAAGCGGATGGCGAACATCAACCAGGTCTACACTCAGCGAGCCGGGATGCGTCCACAGGGAATCGGTGCGTCACGACACTTGCAACCGAATCGTCCTCCTCGCTCACTGAGCTGACATGTCGGTGGCTATGATTTCGCAGCCATGATCTTGATCGGGATCGACGCCGAGCTTGGACCCCAGATCTTCAAGCTTGACCCGGCCGGATATTACGTCGGGTTCAAGGCGACAGCAGCAGGGCAGAAGCAGACTGAGAGCATCAACTTTGTGAGTCGCCCTGGATCCCTTTCACCATCCTTTGCCGTCCATTACCGTCGTATCACACAGCATCTCTTTCCGAAGAAGCTGACCCAAATCACCTCGTATCGAACGTCTCAGTTGGAAAAACGGTGGAAACAGCAACCCGCCAACGCTCAGCTCGACCGCTCGGCCGTCATCGAACTCGCGATCGAAGCCCTCTCTTCTGTCTGTGCGACCGACTTCAAGGCGGGAGAGATCGAGATTGGGATCTGCAGTACGGCCGAGGAGGAGCCTGTTCCCGAGGGGATCAAGGTCGGAGAAGGCCTGTTTAGGCAGATGGGCGAGGAGGAGAGGGGCGAATGGTTGGTCCGTGTCGGTGAGAAGGACTAAGTGGGTCGTTGGTGTGGCTGTAACGATAAGATTACCCGCGACGCAGGGTGATTGTAATACGAAATAGAACCGTTCTGTTCCTGTCCGTCGATGGTTACTACCTCATGCATATCCAGACCTTCTTTACGAGAGCAGCAATAGGCGGAAAAATTCTGACCGTGTGGGTGAACATGAACCGTATACCAGGTTGACCAGAGTCATGCACGAAGGATAGATCGATTCATGAATGTAATTCGAACAGTAATATATTTCGATATTTGATTCATACAAGAACGCTCGTACAGCATCTTTGCTGGTGTATTGGTAACATTGGCGCTTGTCATGATATCAACTATCAACACTACTCGCGCCCGCGCTGGGTTCGATTCCCAGGCAGAGAGCTTTCTTTTTACCTTTTTGACCCTTCACATGCAGTCAGCAGGCCTCACCGGAAGGGTCCAGTCCGGGAAGGATCATCAATGGATCTGACACACGCCATGGAGGAATCGTGTGAATAGAGATTTGCAGGGTTGTAGACTCGTTGGTAATAGGTAATGCACCACAGGCCACAGGCCACAGGTCAAGCAATCTTTCTGTAATTGTGTCCCACCATGCGCGTCGCGATTCACGCAGTCCCGGCCTGCGAACTAGCGCTTCTTTCCGGAAGCAATTTCTGGTTGAACCCTTTCTGATGAGTCGCAAGGCCAACTCCGATGAAGAGCTGATCAAGCTAGCGACTCTGACGTTGATATTCAACTCAACGACGCAATAGCAATACAGACCATATACAGCGACTCATCAGCGCATATCACTCAATCGGGCCAGTTCGTCAGTTTTCGAGAACAGCAGGCTGTAAACATGGGTTCGGCACCGGGAGAAGGAGATTACGAGACGATCGAGGGTGAACAGAAGAAGCGAGTGGTACGTCTCTCAGAGTCAACGTGATCCTTTCCTCTCTTGCGAATTGTAGACTACCATGAGGTCATGATGACACGGTTGCTCTCAAGTCTCGGATGGGTGGAAAGGTGGTGCGGACACTCAAGATCAGCTCGTGTGATTGACAATCGATGCCTTGTCGCTCAGTGCTACTTTTTCGACTCGGACATCGGCAACTACCATTATGGACCAGGTAAGTCTCGTCCGGTCTCGTTGCTTTCACTTGACTTCTCCCGCTGAATTTTTGCACGTAACTGTCCGTTCTCTCGTTGACAAATCCAGTCCATCCCATGAAACCTACGCGGATAAGGATGACCCACTCGTTGGTCATGAACTACGGCTTGTACAAGAAGATGGAAATCTTCGTAAGCCCCAATCTCCCTGCTGTCATCTACGCTTGTACTGTTTGTTCTGACTAAGTGGTGTTGCACACTTATGATATATACACTCCCTCCGACAGCGAGCAAAACCGGCGACCAAGAGGGAGATGTCTCAGTTCCACACGGATGAATACGTCGACTTCCTGTACCGCATCAACCCGGAGAACGCCAACGGCTACGCTCGAGAACAACAAAAATGTCAGTACTTGGGCTTGAGATCCGTATTGGCCATGAGGTAGTTCAAGCTACTGATCGAGATTGTCTAATATCCTTGTATAACAGACAATGTGGGAGATGACTGTCCGATCTTTGATGGATTATTCGAATACTGTTCCATCTCTGCAGGCGGTTCCATGGGTAAGAACCTTTTCTTAACCGGAACTATACCGACTTTTTGCTTTATGAAGGCTGATGTGATATCTTTGCTTTCATCACGTAGAGGGAGCTGCTAGGTTGTCAAGGGACAAGTGCGATATCGCCGTCAATTGGGCCGGAGGATTGCATCACGCGAAGAAGGCTGAAGCGAGCGGGTTCTGCTACGTCAACGGTCAGTGTTCTCGATTTGATCTTGGTAGATGCCTGGATGCCAATACCTAAGGTGTAATCTCCTCCTTGAAACAGATATTGTGTTGGGAATCCTGGAATTGCTGAGATACCACCAGCGGGTCATGTACATCGACATCGACGTTCATCACGGAGATGGCGTCGAAGAGGCCTTCTATACCACTGATCGGGTGATGACCCTGAGTTTCCACAAATACGGTATGTCCGATCTTTGTAGCTGGTGCAACGTGAAGACGATCTTGCCTGGGAATTAACGATCTTGAAACGCACTTCAGGTGAATTCTTTCCCGGTACTGGGGAGTTGAGGGATATTGGAATCGGAAAGGGGAAATAGTGAGCCAGATTTGCGTGATTTTGTTGCATACAAGGTGTTTATTCTTGTTTATTTCCCCCCTCCAGCTACGCGCTGAATGTCCCTTTGAGGGATGGTATCACGGATGATGGTTACAGGGAGATTTTCGAATCGGTAGGTGGCTCGCAAAACCGTTTGATAGCGAGTCTATAAGCTTACAAGCAGTGCCTATTCAGACCGTCGGGCGGTCGGTCGAGTGGTACAAGCCCACAGCGATCGTGTTGCAGTGTGGCGCCGATTCCCTAGCAGGAGACAAGCTCGGGTACTTCAACCTGTCACTCAAAGGTAAATTCAGGTTTTGGAACTGCTTGAACCGCACGCTTGCTAAAGCAGACTGCGCGCTTGTATCCGAACAGGACACGCCGACTGCGTGCAGTTTGTGAAGAAGTTCAACCTGCCCCTGTTACTTCTGGGTGGAGGAGGATACACCCTTCGCGCGACATCGCGAGCGTGGGCATATGAGACTGGTCTCGCTGCGGGTGTAAAGCTCTGCCGTCGGATCCCAGCCAACGAGTACTTCGAACATTACGGACCCGATTATGAGCTGGATGTGAGGAGCTCGAACATGGAGGACTTGAACACGCCCGAATATCTCGCCAAGATCCAGCGAGCGATTTACGAAAACTTAAGGGAGAAGGAGTCGGCGCCCGGGATTCAGATGCAGAGTGAGCCTTGCAAGACAAGACCTTGAGGGATGCGTTCCTGACAATTTGGACTGGCTCCATCAATAGGTGTACCTAAGCTCGACCACGACGACGATGACGGTCGTGAAGACGAGGATATGGAGGATCCCGATATCCGTATCAACAGTCAGTGTTCCGGATTCTCAAACCGTTCCCTCCTTTCCAAGCTCAAGTCTCTTCCTCATAACAGTTCGACAGAAGGATGCGCGGATACAGCGGGATGGGGAATTATCCGATTCTGACGACGAGGGAATGGGCGGCCGCAGGCACCGTCAGAATCACGGCGAGTCGAACGAGAAACCCAGCAGTCGGCGTAAGGGTAAATCACCCGAGAAGGGAGACACGAACGGCGGTGCCGTGTCACCAAAGATGGACAAGAAGAAGCGCGTCAATGGCGAAAAGGTTGGCAATGGTACACCTGGGTTGGACTCAGAGGCGCCTCCCGCGCCCAAAGGTACCGTTGTCAGCACAGGCGCGATCATCGCGACAGGGGAACTAGAAGACGGGGAGGTTGAAGAGGACACAGAGATGAAGGCGACCGGTACCGATACACCGACAAATCAGAGCGCCGACGTCGACATGGATGCTGTGAACAGCGAGATCGAGAATGAAAAGGCGACCGGACAGATCAACAAGGTCGGCATGGAGGCGAAGGGTGCGGACGAGAGTGGCGCCATTCCTCCAGCACCGACGGCAGGATAGACATCAGGCTTGTACAGATGTTTCGACATTATACGTCTACGTTCAGAGTTGTAGCCTACTAGGAATAATTGTCATCCCCAACCGACGCTCGCCATCGCATTGAGCAAGTCAATGGTGCTAACGGCTAATGAGAGTGAATGGCGAGATGCAAGTCGCAATGATGCTCTCACAAGATCACAACTAGCAACTAGCTTGTTCGGTTTGAATTGACATGACCTATCGAGTCGGGATATCGTATACAACTCGTGGCGAAAATCGTGAAAAAGTAACGGTCGTTAGGCGGGTCCTAGAGTAGGTTACGCGCTGTAGTTGCTCAATCCTCGGATGTAGCGATCCACAGCGGTCCGGAACTAGTAAATGCGGAAAGTGTATTGGTTAACATTCAGTGAGTGAGATGATCTTATATCCGAGCCTCAGACGCAGCTCACTCTATCGTTATCGATCCCCTTGCCCCGTATCTTGCCCTTTTGCGCTTCAACACCCCAAGATTCGTCTAGCCCACCACCTCGCACGCCGACGAGGTCGTTGCGCACAACAAAGTCCAGGAAAGGACCCGAGTAGATCGATTTGAGCACGAACTGCATGTTATCCGCCAAGGGGTCGCTGAGGAGGATGAACTTGTATCCGGAGAGAGTCTCGAAGAAGTGGAATTTGTACGCTGATGTTCGGTAGGATTGGAATAGTTCGTTTCTGCAGACGAAGATCGTATCATGTGTCATATAAGAAGGTATACTTAGATGAGGACCGCAGCTTCGATTTGACTCACTTTCCCGATAGCTTCTTGACCATGTTTCTCAAACTCAACAACACTCCATAGACCAATTTACACTCTTCATCGAAAGCCAACCCCGCGTTCTTGCCCGCCTCTCCGATTCCCAGCACGTCAGCCCTCTGCATCACTGCATGATGAGCCAAGAGACCCTGGATAGGCTGTCCGTTCTCGTCCGTTCGAGGGAGGTTGTTTGGGTCCACGGGTTGTTGCCTAGCTAGTACAGCCGGGTCGAAACGAGCCACATTGGGTTTTAGCAGTGCGGGGACGGGGGGTCGGACAGGTTTCGACCGGTTCCAGTCTTGATAGTAGACGCATTCGGTATGTCTACCACGATTTCAAAGAGGGTCAGGAAACATCCGCCTGTCTTGATAATAGGCGACTACATACCGATCAAAGATGTAGAGTGAGAAGATGGTCATCTTCTAGCGTCTAGTCATGTCCCAGGCCGAGATTGGTGCTAACTCCGTATTTGACTCTTTCGATCTGACTTGGAAAAGTGACGTACTCTTTCCTAGATCCTATCTCCTAAGCTCTTGTGTTGTCGGGTCGTAAAGATTAGGAGATTGACAGATCCTTGTAAAGTCCATATCTTGAGTACAGCTCGTACGTTCCCCCTTTGACCTCGGCGATCTCCCTGCGCGCGCGACTTGATGCCGGCATCGATCATCGACTTCGGAAATTGTTGAAGTACAAAAGTTCAAAATGCAGTGCATCCCGACATTGTCGTCTTTCGAAGATATCCCCATAGGATCAACAACCAAACCACTTGCCCTCTTCACTAGACATTCAAAGTTCGTCAATCTTGTTCTTCTGACCATCTCGCAATGTCAGCTGTAGCAGCGAGAAAAGCGGCTCTGGCAGCCAAACTAGCCGCAGAGAGCGCCAACCCTTCACCCGTATCCACCCCGGTCGCGACACCCACACCGGTCGCTATACCAGAGCCGATCGTCCAGGATATAGTCATCGAATCTCCTCAGGCTTCATCTTCCAGAGCGACTACTCCCAACAAGAAGGGTGGCAAGAAGAGTACGCCTCGTCGGGCCGGTCGGGAAGCGGGAAAGAGAGAGGTTGAGAAACAGGTTGAACAGCGGTACTACCAGGAATCGACAGCCGAGAAGCGAAAGAAGGGAGACAAGAGGATCAACCGGGTATATGAAGAACATGCGGATGAGAGCAGTTCGCCGGTAGCCGTTGCTTCGATTGAGCAGGACGACGGCTCGAGGTCGCAGAGCGAGGATGACGAGGAGATGGATTTCTCCGCCTTGGAGTTGCTACAAACGATTACCAATGGCAGGCCCAAGAAGAAACGACGGATATCCAGGTCAGTCTGAATGTCCGGCTGCTTTCTGTTGCGGGATCACGGAGCTGAGAGTTATGTATCATGTTATAGCGATGAGCCGAAAACGCACTCAAATTTCGAGATACAGCAAGGCCGCAATATCTGTCGGATATCAGCTGACAAGCTGTCCGGCTTCGGTTCGGTGGCACAGTATGGCAACGCAGTGTGCATAAGTATGTGCCAGGACGAGGTGAGTACCAGTGGCATTCCGTTTCGCCATACCGCACTGAGTCGCTAATTGTTTCCTCCCCAGTTCATAACCTTTTCTGGTATGGCCTTGATAACACCTCTGCGAGATTCGCTCTCGCTCTATTCCTCTATCATTCATCCCGCTGTAGGGTCCCGAGACATCAAACCTCTCAGGTTGTTCGCCCCTTTGACGAGCCCCTTGCCTGTCATCCGGCCGCAGATCAGCGGACGAATACGTGCTTCTTGCCCTCTTCTCGCCGCGTTAGACCTACCCAAGGAGATGCTCGGTGCCGGGAGGACCGTCTTCTTGATGCAAGAGTTGAATTGTGGGTTAGAGAGACTTGGTCAAGCTGTCATGACTTTGGGAAAAGTCTGGCCCGAAGTCGGATCTCGAGGCGCTTTCGGCTTGAGAGGGGCATTCCCGGTAAGTCTGGGTCAAAGCCACCAAGCGACAGGTTAGTGGAGTACCGATGGTCAATTCTTACGAGTTTGAGTTTTTCAGCTACTGCACACTCCCGAACACGCCGTTTACCCACACGTCACCCCTGAGTCGTGGTTCTTGGCCTTGCAAACCCTCTCTGGGGAAGATGCCGAGAGCCCAGACGAAACAGACGGCGACCGCTGTGACGCGGACGACGAGGCGTTCGACAGGTCCGCACCGTTGGTAGCCATCGTGAAAGGACCGAAACGTAGCGGAAAGAGTACTTTTGCTAGGGAAGCTCTGAACCGGCTCTTGAACCGTTATGAAAGCGTCGCCTATCTCGATTGCGATTTGGGTCAGAGCGAGTTTGGGCCTGGTGGAACGGTCGGGCTTTATATCGTCGATAGGCCTCTCCTAGGTTCGTCATGTAGTCAAAGAAGATTTAGGCACAAATACTAATCTCGGCGGTTTTCGACAGGCCCATCCTATACGCACCCCCTGCAACCTGTCCGATCGCATTTCGTAGGATCGCTGAATCCCAGGCTCGAATCGGCTCATTATATCGAGAGTATCGCGTCGCTACTCGAACATTATCGATACGAACTGCAATACCCGCTCGACCGAGTACACGACGTTAATGCCGACAGGATCACCGAGGTTGTGCCCCTCGTCATCAACACGCAAGGATGGGTCAAAGGCCTTGGAGCGGACCTGCTTGACCAGATCGAGGCGATGGTCCAGGCGACGCACACCCTGGCCTTCGACGCGAATGGCTTTGACAACGGTGAAGGCGACGAGTCGCGGCCGTTCACCGGAGAGGATTATGAAGTTGGATCTGAGCGCACGCTTGGAGGTGGTTTCGGCCGGATCGTCCAGCTCGAAGCTGCGCCGACATCGGGCTTGTTTTCACGGTTCTCACCGGCTGATACGAGAACGCTGTCAACCATCGCCTACCTGCACGCTCGGTTTACGGCCCAAGATGAGGTCGTCTGGGACTTTTCCGAGGCATTGGTCGGTATGCTACCATGGGAAGTCGACGTGGATCAAGTCATCAAGGAGGTATACCTATCCGGCGAGGGTTCCGATGGCGTCGTTGCGGACGATCTCGGCACAGCCTTGAACGGGAGCATAGTCGGCTTGATCGAACGTACAGGCGAGCCGGTGGATACTCTGCAACGATATGTCCCGGGGCGGGCCTTGCCATCGTCCACAGAGACCCATTGCATCGGATTAGGGCTCGTCCGGGCGGCGTCGCCCGACAACACCATGATCCAACTCCTCACGCCGGTACCTTCCGCCCGATTTGCACGAATCAGCACGATCGTCAAGGGAGACCTCGAGTTGCCGCTATGTGGGAGCTTGGACTGGAAATCTAGTACAATGACCGAAGAGGGTTTGCTGGGCGTACCTTGGGACGAGGTACCGTTCTTGACCGTCAAGCCCGAGCGCGGGGTAGGCATGGGCAAGCGCAAGTTTAGGCGAAACATCATGAGGAAGAACCAGGCTGTATGATCATATGGGTTCGACTTGTATAAGCAGAAGATATATACAACGTGATGAATAAGCTCAATTCGATGCGATGTGGTATGGTGTGCAGAGCGATGTCTGTCAATGCTAAGATGATTTTGGTTGGGCCGGGAGCGTGCGACTATATGCCGTCGGCGGAAGGGTCTTCTAGCTGCGCCAGTTCTTCGGCGATTCGGTAATAGTTCTGGGAAAATGTAACGGTACTATCGTCAGTATGCGCTCGACCTCGCAGACCAACATGATCGATGACGACCTACCAAGTATTCGTCCGAAGACATCCTCTCCTGATCTTCCTCTGTCACGTCGCCGTACCGCATATCCTGTTCGCCCACTAGCAAACCGTCGAATCATGAGCAAGAGACTGACAACAAGCGAATATCGTTTCGTAGCTCACCTTTGACGATGGTACTCTTCAAAGCCTCGACTTCCTCTGCCCTGTTGACATTGGTGTCCACGGCCTCCATCTCGTCGTCCCCATCACCATCGTCCTGACCCGCACTCGCTCCGGGTGATGGTGCGCGGCTCGAACCAGGTTCGTCCTTGACGTCCGAGCTGGCGGCGGTGGTAGTAGCGGCCTTGTCTCTTCCTTCTGCCAAGAGTCGGGCATAGTGTGCATCCAATTCTGCGAAAACCGACAGAGCAAGCTTGAACAAGATGCTTGTAGAGCCACAAAAGAACGCTGCTCGACTCACCAGCATCCGTCGTATCCACCTTGACATCCTCTTGCCCCAAAAGCGATCTCGCCTCTCGTTCCGCCCTGACCTGTTGCAGCTTGTCGTGCTTGACACCCAACTCGGTCTGTTGACCCGTCACCGTCGACTGTACCGCCCATGCCGGCAACACCTGTTTGTTTCTACGAAAGGACGCCGAATTGTTCAAGCACTACGCTCCCACCCTGAACCCGGAAGCTAGCCACGGTTAACTCACTGCTCGATCTCGATCTTTCTCGCGATCTCGGCGTCGATCTTGGCCTGTTTCTCCTCTGGCGTGAGATCCGGTCCGTTTCTATCCCTTCGTTTCTCCCAAGGCACGTAGACCCGTCGATCCTTGGCGTCACGTTCGACGATGATCGTCTCGGGTACGTGGTTCAGTAACCATCCGATCGGTTCAAAGCTATGACGCGCGAGTCGGTGTGTCAGTCTCGTAGGCATTCAAGGACGAAGTCGAGGCCTAGACATGAAGACGCACCGATCAAATTCTATCTTTTCCACCCTCTGCAACGACTTTCTGATCGGCGCCATCGCATTGTTAAAGACCTCCATCTTCTTGTCCGCCTCTGTCAATTCGCGCTCGTTCATCTTGGGCTCTAGCTGTTCCCCACAGACGTCACAGGCGACGATAAAATCGCCCTCCCTGTCGACCATGCTCATGGCCAGATTCTGGATGAGCGAAGGTATCTGCAACGCGTCAAACTCTTTGGCGCATTGAGGGCATTTGTAGTCGGATTTGGAGGTGTCGGACTTGACCATGCCCGCCTCGATCTGACTGCGCATGACGGCCAAGCGGTATTTGACGACGAGGGCAAAGTCGTGGTAGTCGATGTACCAGTAGAGACGTTTCATGGTCTGGCGTTTTTGGAGAGGGAGGCCGTCGGGGCCTCGACCGGCAGAGTTTTCATAATTTAGAAAGCTGCGCCGGATTCCGAGGTAGATCAGCGCTTGCCATACAGGGTATCTTGGAATAACACCCCGATACCCAAACACGAGCTCAGGCTCGGACGAGGACATTCGGGACTCACCTCTTGACCAGCCGCTGCTTTTGTAAGAGCCTCAATAATTTCCCTACATTCGTCTCGCTCGCGCTCGCCCCTCCCGAGATCCCGACCTGGTGTCCCAGACCTGGTTCGAGATGCCTATCATCGTCGAAGCCATTGATGTTTAGGCGAGTAGAAAGGTTAAAAGCGAGAACATATATGACCAGAAAGAGGCATGGTGGGAATGCGAATTAGATATGAGCCTGGGTTGCGCTTATTACAAGATTTGAAAGCGAGGAAGAGAGAGCGAGAAACGAGAAAGAGAGAGCCGAGGAAGAGGAAGAGAAAAGACCCGAGAGAAGAAAAGTACGAACGAGCGACCTCGACTCTCACATGTCGCTGGTCATCATCCTATCCATCAAGATGACGAAGTGCGGGTCAAAGAACGCCCTGCTGACCTGCGTGACGAGGGCGTGCATGGCCCGGATCTCGTCCTTTGTACATCCCGAGTTTTCGTAGACCATCGTTGTGGCAGGTTGAGTGGCGAGGTCGATCCTACAGGGAAGATTCGAGTGATGTCTGTTGCTGTTGTAAATGTCACGATTGGAGTGATAGATGAACGGGCGGCGGTGACCGTCTCCTCTCTGCTTCCTTAAAACATGTCATCGAGCGTGAGAAAGCGGCGCCAAGTGAGCAGAGAGACGTGACCACTGAACGGCGCGCGAGGTGTGTGTGTACGATCCGCGGATACGCAAATGCCTGCCTGCTAGCTCTTGCTCGGATGAAATCGGCGGGATGGACCAACCAGGAGCCAGGCAAACACTCAGCGACCACCATCCACCTGACATCGACACAAGGTGGGTTGTATCGACATCGAAAGATCATCCTCGTCGATAGTCCACGTCCTAGTCCTCTCCATCCTCCATCAAGGCTAGACCATCCACGGACCTTCTTTCTCTCTCTCTCTCGGGGTATTTCTGCGACGGAGGAATCAAGAGGGAAAAAAAACTAGGGATCGTGTCCGATTCTGAAACTCTGAAAAGCGCACAGTCGAAAAGTTCTCGTTCAAGATGTTCAACATGAGCCGCGTTGGATTGAGGGCCGCTGGCAAGACTGCCGCTAGTGTGAGTGCTTTTATCGGTGCTGAGGGGAGGATATAGGAGAAGCGGATCGAGATGAGGTCTGCTGGGCCGGAGTATAGGCGAGGCGGTCGAGCGGCGAAAGATGTCGGGATGGACTTTGTGTTCGAGCTGCAGGACGACAAGATCGAGGTCGTACCAGACGTTACCGCGAAAGAGGCAGTGGCCAACAGCTTCGAGATCACCTCGATGTCTTGATTGCACCCGGATCGCGCCATCTCACAGCATTCCCGATCGACCCTTCTCCCATTCGAGCCTCACTCAAACCTGGATGGACACCGGACTGACCACTCATTCTTCTCACTTCTCATCGCCATCCTTGAAATCATCTGTTATCACCGGAACTTGATCGAAATCGTCGTCTCCCGATCGCAATCTCATCTCGCGCCCGCTCGACCTATCAAACGACACAGGCCCGATTCGCCAGTACCCAGGCTGGAGGAGTGAGTCCACATCTTCTAAAACCTCAAAACCCACCGTCTCTGTTATCTGACATTCGCGCCACTTCTCACAGTCGGCCTTTACCTCCCGTCCGGCCGTCGCCACTGCCACCGCCCTCTCGATCGGTTCGATAGCCTACTACACCCACACTTTCGGCCAGCTTCCCTTCTTGCCCCAAGCTTCGGCCAACACGGCTGCCGACGATGGTTTGCACTCGGCCGAGTACCCTTGGGCTCACAGGGGAATCTTTGATACGTTTGACCACGCTTCGTGAGTCGCCAGAACCTTATACTGGATTCGAGTTTGGGGTGGAATAGTGAAGTGGGACAGGTGTTACATGGAGGACGCCAGACTGACGGTTGAATTTCGACTGTTCCAGCATTCGACGAGGATACCAAGTCTACCGTGAAGTCTGCTCGGCCTGTCACTCTCTCGACCGAATCGCCTGGCGAAACCTCGTCGGTGTCTCGCACACCGTCGACGAGGCCAAGGCCATGGCCGAAGAGGTCGAATACCAGGACGGACCCAACGACGAGGGTGAAATGTTCCAGAGGCCCGGAAAGTTGGCCGACTACATGCCTCCTCCTTATGCCAACGACGAGGCTGCCAGGGCTGGAAACGCCGGTGCTTTGCCCCCTGATCTCTCGTTGATGACCAAGGCTCGTCACGGTGGTGCCGTGAGTCCATGAGTGTTTCGGCTTGGGTATCATGGCGTCCGCGGCTGACAAGACGATTTCCCCCTTTCTCGACCACTCTGCATAGGACTACGTCTACTCCCTGCTCACTGGTTACGTCGACCCCCCACCAGGTGTCACCGTTGCCGAGGGCATGAACTACAACCCCTACTTCCCCGGTGGTGGAATCGCCATGGGTCGAGTGCTTTACGACGGTCTGGTCGAGTACGAGGATGGGACCCCGTCGTCGACCAGTCAAATGGCCAAGGACGTCGTCAGCTTCTTGTCCTGGACCGCCGAGCCCGAGTTGGATGAGAGGAAGAAGATGGGTCTGCAGGTGAGTGTTTTCTTTGGGGGTCGTCATTTTCGAAGAGGTACTGATGCTCATGCGTCGTTGCGCTTCTAGGCCGTCATCATCCTGTCGACCTTGACTGCCATCAGTTTGTACGTAAAGAAGGCCAAGTGGTCAGCCTTGAAGAACAGGAAGCTCTGTACGTACCATTCGCTCGTCTTGCCCCTCTGCGAGTCCGCATCGGAACGGGACTGATCGAGATTACTTGTTTTTGATGCACAGACTACAACCCTCCCAAGTCGGGTCACTAAGCTTTGATTTCGGACGTGACGGGGGGATCTGGAGAAAGAGGTGTTTGAGGGGGGATGTAGTAACGTGACATGGTTTTTGTGCATGATTTAGCTTTAGAATTCCCTTCTGCCCTACATTGTGTCTCACGTCCACGAGTGTCAGGAGGGTGGCGTTCGATCGCGCGCCGCCATTGAAACGCATGTATCAGGTTGGAGTGACCCAACCTTCGTGCAGAAGTCTACCGTCTAAAGGGTCGAAGCGGTTGTGGTGTCATCTATCGGCTGTCGATACAGGCAGTAATCAGGTGTGTCCTGTTGGTAGCAGCATAGGGTACTGCTTGTGCTCGGTCATCAGACAGAGCCTTCTATCTCTATCACACGACTAGTGGCACTCAAAGCAGAAAGAAAGGACAGGATTTGAAGGCGGGTTTGAATCCAGCACCTCAAGCTCAACATCTCGCTCAGGCACTGCCACCCACATCTTATAGCTTCACAAAGATCGAAGTACAATCCCTTAGATACGTCCTACAGATCTGCCCGTACTTTGGTCGAGCGATCATTACCTTTTTTTCCCACTCTTCTTTTTTTTCCTGCCTTCCTTTGAGTTTCCCGGTTCGAGCATCGCTGACACTTCAATGCTGCCCACTCTGCCCTTGGGCAAGATTCAGGACACACGATAACAGCGTGGCATTTCACGCGACTATCCCTCTTCTTCTTCAACGCAGTGTCACATCGCCTACAGTCAATGATATTCGACTCGGAAACGATCTGGATGTTCGATTAATCCACAGCCACTCTCCCGGCCCCGTTGGGTTGGACTGCTCTCAGTATGCCCTTCCGAATTTTTCTATCGGCCCAGGAGCCTATCTTTATTTCGTTGACCTCGTACCAGGCTTCAAGTCTTTGTTGAGAACCTCTGTCCATTTCGCCCCAAGCGATGATTTCGGAATCCAAGATTGCTGGTCTCCTGTCATGTGGGTGAGATAGCTCCTGGTCGACATGATCAAAGTGTCATGATCGGTTGTTATTCACAACGGGACTCATGTCTGTATCAAAGCCGAGCGATTCCCGCGTGCCGTGGAAATATTCTCCGTGGGCAGTGGACGGCTCTTCGAGACGCCCAAACGTGCTGGGTAAGGGAGCTTCTCCAGTGGATGGCATCTGGAGGCTTGTCGAGGCTTCAGGTGCCTTCAGATCGTCTGAGTAGCGTGTGAGTCTGTGCGCGAACCACGAGTCCCAAATGTCTGAATCTGCCAGTAGGATGGAAGGGATTTCTTCGAGCTGAGCACCGGTCATTCCTGTCATGAAAACTGTCCCAGCGACAAGTAGTTGTTGTTTCTTCCAAGAGCGTATTCGAAATAGATTGGAGGTCGCGGAATAGGCAGTATCGATACCAATCCTATATATGACTACTCGCTAAGAATCATTTGGAGAAGCTCCACCTCCTTCCAGAAGTAGCTCGAGTCAGCAGTCTCGTCTGGTTCTGTCATGCTGCTACGTTTACTTGTTTTGACCGGGTCCTCCTTTGTCGCCTCATCAAGGAATACCACTGCCACCTGTTCTTTCCCTGCCCAGGGTGGCTTTCCCCCCACCAGGCGGAAAGCAAGACTGCGTGCCGGTCTCAAGAAGCTCGTAAAGGGTCCGATGTTGGGGGGTTCACGAGCTGGGTTGTCACATAGTCCCCACCTGATCGCTGTATAGACAACTGGTTTTCGCCATGACCTACCAATAGAACTTTTACTGTGAAGCGAGTCAAGGCGATCGATACGCCACAGTCACGAACAATTGACCACATAGGACGCGATCTTTCGCAAGGGGTAACACTACTAGCTTCTGCTCAGCTAAACATACGGAATGCGGGGATTTTGGGGAGTATGACGGTAAAACAGTGTGCAGGAAAGCTATACACTGTGGTAGACTGGTGGTGCCCCTCCGTGTCTCAACAGCAATTCTTGCCGACCAGAACTTTCGCTCATGCTACATGCTTACATCGTGAGAGATTCACAGTTCAACGAGGTATAGCCTATATGAAGCCTTTCCGTCGCCCTCAGCCCTACGGAATACGTTTTATAGCACTACTCGGTCCAAGGTGATCGTTTCCACTGTCACATCGACATCAAAACCCTCTTCCGAGGTAAATCGACCGTTCTCAGCGGCTTTGACGATCCGGTTGGCGAACAGAGTTTTGGTCGCCATGGGAAGGTTTCGAAGAGAGGTTTTAGACTCGATACTCTGCGGGTAAGTATATGATAACAGTAGGATTCTGAAACCAGCCGAAACTATCAGTCGGAGTCATCGTTGACCAGAGGTCATGGAAACTCACGGTTGGGATTTCTGACGAATCAACCAGGCCTTGACCAGCGTTAGAGGTGCGCCATCCAAGTGAGTGCTACCGCCTACTACCGAGGCTGACAAGGAGTAGATGACTGGATACTCAAGCAAGATCCCTGCGAGTTCGGGAAAGTCCTCGGGTTGAACGAGAGCCAGAACTGCCGTTCTAGATCGAGCTTGGAGCTGTTCTTGCAACAAGATGAGATACCGGTTCGAAGACAAATCCAACTGTTCCTACCAGGGGGAGCCCGATGAGTCGGTGAGTTCGGTGCAAAAGTGATGCCTAACGCACAACATTGAGACCCGGCAAAGACACGTCGATCTTGATTGGTCCTAGTGCGACCCCAGCATCCGGGTTTACGCTCATATTGCGATGTAAATCCAGGTTGAGCGCAAATGCCGATGCGCTGGTCGACTCAAAAATCATGACCATGTGATTCAAGTCTGGCATCTAGTAGTAACAAGGAAGATCAACCCTCTGTACTCGGCCTAGCGCTGTCTGTAGGTTCACCCACTGTCTGGAAGCATTCCCCAATCGCAACGCAGTCCCGCTCATCGAGCTGCACCGTTTCAAGGAGAAAAGAGCGTCTACCATGTCGAACGTCAACAGAGCTTAACTTGAAAGTGATCACTCGTAACCCTCACCTCAGACCGATGGCCACTACCCATATCCCCTCGACTGTCTCCTTCAGAGCTCTCCGACTGATCTTCTTGTGACGACTTGGCCGCGGACCCTGGCGGCCAGTCAAGACCTCGTTGAACACGGCCCCGACCCGCGAGCTCAATGAAACAGAGTGATCTCCATGAGGTAGATTCATGCAAAGGTCTGCGTCTAGGTGTTAATGTATCGGTCGTCGAGCGATCCGAGCGACATCGTTTTGCCGATGCGATCAGGTTCAAGGTTTGGAATGTATTGCGACGCTCTGATGACGATTTCACCGGCCACAGCCCACCTATCCCTGGCGCGCGTGAAAGATTGACAATCGCTCGGGTTCACAATTTTTCTTTGCCTTACTAAGCTAAGAGACGCGCCCACGCCCGTTCGCGCGAATGTTTGAGCGAATGTTTGAGCGATCGAGCAGAAGGTACTCTGTTCTTAACTCGGTCACACATCACATCACACGCATTACTAATTGATAATTAGCCGTCTAGTGTATAGTATTAATCAATTGAGTAAGTGATTAGTACCTTACTAACTCATTACTTTGTTTAGTAAGTAATTACTAGCTTATTAACCTTATATCACATTCGACTTGCTCCCTCTCTCTCTCTCTCTCTCTCTCAATGATCAAGTCGCCAGTTGCCAATATCATAGTCTCTTAGCCTGACCTCCTCTCGTTCTCATCAATCACATATACTAACAGAATCATGGTCTTTCCACACCCATGTCAGTTCACATGATCAACCTCCCTTATCCAATCAGTACAACTCTCCTAGACACCATCTTGTTGTAAGGCGAACATGTCCCCGCGAACAATTCCGGCGACCGCGAACGTCCTGGTCGCCCGCGAACACCTAGTGTTCGCCGTTCGCGAGTATCCTTTACCATGTTTTCAAGTCAGCCCAGTCATCCCTTGTGCTGCAATATTTTGACTGTGCCATTCGAGAGAGAATCATACATGCATAATTTCGGCATATTGGACATCAAGCTACACGATACAGGACCTCTTTAAACAATTCAAACGCATTATAATACTCCGTATCAATACTCTCGATCTCCCTTACTCTTCGTCGTTGAACCCCTCTTCCTTCTCCCGGATCCTCCTAGCCCAGTCGGCCGAAATCTCACTCGTGTAGTCGAAGAACTCGTAAGCCAAACGCTTCCACTCCGCTTCTTGGGGATCAAGGTTTGGCGTTATCGCCATCTCTACACCCATCCTACCCGGATACACCTGCATGTAGAGACCGACGGTACCGGTTGTCCTTGCTGCGTCGATCAACTTGTCGTGAATGGCGTCGCGAATATCTCCCGCTTTCTTCGACCGGGCGTCCGAGGCCTGTTTCTTCGTGGCACAGGACTTCTTATCACTCGCTTTTGAAGGCAAGATCAAGGTTGGGTCTACCCAATCGTCGTCCTGGCCCCACTCCAGCGCGACCTTGCTCTTGCTGGACGAGCGGTATTGGTCGTTCGACTTGACGAAGAAATTGACGTCTTGAGCCGGCCCGATCTGGTGAGTCCAAGCGACTCCCGCTCCTGGCCTTCCCGCGGTCTTCTTGTCCCCAAGCTTCTTCACGCAGGATCCGCCTTCTTCCCAGGCGTCCGCATCGTCAGAATCGCCCGAGTCGCCGTTATCGCCTTTTTCAGAGTCGGCGTAGTCAGAGTCATCGGACTCTTCCCTATCCTTGGGCAACCCGGCCGAAAGCACGCCCGCACTGTTCTTGCTCGTACGGGGTTTTGCCGGGCTGCTCTCCTTCGATCCGGGAGTCCTTGATTTGGACTTCGCAGCGACCTCCTCGTCCACGTTCTTCTCGGGGGGCTCGTCAGCTCCTCCTCCGTTGTTGTTGTTGTTGGACTCGTCAGTCCCTTCTCCCCCTCGTCCGGTATTCCCGTCGTCCCCGGCGTCTTCTCCTGTAGCAGCGTCCGCGTCAGGCCCAGGACCATCCCCAATATCGAGATCCATGTCCGCAACATCCACTGCCGGGTCGGGTATCTCGAAAAGATCTACTACCTCGCGAACAGCACGCTCTTCGCTTAGACTCCTCTCGGTGAAACCTGCGGGCCGCGAATAGGCAAATGGCACATTCCGCGGTACCAATGCTGCTCCACCGGGTAGATCGAGATGAAGACCGAAGATCAACCCACGCATTCGCAACATCTTGTCCGTCCCGGGCTTGGTCCACTCGTTCAACCACGAAAGAGCGAAATTCCTACGCAACATAAATCGCCTTTCCCATGTTTGACGAGTGATCATTTGTCGCTCGAGTAGGTCCATGTCGGCAAAGAACCCTATAAGATGTGTATTCGTAAGTCAGTAATCTGTTAATCATGGAAGTTATCGAAGACGCTTTTACTTACCAGACCAAACGGGCCTACTGAAAGACCCCAAACGTTCGCGTACGAGTTGCTCCTTGACCGACCGAGGCATGTACAGTACGACACCTTCGGAGAGCTCCCGCAACACATCGCTGGCATGACCAAGAGGCGTTCCCAACCACTCGAGGTTCACAACGGGGATGATTTCTGGCTGAACCCCAGGCTCAGACGCCCACATCTCCGCCGCACTCTGAACGAGGTCCTTCCACCGCGAACGAGCCTCCGGCAGTAAGACACAGTCCCGCAACTTTCTCAAAGCAGTCTGAACAGTCATCAGACTTGTTCGACGCAGCAGTTGGAGGATGGGTATCCACTCCCGAGTCGAAAACGCCGCCGGTCCGATCAGTTCCCGCAAGAACTCGAGTTCCCCCATCAGCGAAGAGTCCGATCGCCAGTCGTCACGGGAGACAAACACTTCAAGAATCACGCCCGCGATCGTTGCGATCATAGCCACAGACGCTCCTTCCATCCAGTTTTCTCCCATGAAAACCATACGTCGCCAACCGACAGCCCGGACCATGATTCCCAGTTCCTTCCGTTCGCGAGCTTCGGCATCCCCGTCATCCCTGTTCCCGGTCGCGGGGGAAATGTCGCCCTGGATCCTCTCTCGCTGTCGATCTCGTCTTGCCGAGATCTCTCGTCTCTCGATGCCTTTCAGACGCTCAAGTACCGTTGACACCGTATTCTGCAGCTCTTCATCGTCTTCGTCGTCCAAGCCTGCTCCTCGGAGGATATTCATCAGGTCCAGCGACGACATTCCTCCCCACCATTCATCCCCCTCGCGCTGCTCACATCCTTTGACCAGGACGTGGAAGGCGAACTCCACAAACCTGCTCACTGGAGGGGCCTTCATCTCACCCTGGAAAGCCTCCCGCACGCCGCAATCCCATACCATTTGATGGAACGCACATGTTTGCGTCCCTCGCGAGCCCCCACTACAAGCAATGGCTCCGACCTTTTGCCATTCGTCGGCGTCGAACCCTTCTTCCAGTAGTTCGGCGAGATCCCGTTCCACTTCTCCCCAAGCCTCCGCCGATTCACAACCGATCGAGAGCGCCTGCCACACGCGAAGGAGGGCAGCAGGCAAAGCCTCCCGAGCTCTCAACCTCGCTGTTGGGAAGGGTTCTGACCACGACATCGGTCCCGACTTGAAGATAGGCTTTTGGGTCAACTCGCGGAGTA